AACAATCAATATAAGCTGTCGAAGCTCAGCCCTGGACGAATGAACGAGCGGCGGGTGAGCGGATCGAAGGATTTAGCCGTGGTGTTGCAGACTGTTTGGCTAAGCTTTGACCTGGTAAGTTTAGCAATAGCTCAAATAGGGGAAAGGATTCGTGGCTCACGCCGCAGGTTTGGGTTATGGTTGTGTGAATCGGTGCACCTACGTGATCCCAGCAGCCACGAGGCATCGTTGGATGATGGGTCGGCTGAGACACTGTATGGCATGTTATCGTCAGTCAGCACTGTCATCTTGCATGATGTTCAGGAGACTTCGCAATGCTCTGTTCCGGTTGGACGCGTGCCACATAACGAACGAGGTATAGAAACGTGCTTGACAGAAGCATGTGCGATGATGACGGAGTTTGATACACGTGGCGCATCAAACAAGAAGCTGGGCTCAATTGGCGTTCCACGATCGAGTCTTGTTGATAGAAGGGGGTGCAGGTTCCCTGGGCTGTATTATAGACGCCGCGGTTGGACGTTCATTGACTGACCAATGCAGCGGCATAGTGCCGGCGTATGTCGCGGTGCGGATGGCCGCACGTGCACGAAGAAGCTGGAGCAAGCATCAATTGAAGTCGGGCTTGCCATCAAATCGGCTCTCCAGAGGTGGTTGACGATGATGGACTGCAAAGGCGGGGTGTTGGCCTTCGATTTGCTTCTTTCGGAGGCATCTGGTCGAATCGAGGCGCGGCATCCTCGTCAAGGAAGCTTGAGAAGTCCGTAGTCCGTCCGGGGTAACCCATGACTTGCCACGTTGATTTCCTCTTCTCTTTTCGACGACAAAGTTTTGTTTCTGTTGTCTTTGAGTGGGTTCGTGGGCGTGAAACGGAGTCATGAAACGGGCAATTCGAGTGTAGTCGGTTGCCATTTACACGAATCCGCGTACATGGGTCGGTACTGATTAATGCTTCGTCCAAGGCTCTTTGCTGGTGCAACAGGACTTGGCAGCCCTCCCACAGAGCTGTAGATGCGACTCTAGAAAGTTTGACTTGTGGAGGCCCGCGGCCAACGAGTCGTGTTCCTCGGGGTAGAAGATGTATTCGGACGATGAGTCAGCCTCTCGAAGAAGGCAGAGCATCCGGGTATTTGTGTGTATATTATGTAGGGAGCGCCGGGCGCATCCACCAAGAGGGCATGAAAGCGGCGTATCCGGGGGTGGAGAAGGTGACTCGTGTTGACGAGGGCGGTGAGGCAGATCGTGAGGCCGGCTCATGCGATCCGGAAGGTCAGCCGAGTGTGGCAGCGGCTGCATTGACGGTGGCCAGTGTTATTGAATATTTCGTGTAAGAGACCTCGCCGATGATTCCAACATCGTGAGCAACGGCGGGGAATGTTTTGAGGCGGCAGCGCAAAGCTGGTTCCAAGTTACCGGCTCGTCGATGGGAGGCGCCGCTCTGCAACGACAGCTGATGTCTAACGGGCGCTTTGGACGACAGTTGACGCAGTCGGCTTGTGGAAATGAGGACCAAAGTGGCTGACGGGGTAGGGCTAAAGTGAGTGCGCAGATGGACGATGGGCAAAATGTCTGCCTGCCGTCCATTTCCTGTTCGGCCGCATTGACGAAGCACCGACTGCAGGCGGTCACACGATGGCTTGGCCCAGTTCCCCAAAGCCACGGCTAGAACAGCCAACAAGCAAAACGGCGACTTTGGGATGATCAAACCGGGCTAATCATGACGATAAGCGCATGTCATTGTAAGAGATTTCTGGAGCTGATGATGAGACTGCTGTGCCATGTTTCGGGGTCTTGTTGTTTGACAAACAGGGTGGTGGAGGATCGATAATGCTAGCACGCCACGAGATGTGGTATCGTGATCTGACATGGACAGCCCAAGGGCATCTCCCCGGTCCTCGCGAAGCGTGCGGCGTGCGGCTCGGGCGATCCGCGATTTGTGGTGCAGCAGGGAAGAGAGAAGAGAATGGCGAATGCCTGGAGTCTTGAATTAGTCGCGGCGGCATGGCTCGATTGACAAATGCAAGCCGGCGATCCAGTCAGCCGTGTGTGGTGTCGTCAAGGAATCCATCGGGCTCGGGTGCAGACTAGGACGGCACGACGTTGGTGTTGGTGTTCCGAGGGTAGGTAGGATGATGCGTAGAAGGTTCGATGCAGGTGTCACAAGAGGCTAAGATGGGAAACCGGTATGCCGTACTCTGTACTCTCGGATTCGAATTCATGAGTGTCGTACGACTCGATGTCCAAAAGGTGTCAAGGTCTGTACATACATCGTCACTTGATGTAGGAAGTTTGCAGGTTACGGACACCGACGTCTCAACTATTCCAGACACACAAGCCTAAGCCGTTGAAAGTGAATGCCTTATTCCGTCGGCCGCATCAAGTCAGTCGGACCTGCTTTTTGATTCTTTAGCCTTAGCAGGCAGAGCATCGCAGGTAAAGTGTTGTGTAAGTGCAATAGGCGTGCCCCATTGTTGTTACCAAATTGGGTGATGCGCCGGCGCCGATGACGATGCAGGGTCCTCCCGCATTGGCCTTACAGTCTACGGATACCTTACTGAAGCTGAAGTAAGGTAGCGTGCCACGGAGACGTCTAGGCCATGAGTCACTAACCGAAATGGAACTCTGGGCCTAAAGCAGGGGATATGGAAATGCAAAAATGCAAGTGCGAATGTAAATTAAATGCTTCACAGAAGGAAATAGGAGAGGTGACGCAGCTCGATGGCTGAGGCTCAGCTGCACTTAGTAGTACGTAGTATGGCCAGAAAAGGAGGGGGCCATCTGAGGAATGAACTGAAGCAGCTGCCAACTCAAAGCAATAGCTGGAGCGAAGTCAATTGATTGTTTCCCTCCTATTTTGGTTGGCCGACTGATACGAACATCAGGCCAAATGAACCCACGGACAAACATGGTGTCTTTGATGTCTTGGTTGGCCAAACCAAACCCCCAGTTGACCGCATCAGTGATTCATCTATGTTGGATGCTGTTTTGTGTCTCCAACAGAGAAGAAAGAAGCAATATCGGCGGTTCAGCAAGCAGTTGCCAGTGTCGACTTGGCTGCAGAATCAGAATGCATCTGCATCAGCCACCTGCAAGGTCCCGAGTCCCGACCAGACTCGGAGCTGCCCCTCCTCGTATCTGTCTGCATTGATTGGGTGATACTCTGTACTCCGTACCTTACCTACGGATAGCGGAGAAAGTGAGCACAGAAAAAGAAAGGCAAGGGGCAGAATCGGCAGAGGAACCAACCCAGCCAGCCCCCCAGCCCAGACCAGCGGCCCCTGACAAGGCCAAGACAAGCCCTGTGATCCCGGCCAAAGCCACGCGAGCGGAAGAGGCGAAACGGGCGAGATGGTGTGCTGCTGCTGCTGCTGCTGCTGCTGCTGCAACTGTTGAGTGAGACGTGAACCTCATCTGCATCTACTCGTACTGATAGACAGTTGATGGGGTCTGATTCTGATCTGATTCTTGCGTTGGCGTCCTGCGCGGTTGAGCATTTCCAGGCCTCGTCACTTCATCCGCAGCATAACTTAAGCTGAGTAGGTGTACGTCGACATGATCCACAGAAGAACACGTGCATGACCGTCGAGTGTCGTATGTAATTTACCCTCCTTTTTTTGGTCACATACTGAAGTAGTCTTCCCCGGCCATTGAGGCGATGCAGATGGACGACGGTTTGCTTGCTCTGGATTTGTACGGGCATCACCGGCCGGTAGTTGTTGCCCTGGTCCTTGACCCGGACATTTATTGCTTCTCCCGTGTCCATCTGCCCCTTCCCAACGCCTGTGCCTCATGCGTGACGACAATCAACCTGCCTTACCTACTTCGTATGTTCTCGTCAGAATACAGACAACAGCAGGAAAGAGGGGGGGAAAAAACCTGGCAAAAGTATCCGGCCGTGCCGTTCTTTGGCCGTTGCGGTTCTCTCTCCCGTTCCAGCATCGTCCATCATCGATACAGTGAGTGATACAATGCAGCGCCCGCAAACAACCATCGTCAGCGATTTAACCCCCTAGAACCTTACCCGGATTCTGAAGTGAAGATGCCTAGGTACCTGCGTAGACGGTACACCCGAATTCCATTCCATCATCCTCGTCTTAACACCACGGACTAGATTTCCTTTCCGCGACCACAGATCTCACACATCACAGATGTGACCACTTTTTTTCTCATCGAGTGCGATTCATCGTGGTCCACGATTCCACAAATTTCCCACCCAAGCCCAAGTATCCCCTGTCCGCGACCTTCACGCCTCCACTGCTTCTGAAACAGCCTGACGCACCCCAGGGGCTTCGCCGTCGACCCTCGATCCTCGAAACCCTCGGCCCCTCGTCCTCGTCCCTGGAACCATTGGATTCTCTCCCTCTTCCTCTCTCACCTTGGAAGTCGCTCCGCCAATTCGTCCTCCATCCCAGCTTTTACCAGCCCTGGCTCGCACCACTCGCGCCCGTCTGTTCCGCCCAACACCGCAGCCCGGCTTTCACCGCATCGTGGCTACTGCAAGGGTCGACCCCTGATTGCGTCTCCACAGCTTCGAGAAAAGTCATCGAAGGTGAACCACCACTCACTTCTCCTCCTCGTCAGAGCCCTAGAGCCAGGTCTGTCCTCAATCACCCACCCTCACTTCTCACCCCTCGCCTTCGCTCTTCGCCCCCTCCAACCAAAACCCTACGCCATACGGATACTACCTGCCCACCGCGTACTCGTCCTGTCCTGGTTTCTTACCTGCTTGCCCTCTAGTCTCCCTGACAGAACAACCGGGCACACCCTTCCAAGCTCCAAGGTCGCACGATTGGCACATCACTGGCCTACCTTACCTACACCACCTGCTTGCTTGTTTACTATTACTCCTCCTCCTTAGCTTGACCGTTAACACCCCCTACCACCTACCACCTACCACCTCCTCCTCCTTCTCTCTGACCACACGTCCGCCCGCCCGTCCGTCCGTCGTCCCATACATAAACCGAGCTTCCTCCCCCGGCACGCGCCCTTCCCACCCGTTCACGATGTCGAACCCTACCCCAGCCCAAGAAGAGTTCAACGCACTGCTAGCTGCCCAGTCCCGCGACGACTCCAGATCACACCCAGAGGACCGCGACTACGACCGCCGCGAACTCGACAGCCTCGACCTTGACGAGGAAGACGTCTACCGAAACTCCCAGATCGACGCCGCCATGCGCATCCCCACCCTCGGCCAGACCGCCGCATCCGACCTCAAGCTGCCCCCGGCCAGCTTCGACGCCGGCCGCACCACAGGTGTCAAGGGCGTCATCGCTGATGCCCGCAACTACGAGAACGCACGCAAGACTTCCTTCATCAGCCGCGCCCGCACCACCGTCCGCCGCTCCATCTTCGGCCTCGACGGCCTGTCCCAGGCCCAATCCGCGCACAAGAGCGAGAGCGGGACCGACGACGGCAACAATAGCAACTCGGAGGACGAGGAGTCGTTCCTCGCACAATGGCGCGAGAGCAGGCGGAGAGAGCTCGAGAGCGAGTCCAGCAAGGTCGTCCGCAACCGGAGGACAAGCCCCAGCGTCCGCGTATACGGCCGTATGGATGAGGTCGATGCTCTGGGATACCTGGACGCCATTGAGAAAGTTGCGCGGGATACCGTCGTCGTTGTTTTTGTCTACGATCCAGAGGTAAGCTCATCTGCGCACACGCCCTGCGGCCCGAGAACATGTGTACTAATCCTATGCCTAGTGCGATGTATCAGCGACGATAGAGCATGCAATGATGCCTCTCGTGTCCCACCACTCCACAATACACTTCGTCAAGGTACACTACCTCGACATCGAGTTCGACAACGCCGCCGTGCCGTCCATCCTGGCCTACCGCAACCAGGGTGACATGTTTGCCAACCTGACAGGCATCATCGAGATGATCCCTGACGACGAGGCGTTCGGCACCGACACCCTGGCACGGCTGTTCGAAAAGCACAGCATCCTATGATGATGATGTTCTGACGGGCATGGGCCGGGGCCACCTGGCTGTGGCCGTGGTGCACATAACGAAGCAAACAAAAAAGAAAACACACTCAAAACATCTTCATGTCTCTTCTCTCTCTCTGCTACGATACCCCCCATTTTGCAGCGCGGCACATTCTTCGCGAGCATGACGGCTCCCCTTTTCTTGTCCCATTTCACTGCTCTTGCTTTTACACACACACTTCAAATGGTGGGAGAGCTTTCACGGAGTTTTTTTTTGTTTTACGTTGGAGACGACGACGCATCTGATGTCTGCTTGATGACGGACTATGGCCTCATGGGGATGGCCCCCCCTTCACGTTCTAATATCACTGGCGGGAAAAGATTTCACCTCGGCTGGGACACGCGGTTCGGTTGGGTTTGGGAACGCAAGACGAAAAAAAAGGAACATGCATGCATGGATCTCGCGCGAGCATTGTACATTTGGATTAGAGACGATCAACACTCTGTAGAATACAAAAAAAGTCCCTTGCGGGTTCATTTCAAACATAAAATCTTTCTCGGCGCAATCTTGCAATGGCGCAGGAGAGATTGACTGCCGGTGAATAGACTCCGAAGCTAACAAAAAACAAGGACCGGGAACTCGGAAATTTCTTGCGGCGAACGAAATTGGAGATTCCCCAAACTCGGAAAGACGTGATGTGTACAGTCTCTCCCCGGTTACTTTTTACCCCTCGCAACTCTCCTCGCTACCTCCATGATTGCCCTCGCTGCTGCTTGTACTTCTAGCATTGCGTTTGTTATCCTTCGTCGTTACTACACAGCATTCTACCAGGAACAATGACCGTGGAGTATTCGTACTGTAGTCGTCCATTTTGGCGGGCCGGGGTAAGGTAGGTCTAAGTCGAGACGGAACTAGCCCCATGTGTGTTTGTGTGTGATCTACCGAAGACCAGGGGAGGAGGGGTCAGAGTGTTCCACCATCTGGGTGAAAACCACCTATTCCACTCGGTTCGAGTTTCTGAAATATGGGAAAAGTGAGTCGCTGATCTCGGGCGGTGTTCCGGGTGCCGGTTATCGATCCCCGTTTTTGCGATGCTCCTCATCCTCCTGTCTTGAATCCTGTGTTTCCACCGATGCGGTGAGGACCTTGCCTCCTATCTGGTGAGAAGTAAGGCAAGGTTATCTCGCTCGCCGTCTGTGAAGAAGTACCCGGGCAGATTCTCGCGCTTCCCGCCAGACTTTACTGATCGATTTAACTTGAGAAACCAAACATGCGAGCGAAGCTGAACCTGTTTGAGGGCCCAGAACTTTCCACTCGGCTGTCTTTTGTCGTGGTTAACAGACGGTGTGGGATGGTAGACAAACTATTTCATAACTTACATCTTGCCAGTACACGTTTGTAATCTCTGTCGTAAGCCCCGTCATTTCTGTAGTCTGCTGTAGGCAAGAAAAACTCGCGCTTTCTCGGGAGCACCCCACGGTCGTTCAAGTTCCACCTTTTGCAAACGGCTCCTGCTGGATGGCGTTCTTTCTTCGAATCATTCGAGACCTTCGGCTTCGAAGACATGACCAGCTGCCAGTCGTCATCGTAGGGTGAACGGCAGGACCCGAACTGTCTCCAGATGGTCACTTCCATTGCGCGGGCGGGGCCTTTCCATACATATTTGATCTCGCAATCGGTCAGGCATTTCGGACAGGATAGTATCTTCTCGCTATGGTCGTAGTCGTCGAACATAAACACCCATCCTTTGGCGCAACAAGGATCGCGGCGAGGGGGCGAGAGAACGGTGCAATGGTTGCAGACCTTCCCGCCGCCGGTGCGATCAGACTCGAGGTACTTTTCGAGAGTGTCCTGCTTGCCTTTGGTCTGGGTCACAGTCTTCACACTCTTGACAAACAGCTTGTCGTTGATGATTCGAGCCTCCCACGACTGCGTGACAGTGACGCCGTAGACGAGATGTTGCGTGGTTTCGTCTCCGTTCAGCACGTCTAATGCTGGACCGTGGGAGTCACCGTAAAGATGCCTATTCATGATTGACCTGGCGCGAAGATACGTCAGATGATCTTTGCAGGCGGGTTGGCGAACATTGTCAGGATGTTGGGGCTTTTGGAAAGGGCACAAGCTAACGCATCCTCTAGCTCGTGCTTGCTTTGCCCAGGGACGGAGGATGCTGCAATGATGGCAGTAGACGAGATGCGGCGCGCTTTTTTCCAGCCAAAGAAACAGAGTCTCCTTCTGTTCGGCATTCAGCGATACTTTCTGGGGAAAGTAGGCATTATAGAAGTGGCGGCAGGTTAAAGCGAGAAAAATAACAGACTCGCCTGGCAAGAAGTTGCAAATTCTCAAGACGAGTTCTGGCGGAAGGGCAAGTCCTGTCGTCTGAATGATGGGCTGAAAGGGAGACCCTCGTTTGGATCGCGTCTTTTTCGAGGACTTTGGCTTCATGGTTCGTAAAGGTTTGTCGCCGGTCTATCCATGGTTGTTCGTTGCGCTGGACCTGTGACCGCATGGGTGCCAAACTTCCATTCAGACATCACGTAGATGAACATTGTTGACTTTAAGAACTGTGACAGTCAGTCAGTGGGGTTAGGTTGATGAAAGACGAAGATGTATCTGGAGTAGGTTTCCAGATGCATAGTCGTCAGGCCAGGTCCACTCCACTTACATGCAAAGGATGCGCCTCTTGTGTGCCACAGGTCGGAAAGGTGTCAAGCCACACACGTCGACAGCTCGGTCCAGACATGTTCCGGAAGTCGCATCCTCGCATGCTGGATCAGAAACAGATGACGGGCGCAGATGAGACATTTGAGACCTTGGAATTCGAGCTAGATGCACATCCTCGAGGCTCCGTCTCTGGTCCTGGCTCTGCGCGTGAGTCTGTCTCTAGCTCTGGTTCTGGCTTTGCGGGCTTATTCATAGGTGAATAATGTGCGGAATCTTTGCACTTTCCAGTGTCCGTATTGCCTTACGTGGCGACCTGGCTGGCTGACGTTTGGCGGCCCATGGCGACTTGTGCTGCACACATTGGATGACCTGAACTTTAGGTTGGTACCTTGCCTCAGCTTGAGGGGAGGGGTCGGGATTTTGAGCCTGATGCGGCAGATGGCGATGACTGACAGGACTGTCGGCGGACGAGCGCAAATAGACCCTGTGTTTTTATTGTCAGTATTTGACACCTCACAGACACCGGGAAGGCTTCGTATTTGGACATTTACCGCCAGGGAAAGTCGAAGAGGATAGCGTGAATTCCGAGGGCCAAGACGTGATGTTGGGAGGGTTGCGGATCCCTCTCCGGTCACGATACCCATTTGGCTCGGAGTGGTAAGGTGAGTTTGTGCTAACAGCGGTTCCAGGCGGGGTGATGGTGGATAACCCCACCATTCCTGGTCGCAATGGTGCATTCGCAGCTGGATTTCCCCTCCGCAAGGCCCCCGTCCGTTATCGATAAGCTGTGCGATGATGCCGTTCAAGTGGGCATCCCATTTGTCAGTGACATTCCATTCCGAACGTGAATGATGCAGAAGAGTAATTCGCCCGCATTTGAACATGATCAAACGTGTCCTTCAAGGTGGTATTGGCGCGTCTGACTTCAATCGTGATGGACCCCGCCCCCACCACCCAAAACCACACGCAGCAAGAGGCGGGCAGGTGTAAGACTCATTTCGAGGCAGCTAAAGATGCTGAAAAGAGCCAAAGGAGGAAGGCAGGTCGGTGCATTTTCATATGCTTCCTCAAGTATCAGGCTAGAGGAAGAAGAGAAGGCAGGCATTATGTATGATTTCGGTGGTACTTGCCTGCTTTCCTGCCTTGCGCCTACCTTTTACTGCGTAATGGCTGCCTTTTTCGTCTTTGGCGGTGCGCCCAGATAGTAAGGTATTGTGTCTCCATCTTGGGTAGGTACCCGACCTTACCTGCCTTCCATCATCTCTCCACAAACTTCTCCCGGAATCACATCTCACGGTCACCTTTCCTTCCTTTTCTTCCTCCACACACGTCTTCTTTTCTTCGCTCGTCCATCTCACCTATCCTGCTCACCCAACACAGGTACAGACGAGGCCGACTCGACGATATTTACCGCTGGTATTTCACCTGAATCCAGACACACCGACCAACGCTTTGACGGACTAAAGCTCAAACGTGGGCAGCGCCAACGACTCCCCTGGTTAGTATCCTCTACCTTGCTGCTTATCTATGCCCCGAAATCCTGATAGCGGAAGGCGCATGACATCTACAAGTCGTAGATACCTCCGCCCTCCGATAAACCGACCGCTTTCCAGGCTCTCATCCCATCCCATCCCATCATCCATCCCTAGGTTCCCGTCTACCACTTCACCTACCTTACCCTTTCCTCCCCCACCCCGCCTGCCTTACACTTGTTGGAGGTGCTGAGGTACTGAGGTACTGCGCTACTTCCGTAAGGCAACTCCAGCACCCGACCGACGCCGCCCCTCAGATTCTCGGCACCTTAAGGTGGTGGCAGGCAGCACCGCCGACCCCCGACGACAATCCGTCCAAGAATCAACCTTCACCTTTCCTTTGCACCTTCCAAAGACTCACCTCACCAGAGTTAGTTGATCTCCTTGTTCCCATTCCACGTCTTCATTCTCACCTCCAGCTTTCAAACCTGCAGGGACTTCTTTGTGTCCAGAACATCCCCGACATTTCTGCTGCGTCAGCCCGTCGCCTAATCCCCAGCTGCCACCTCTCCCGCATTTACCCCTCCATCCTCCATCACCACCACCACCACTACACGTCCTCCACAACGCATCCTCACCAACTTCAACCCTCTTGCATCCCTCCGCCCGCTCGACTCTTCGAGGTATGACGGGACACCAGTAAGGCTGACTCTTTGCATCTTCGTTATGGAAGAGCAGCACACCGGCGATCCTATCCGAGACGTCGACGCCACTTCCGATCCAGCCAGCTCCACGACGCTGTCATCCTCAGAGTTAACGCTGCGCTTTCCCCGCCCACAAGGTAACCGACATCTTGCCAGCTGGATCTCTTCCAGCGAGCCCGACATCATGAATCCTTCCACCGCTTCCGACGATGGTGATCTGGCCGAGTCCTCGTACGAGTTCATTAACACGGATGACGATTTGGAGAGCCAGGACGACCGCGCCACCGAGGCTACCGAGGCAGAGTCTCTGAGCTCTTTCGACTACGCCCGACCCGATGACGTTCATAGTCTGGACGGCATCGAGCGGACAGATACCGAAGACGAGGATGAAGACGACGAGGACGATGTTGCAGAGGACAGGTCCAGAGCTTCCTCTATCCAATACGCCGAGCAGAGCCTCATGAACCCCTCCTCCCGCGTAGCCACACCCCCTCTGGATCATGCTTCTTTTTTCGAAACCCAAAGCCCCATTTGCGTCAAGCCTGTGGAAGTCAAGCACGTCACCCACCACTTTTCGGAGCCCAACCCACGCCAGATATCCTCCATATCCGTTCGCCGTACCATGGCCCAATCATCCCTCGATGTTAAGGGCCCTTTCCGAATCCTGTACAACGGCGACTCGGCAGCCGAGCACGAGATTATTCAAAAGTTCTCATCGGCCTTGGCGGCTTCTACATCACAGGAGCACTTTCTTGCTAATTCCCTCAGTGTCCAGTACTACGACGCTGAGGATGTTTCTGTCCCTCACGTCGCTGTTTTCTACATCACCAAGGATGATGATGAGACAAGCCAGAGCATCCGCGAGGCGGCTTGGACAACGATGCACGAGCGTGCCGTCCCTTGCGTCTTCGTCTCCGACACGGAGCTGTTCCAACAGCTAACCGAGAACTGGAATGACAGGATCGATCCTCACGTCATTCATCAGTTTGTTGAGTTCTCTGACCCCGAGCTTGAGCCACTCAGACTTCCAATCGACCTCAAGTCTTTCAAGGAGATTGATGCTCGTCAGCTGAACTACAACCTCGCTTATCTCACTGGTCTCTCCAAGACTGCAGTTGAACTTGAGACGAGCAGGTATGCGGATCTCTACGGCCACTCTATGAAGATGGTTCGCAACTATGCTCGGTACCTCGCCCCCAAGCTGGAAGACTTTGACGTCTGGACTGCTGTCCAATACTCTGTCATTTCGGGCATCGTCTTTGCGGCTCTCCTGCTCGGCAACTGGCATATGGGAGGTTCTTCAAGCATCGTACCAGCTGTCTCGACAACCACACCTGCACCACCGATGTCTACAACCCCAGTTGCTGTGTCCACTTCGACCGTCATCATCAATCTCACCTCGTCGACAGTTCGGGCTCCTCAACTGAAAACCACCCACAGCAGCGCCGTCGCGCCATTCGCAGAGCTGGCAGACTTCTTCGCTGACAAGCTCCCAGAGTCTCAGAAGGGCTTTGTGTGCTCAGCCGAGAAATACAGCCACAATGAGATCCTTGTCAAAATCCCCTCGGGCACCAAGACCTCCTGGCTTGCCAAGGACTCTATCTCGATTCGCGCTCTCAAAGGCGACAGATCTGTTAAGACCAAGTTGTCGTCGACGGACGAGGGTATCCTCATCGAGATCCCCAAGAGGGAAGCCCACGGCGTTCTCACAATTACCGTCAATACCACACGGAAGCCCAAGGTCAATGAGACCTTCTCCATCGACTTCGGCAAGACAATTTTGGGCCAGTGCTTTGGATATGGCAAGTCGGTGGCTAATGTATTCCAAGACGCTGCTCATCGTGGAGTAGAGCAGGTCATTGCTTTGGGGTCCTTGAAAACTTCGGTTGTGGATGACATTAGAGAAATGTCCACGCGAATCAGCGAAGACGCGGCCAAGACTGCGAACTACGTCAAAACCTCCTGGAACCCTGCAGCTCTGGCAGCGACATGGCAAGGTCTTCGTCATTCTCGCCAGACTAAGGACACCTTGGACTGGCTGGATATTAAGCATAAGACAGCACAGATCCAGTCCCGACTCTGGTGGTTGAAGATCAGCCAACAGGCAGAGAAGTACGACAACTACCTCATGAAGGCCAAGAAGTATCTTTCGGACAAGAAGGCGACGGCCGAAAAGTCCAGCAAGGAACGCTTCGACAGAGAGAGGATGGAGCTGCGAGCCCGCCGAAAGCAGGAGCGTCTGGAGGCTAGGTGCCAGTCGGGCTTCTCCCGCTGGACGCAGCAGTGCAAGCAGCAGGCCTAATTCAGCGTCAGCTTTTTACGTGCATGAACATGGGATACCTGGAACGACGGCAAGGGTTTACGGATGGACGGATCACTGGAGTTTTGGTATGGCTTTGTGGCACTTTCATCAACTTATCTCGCTTTTGACACCCTTGTAGTTATTCATCACATTACCCTTCTCTCACCTACAACTATCTTTTCACCCGAGTGTCTCGTTGATGACGAGAGTGTAGGGTGGTTCGGCGGAGTGTAGGTCTCGGAGGCGGATCTGGTTTTCAGACAACGGACAGAATCGATAGAAGACGAGCAGGCTTCTGCAATGAAATGGTATAATGTTATCAGTGAAATAAGTGTTTGCCGTCGTATCTTTCCGCCGTCGTCTTAACTTTATCCGAAGTGTCGATCAGTTGAAATCCTGGTGTTATTCAAGCGGATTTGCAGTTGGGTGTGGAATGCTAAGATGGTCTCTGAGGGCCACCATTGCAACACTGACATTCAAACGACAGCTAGAGTAATATCCAGCAAATTATCCAGTTCGATAGTGCGGATAGGGCCGGGTAATGGTTGAGATAGCGTCAAGATTCTCTTCCGCAAGTCAGGGACTCCCCAGTGGCGAAGAAAAGCGGTTCGCTGATTGGTCGCGCAGGAGCATCTTTGGGCTTTGGCTCAGGCAAACCCCCACCGGGGTCAGCGACACCGGGAAGTACAGGTCAGTGCAATTTTGGCGGAGGGGTACTTTCCAAGGCAGGATGACAACTGCCTGGGCACCTAAACAGCAAGGGCCTGGCCCGCCCGACACCCCTCTTGTTGTTGACTTTTGAATGAGGGGCTGTCTTTCCTCATTTTGTCCAACCCACCCCCAACTTCACGTTACCACTGACGGAACAAATTCATCTTTTGCTTTCCACCTTTTCTCGCTTGTTTGCTGCAGAACATACCGCTACTAGCCCTGGTAAGCTCGATGTCTTCCGGCCTTGATCCCCTGCCCTCTCCTAGGGCTGGATGACGAGTATTCGATCGATGCTCCCGCCTTGACTCAAGGAGGGGCAGACTCGGCAGTGGTGAAGAATTCAAGAGCTAATGATTTTTCCCCCCTCTGCAGATCCAAACATCACCAACTTGCTTATAATACCCGTCCGACGAACCCGACAAAATGTCTGCTGCCGAAGCCACCGAGCCCAAGGTCGAGGAGACCAAGACCGAGGAGACCAAGCCCACCGAGGTACGATACTTCTTTGTCGCAAGCGCCGATGGCCGACCGTCCTCGCGAGGGTCCTGGAGCTCACCGCCTCCCACCCGTACCGCGTCATGCGAAAGCGTCTCCCCTACCCGCCATCGGCTTCGCGATCTAATATCAAGATCTTATGGATGACTGACTCTTCGAACCGCAGACCACCGGCGATGCTGAGCAGCCCGTGACCTCCTCTTCCGTTTTCTCCATGTTCGGAGGTGGCGCCAAGAAGGAGAAGAAGGAGGACGAAGACCGTGGTGACAACTCTGGCAGCGCCAAGGCTCAGCGCGATGCTGCGGCTGCCGAGAAGGAAGTACGGCGAATCCCACATCCGCTGCTCAGAGCAGCCGTGTACGTGTGTATCAGGTGCTGACGTAGTCGCTTCGTAGGGAGATGAAGCTCCCGAGTCCGAGGATGTTCACTTCGAGCCCGTCATCAAGCTGACCGAGAAGGTCGAGACCGCCACCAACGAGGAGGCCGAGGAGCAGCTCTTCAAGATGCGCGCTAAGCTCTTCAAGTTTGTGAAGGAGACCACCGAGTGGAAGGAGCGCGGCACTGGTGACGTCCGTCTGTTGAAGCACAAGGAGAACGGCAAGACTCGTCTCGTCATGCGCCGCGACAAGACTCTCAAGGTCTGCGCCAACCACTACAGTATGTGTCTCGAGGCCCTCGAATATGCAACTGTCGCTAACCTTAACAGTCGTCCCCGAGATGAAGCTCTCCCCCAACGTCGGCTCTGACCGCAGCTGGGTCTGGAACGCTGCTGCCGATGTCAGCGAGGGTGAGGCCGAGCCCGTCACCCTGGCCATCCGTTTCGCCAACTCCGAGAGTAGGTTCCCTGAGAAGTATGTGATGAACATCAAGCTAATACGTATCAGACGCCAACCTCTTCAAGGACGCTTTCCTGAAGGCCCAGAAGGATAACGAGGAGCTTTTCAAGTCTGATGAGGCTGAAGCCCCCCAGAAGGAGTAAATTCGCCAATACCCGAATTGCCTGCGAATAGAGGAGGATGGAAGCACCGTGGCAATTAGGCCATGAGCCTTTGGGCACTCACTGCCCACCACAAAAAGAATCACGATCCTCGCACCATTGTTTTTACACACACACCCCACGCGACATGAGGCAGGCAGGATCATGTTTGGTCAGGAGAAGCTGGAGAGTGCAAAGAAACCTGCACCAAGTGGTGTTTTGTTTTCTGGCGGTTGGGAGGAGGATGAATAGCATCAAAGCTTAGGAGCAAGACACTACACAGCACAATTCAACAAGAATCAAGTCCCTTCCCATTTGATTAGACGCGCCAGCAGTAGATAGACAGGAGAATCATATCCCTTCACCCAACCCTTAGAGCTCTGCATTCAGGTGATTGTGCTTTTGAGTAGGTTTTTACAACGAGAGCCACTCATGACAAGAAATAGCAAATTACTGTGTGACTTTGGCCATGTACCAAGGATAGAGCTGCTTTGTCCTCCTGTACTTCCAGAGGGGATGTATGTGCAAAGTGCAAAGGGGAAGGAACATTCAATTAAAGTCCTTGCTTCCCCGCAACACGGTTCACGCTTCACGTTGCGCGCGCTGCGGTGAGCATTCCAGCCACCCCTGGGTGTGTGTGGCCCGAGCGTCGGCTCTCAGCCTTCCACTGCAGTTCCCAAACCTCCAAATCCCAATCTGGTGAACTTCACATAACCACCTCTGCCTCCCGCCGCATACTGAACCCCCGCTCGAAAACCACACATATTTACAAGTACCACATCAGTTCCAACAATTGCCCATAATGATTGTAGAGGTAAGCTTAGTCGTCCATTCACTGTCATACCCTAGGCGCGTCCTGTCGCGACGAGGAGCAGCTTCACACCCAACATGACCTGCCCCGGCCATAGCTGGCAGTCCTCAATAGCTTGCGCTCTCGGCCACCACACAATGTGCCTCTCCCAGTCCCTTCCTCTAGATTCAAGCAACAACTTAAAATCCAATCTACACTCTTCTATCCAGCAATCTTCCTTACTTCACCTCCACAAACTCTGCTCAACCTCGCGATCCCAATCACCACGATGGTGCAGAAGAAGCTTCCCAAAGCGAGGGAGCAGCCCTCCAGAGCCAGCAGCAGATTGAACAAGTTGCCTGATCCTAATTCTGTCCAGAGAAAAGTCAAGCTCGTTACCGAGCAGAACGTCATGTAAGCCGCTCTCGATAGCTCCTTCCTCCAGCCAAGCTGTCGCTAACCCCGGATTTTCTCACAGCGAGAAGCCCTCACCGGTCGAAGATTTCCCCATGCGAAAATGGAACATCGTCCTGTACATTGTCGGCGAGAATGGCGAGGAGCACCCGGCCGACTGCTTCCAGAAGGTCGTCTACAACCTCCACCCTTCCTTCGAGAACCCGACCCAAAGTTCGTCATACTCTCTTCCGGCGCGCGCTCTCGGGCCGCTCCTTCCCTGGTGGCAAACGCTGACCGGTCGCCCCTCATAGCTTTCCACAAGCCTCCTTTTAGGTGCGAGAACGAGGGATGGGGTGAATTCGACATGACGATCGACTGCTACATCACCGAGAAGTCGAAGCAGTCCCTTCAGCACGACCTGAACTTCGCCAAGAACCGCTACGAGGCCGAGCACACTGTCTCGTTCAAGAACCCCTCCCAGGCGCTGCAACAGATCTTGCGCGAGACGGGACCTCTTCCATCAGACGACGACCGTCTCAAGAAGAAGGGCGGTGCCGGTAAGAAGGGCAGCCAGAAGTACGATTACGAGAAGATCGCCCAGGCCCTCGAGAAGCTCGAGGAGGACGACCTTCTTCGCGTCATCCAGATCATCAATGACAACAAGACCGCGGACACATACATCAAGAGTGATGTTGACGGTGAGCTCATGCCTGCTTCCCCTACTACGGATCTCCTGGCTGGTCAGTTTTCCTTGCGTTGGGCACATGGCACGCCGCGAATTCGGCTTCCTGGGATACCAATCGCGAGACAGAAGCTGACGTGTTGCATAGCTGGCGAGTTCTCCATCGACCTATACACAATGTCCGACTCGATGACGAAGCAACTCTGGGAATACTTGGTGAGTCGCTCACTGGTGCGATTGTCATAAACGCACGGATGGCGTTCTTGTCGGGCTTCCGGGAAGTTGTATGAATGGTACATGTGGCACGCCGAGAGTCAGCGTACTCGCGGCGGGTTTTGCAAGGAACTGGGAAAGGAAAACTTGATGGGTCAGGGAAACAAGAACTGGCCGCTGACCGCGATGTTGTGCCCATAATGCAAAGAGCAAGAAGGGCCTCGTCAGCTAGGTAACCCGTCGTCGCTCGCCGATTTTCCTCCCACGCGAATCCGATTTGACGATATCTAATGGACGCACAAATCGACTGAAGGGCTCGGGGGTACTCACGCGTGAGGAGGGTGTGGACTAGCTCTTTTTCGTCATGCTTTCTTTCTTTTCCACTCACGCTATCCCAATGGCATTTGGCTAGGCGTTTCCGGCTTCTCCATGCGTTGGTCTGATTTTTTCTTCGTTTGCTGAGATTTCGTGTCTTGTTTTCTTGTCTTATCGCTTGTTTGTCTGTGTATGTCAACCTTAAAAAAAGCACTCACGGGTTCTCGCGTTTGCATGCGGGGGAAAAGGTAACCGTTTCCTGTTGTTTTTGATGAGAATGGAGACGAAGCTACGACGCTGGGCAGAAGTTTGGCTGAGTCGATTCGGGGGAGGAGGTCGGGCTAGACTTGTTTGTTTGTGTGTGTGTGATATCTCCTTCTAACCGACGGGGCCCCCGGCCTCTGCCCTCAGTGTAATCATATTGAACTGTTGCCTATGGAAAGAAGCCATCGTCCGGCGCCTGTGATTCTATGCTGTGGTGATGAGGTGAGTTGGCCCTTCTCGTGTTTAGTACCCGGCTCAGTTTCTGTTTTGAGAGATCGGCACGGGATGGACGTTGGAGCATCGTGGGTAAGGGCAGATTTCGTTAGGTGGCAGAGTGTACGGGTTAATCTTGCTTGGCGCGATGAGCACTTTGAGGAGCCACTGGTTTGGCTTTGAGGGTTCCAGAGCTCAAAGGAGGAGGCGGCAGAGGCGGCTAGTCTAGCGTCAAGTTAAGGCGACGAGAACTCGTGCCCGCGATGAACGTACGGCCAACGCAACATCCTTGGGAGTCCAAGCCTCTGCGCTATGTATATACGGAATCCTGGACTGGCGATCTGGCAAGTGCTCGTCCTCTTCCTCTCTACCTTGACATCTACCTTCCCATCGCCTCATATCATATTTTACCTCCCATTGCGTCACCAAGCTCGTCTGGACAGCCGCTGGTCCACAACCCTTGACGAAGTCGCCTGTCCAATCTCCATGATTGGTGGTTAGAGACGTATGTATATTTCCCGATGACTCGTCTGATCATGAATTCCTCACGTCGTCCTCCGGGTGTGCGCATAGATTCCGTCTCTCAGCTGCTGGGAAGCACAACATTAGTATAGCCACAACAACCCGTTTTACCCTCGTGTCTAGAGATATTCTCGGGAGTTCCGCTTTCTTCAAGCCGACTTCGCTCCCGAGTACCTAGCATTCTGGTCTTGCCATTCTCGGCTTCCCTTGTTCTACCCTTCTTGCAAGTCTTGGGGTGACGGAAGTGAATTAAGTGACAACCCATCTACTAGAGGTAAGGGGGCTAGACCACCTTACTGCCATTGGATATATGGAGGCTCAAAGACGACATAAGTTAGGTAGTTCGGCGTTGCATGTCTTGCGTTCTCTGTTTTCCAAAATGGATTGCGATCGCGTTTGGACCAACAACACGGACCATGTTCGTTTTATTAGCTACTTAGACTACAGGGGTCGCCGGAAAGAAGTGGTCAATCGTGTTATGGGAACTAGCGGCGTCTGAGTATTCAGATGAGTAACACGATGAAGACAGTGGCGATGGACGGTCTTTCTTTGGTGAAAGGGGGGGCGTTGTTCCCTCCGAACCCTCACTGCTTCTGCCTTGAAACCCCAATACAGCGTTTGCAGGTCACAACCGAAGCCAACTTGAACGAAACCACTAGACTCGTCTCCTTAAAAGTTCACATCATAGTGCTGGGATGACTTCTCAAGTACTCAATGGGCATTGGCCAGGTCTGCGAGCATCCGCGAAGCTGTCGGCGCTGGGGCATGCACGCGAAAGCCGCTTGACCTGCTCGGCTTTGCAACAGTACATTTATGTTACTGCCACCTTCTATCTTGATAGCATAGTCATACCAAACCGACACGGCTTTGCGACTTAGTCCTGTCTGCGGTAGGGGAAGCGTTTTCTTCAAACTGCTATTAGGGCCGTCAGAAGCTGCGTGGTACCCTCACGACGTGGATGGTTGGTTTCTGCAGGGCGTGTATCGCTCTTGTCCTCTATCTTCGTCGTCGTGTGCATATTCAGTGGAAATCACAGTGCTGCTGTTATTGTTGGGCAAGAAGTACGTCGAAAATTACAACAAGATGAACGCTTGCTCGAGTAGATCCTGGAAGCGAAACAGATCTTAACCAAAAGCCGTCCATCGCTCCTTCGATGGGAACGCTCCGTCATACCTGTGTCAATCTTTTGTTTCCGCGCTTCTCGGGGCTAAAATACTTCAAGAAAGAGGTACTTGATCTGCCCCATGAATTGGGGTTCCAGCTTCAGAAGTACTCTGTTGGGAGGTCGATCGTCCTCGTGAGAAAAGCTCATGGGAATGGTTCCTAGATGATCTTTAATTGTTTGGGCTGAATGTGCTCGTCGTAGCCATTGACACCTATGTGCAAGTCACTTCTCCGATACATCAAGGGCTGTATAAGCTGAATAACATAAAGATTCGAATCACTCGTCGATCTAGAGTCATGTTACTTCGACTTAGACTGCTTGAGCCTGCTACGCCATTACAGACGTAGACGCCTCTCTCTGTCGAGCCAACGTGGGGCAAATCCGACGACTATCGAAAACCAGCAATCACCAATGCAGAAGCCGTGGTGTCGTAAAAGCATGTGTCATCGAGCGCTGCAAGGCGACGCAACATTACATGGCATGCGGGGTGCTGTGCTGCATGTAATCAAAAAGCAAGCGTTGGGAAGCCAAGATCTCCCTCCAATCAATCATTTCCATCACCGACCCGAGAGCGAGCATTAGACCAATGCGGACCTCGGCCGGAGCGGGTGTGCCTTGCATCACCGGACGGGGCACCGCTCGGTAGCTTCGCGCCGGGGAAACTGTCCATCGGGTATCACGCCATCGGAGCTACCCCTAGGGCCCGTAATGGGAAGTATGCGGCCCATCTCTCGTATTCCGGAACGCTCGCCTTGTGACGATGCCTGTAAGTGCAGATGTATGTTCATAGCGTGGCCTTGTTCGTCGCCAGCCGCCGACGGTGAGAAGTTAGCGTAATGCGGTGATGTCGATCATTTAGAATTAAGTAAATATAAATATTCAAAGACCGCCTTCAATGAGAGGGCAGCTTCGTGAGAGCATATCCAAGTTCTTTTGATTTCGCCTTGTCAGACGTACCCCAAAACTGGTGAGCCCAAAATCGACCGAAATGCGCTCCTCCATCAGCTCCGTCCTCACCCTCGCGGCAACCGCCTCCGCCGCCGCGGTATCCTCTCGCGCGGACTACGGCTACTGGGACTTCGCCGGCTCCGCCACCTACCCGGTCAGCGGCTACACGTCGTACCACGTCGACGCGACGTATCACAACAGCGAGCTCGAGGCACCTATCGAGGTGACTTGCAGCTATCTCTACAACCCCCGTGACAAGACCGAGACGGCATCGTGCTCGGACCCGAGCTTCACGTACGACTTTGGTGGTGTCCGTAAGTCATTTTCAAAGACTCGAGAACTGGTTTGGAGGCTACAGACAGCTGATGATTGAGTACAGGCCAGGCGAACACCGTTGCGAATGTGACGCTGACGCAGACTGTCGGGCTCTGGGGAAGCAACGTCACCGTGAGAGGCACGAAGGAGTTTGATTTCGATTTCAGTGGTGGTGCCGGGTTTACGGGTAATGCAGAGGGTACCATCGAGGCTCAGACCGGTACGGCATGAGAAGGTACTTGAAGACATGAGCAGCGAGTACCCAAATAAGTTGATATCACGAATCTGGAGACCTTTCATACACTCTTTGGTATATTAGGGGTTTTACGTTGGGCAGAAATGATACAGGGTAAGTAAAAAGTAATTCTTTTACACTTCTCACCGACCCACCGGACTGTCACCGGGCCTCTAGTTGATGGAAAGGAGATTCTTCTTCCAAGTACGCGACTATATGTTTGAATGAACATGGTCTTCTATGACCTGGATATCGTTAACGAGCAAGCAGCAGGTATCCGGTGCCAGGCCTCCGGTTCCATAGATATGTATCACATCAACAACTCCCTTGACCCCTATAGATCGACGTGTTCACACTTGCCATTACTGGCTTTTCCCCCTCCAACAGGCCCCTTACTCGGTTTCTCATCTCTTGAATCTGCCACTGAGCTCCCTCACGCCAACTGTGATGGCCTGGCTCGGCTTGCCCTATCGTTGATGACTGGGTTCTTCCGCCTGTTTTGTCCGTTGTGGAACTCATGATTCGCCGTGTGTCCGCATATGGATCTTAACTTCCCCCGCCTCTATTCATAGCCGTCTCTCGACTTGGTTTGGTCGAGATCAAACTGCCGGAGCCCTCACTTCATCGTGTCTCTTGAGCTTCCCGAACAAGGTTCTTCCTTCAGTTCGATGAGGTTCTTTGGTGTTCTCGGCGTCTTAGGCGTCGACGGCGTGTCTGGTTCAGATGGAAGATCATTCAGGTCGATATGTCTGAAGTCTCCAACCAGGTGAGCTATTGACGACTCCTCGTACGTCGATACTCGGATTGCTCCGGGGGGACTGGACATGACTCTTGATGCTTGAGACTCATTGTTTGAGCCCTTGGCAGATCGGCCGGTCCTCGACAGTTGGGTGACGATCTTGGGGAAAAGTATCCTCCAAACCTGCCGCGTGCTCGGAAGGCAGGCAACGAAGACGCCCACGCACATTTCAATGTGCGACCACAGAGAACTCGAGAAAGAATCGGCTGAGGCTCAGTGTCAGCAACCTCCTTCAACACCCGCTCTTCGATAAGGGCGACTTACCTGTTACATTAAAGGACGTGGAGAATAACAAGAGAGCCTTGATCCGGTATGCGCTGACTGCTGTGAGGCTATGCATTGTTATTACCAGGTTCGAATACATCGGGACGGTTGACTTACAATACTCCAACACTAAACATGAGCATGACTCCAAATTTTCTCAGTTTCGGCATTCTCAGATCGTATACTTGGGTCGCTGGAAGAATGAGCATCCAAACGTCGAGGGCGACATTGAGGACGCCGTGGCACATAGCGAATGCATTCAGGTTGATGCACTTTCCCCTCATCTCCCCCGTCCATCCGTCCCAAAAGTAGTGAAGCGGTTGACATGATCCGACGGTACCTCCAATGAAGGCGATCAGGAGGCATAGATTGAAAACCTGGGTGCACCAGAGGACTCGTCGGAACTTCTCGTCGGGAAAGATACGAAGGTAGAGGAAGAGAATCGACGCCTTGACGAAGGCCAGGCAGGTCATGTAGAGCAGCCCGAAGATGAAAAAGAGCTGGAATAAGTTAGCCTATTGTGTCCCTGATGGAATAGGTCTCGAAGAAGTGTCCGCCCGCTTACCAATAGAAAGTATGTGATCTGGTCCGGAGTAAGAGTCCATATATCCCGTCCGGCCCCTGTTTCTTCAGCTGGAATTTGTGAGCACACGTACATTATCGGATGAGGTCTGGTGGCAGAGTGGCTTACCAAGATAAGCTGCTGGTAAGAAGGCAGCAAGAACACCCTGATATCATGTCAGAAACACGGGTTTGCAAAGTTGAGGGGGGCAGCAAGCCATACATAGGAAACCAGAATAGTCGAGTCATCCCAGCCCCATGGTGAGAGCTTCATGTATTTGTTCGTTATGCGGACGATGATGAAGAATGTCGGAAGCCCGAAGAGCAGGGCTCGAAACCACTGCATTACCGTGTCTTGCTGGGCGACGGGCACACCGCAGGCAGCAAGCGACTGATTCTGGGCAACTGCATGGATGATCAGTAATGATAATCTGACAGACATTTCACTAATTATTCTTACCAAGCATCTCCTTGACTGTGCACTTCACCATCACGCATGTCTGGACGTACCCCGCGAGGACCTTGTCGTTGCACATGCATGTCTGATTCGTGAGGGCACACGTAGAATGCCCAATTTCTTGCAGAACGCAGGAGACCTATCACCGTTAGCAACCATCGAGGCCAAGTTGATATCTCCCAGAGCTCCTTACCGCACAAGGAGGAATGCCATTGTAGGACAAATCGGCAGCAGCGAAGTAACCACCCAGACCAAGAAAGCAGGCAAGCAGGACGATGAATCGAAAGGCGGCCATCTCGAAGAGTCTGGAAGAGTAATTCGGTTGTCGGTGATCTTCCTGTATCCTCTCCCTCAACCCTCCGGATCCTTGATCGTCTGGTAAGATTGTCGACGGACTCGTGTCCGCAAGGGCTCGACCGGGATGAACCAACGTCAAGGTAGACTTCGCTCAGGGTTGGCCATGATGTTGACAACCCAGAGATATTGGGAACGGGAAGAAGGCAAGGACCGCCATATAGCGGGGCTTTCTTTCCCCGGAAAGCACAGAACAAGGGCTTTCATTCCATCCAGCTAATGAAGGGTACTAGCCTAGTTCCTTGGGCTAAGAGCTGTGCTCGACCGGGGCGCTCTGGATTTGTGGCTGTTGTCCCTCATGGACAGACAGGCATAGTCAATCATTGTATCAAGCCGGTTTCTGCAGCCGGGCGTACCGGGACCTGCGAGGCCAGTAAACGTCCGCGGGTCCTTCTCCGGTGAGTTGGTTTTCTTTGCGTTCGCAGAGGGGGTGTGAGCTAGCGAGACACTTTTCCCTTAATGTCAGACCATCCATCCTCTTCCTTGCTGTTGCCGAGAGAGCGACGCCGCGGCTGAGACCATTCAGAGACTTGAAGGACGGGATATGGTAGTGGAGTGCGGATGATGGCGTCTTAATGATGGCGCTAGTTGGAAACCACGGCACGAACTACTATGGAAGAGCAGAAGCTCTGGGGTTTGGGATGGCAGATTGGCGTGGCGAACGTGGGCTAAAGTGAAACTAGTCGCGGGCTGTGCGCGCCCGACTCAGGGGCAACATGATGTTTGCGGTCTGCTGGGAATGTCTTCGCTGAAGAGGAATGCCGTTCGCGGTTTGGTGATGTCTTGGCATTTGAACGGAAGCATTTGGCTTACATCTCGGTAAGGGCTCTTTTTCCATGAGGAATCTTTTGCACCCTCAAGATGCGATTGGATCGAATTCAGCAACGATCGTGGTGCTGGCACCGTAACCTACGATATCATCTCAACTCACGGCTACAATTCTCGCGATGTCGAACGGTATGCACCTCTCACGACTTTCGCCGTCTTGCCTCGGGCCCGATGGCGCAACTGGTAGGCAACGGTATGGCGAGGTATGCATGAAGAGGTTTAACCCCCAGTCAATCCCCTTCATTTCCAGGATTTTGGGACAGCCCTATTGAGGCTTGCGATTCGCTTTGGCAGAGGCGTCGGCAATGTATACTTCCCGTCGCACAACCGTTGCCGATAAACAGAGACGATTCCATTTTGCAAGTACAGTAAGTGCCGTAGACACATGGGTTGGCGCGATAAAGGCGAGCCGGCAGGTCTTCTGTGTCGCCGTTTAAGGCTCGTGTCCCGAAAATCCCGTCTAAGCGAGCTGTTGATGTAGCTCTAGATTTCCAAAGTTCATGACATCCGGAGGAGATCAGGCGTTGATAGACTTGAAGCGGTTTAGACTCACTTTTTGACAGGCGACCACCGCGGCTTCCAGAATCTGCTCAGCCACTGATTCATCAAAGAGATGTTATTGCGCCGCCCTGCCCTCCTCCACGCATCATAACTGCGCCATTTGCCTCCAAATCTCTTTATCCATGCTGATCGAGCATGAACGTTTTGCGTCTTCCGCGAGAAAATTAGACATTTCCTGGAAGATCCTGACCTGATTCTGGCTTATAGCCAGCATTTATCGCATCGACACTCTTTGAAGAACAAAGAGAGAATTCTAACGATTGGGGGATGACAGTTCATACGTACGGGTTGTTGAATAAGCAGTTTGCTCCAAGTCCATCAATCGAGAATTTTGACTGATGGCAATCAAACAAAGGGGTGACCTTGAATTTGCACGACAGTGATATGTCGTTTGCAGAAACTTCGCATCTAATCTGCTACCGACTGCTGCCGGAACCGGAGTGGGGCCCATTTCTCGGGACGGCGGGGAAGAACACGGAGGGTTCGTCCGACGGGATCATCGGTTCATCAGTATGACAACAAAGCTAATAACTTAAAATCAGCCTTCAAGAATCAGCAGTAGAACATACAATAGCGACGGCGCGATCATTAGTACAACATGAAGACCGCGGCATGACCCAGACAACAATCAAAAGAAAGGCGAGCAGTCGCTTCGTCACCTCGCAAGACAAATCAAGCAAAAAGGCAAAAGAAATGATTCCCAGGTGGGATTTAACCACTGTTGCTCCCCGAGGTGGGCTCGAACCACCAACCTCCAGATTAACAGTCTGACGCGCTAGCCAATTGTGCCATCGGGGATGAGCTCGAATGAGCTGATTGGAATTGTTGACGGGGACGGTCGGATTGAGGAATAAGAAGCCTCGAGTTGTGGACACGTTGCCTTGTTATCCAAGTTTGAAACCCTAGCCAGCGGTGCTGTTGCAGGTTTGGGCACAGGAATGCAGCTGTGATTGGTGGTGCAAGGGCATTTCGACCCACGTATGTGTCATTTGTGGTCCGTCCTGGTGAGCCCTTTGGACTCCACGACTCAGTCTCAGCCAATGGTACATACAACCTGCACCTCTTTGGCAAGGACATCTTTTGTTACGTTTGAGGTTGACAAAGTCCTGAAGAACTTAGCAGCAAATATGTCTGACCCTCAGCTTCACAGCTTCAATATCAGTCAAATGGATACGCAGTAGTTTTGCTGGTGTGACTGTACAGGTTGCCGATTTCGATGACTCGGGCTCAGAAGGGTTGATCAATCTCAAAGAACAAAAGACCAGGCTTTCATTTAATACCACATTCCAAAGCTGTCCATCTAATTCAGCTCATAGGGCAACTTTAAGCTCACGCCAGCAAACAGAATAAGAATGAGTTCTGGAGTGGTAGAACTGACTTGACTACAGCCTTAAGGTAGTAGATGTCACTTTGTAACCTCTCTGTCCCAAAAGGATAAGAGGCTTCCCAAGCCGAAAGACCTTCAAACCTGTGTATTAGCCACTGTACACTGTAACATCTTTTCCGAAAAGTTTGAGCTGGAAGAGTCAGAGGGAGGCTTAACTCTAGGTAGGCAATGAAACAGCTTTCGATTATTGGATGTAATTCTAGAACAGCTTCGAACAACAACGCCAACACACACCAAACGAAAGGGACTTATGGAAAATGATATTGAGTTCTGGGTTGATGAATCAGCAATGTAATTTTGATGATGAGCTGCTACTGACTTTGAACCAAGGCGTCTAGAAAGGTTTGCTCGAGAATCGTTATACTAGCCATGAGAATCAAATAAACCCCATTTCATATAGCCCAGATAACACCAACGATTCGTTCCAGTGCTCGAACGAAACCACTCCAAACCGCAAACTTGCTTATATGTCCAAGTCATCCAAAGCAACCGACGTCTGCCCAGCCCCCTAACGGCTCTGAAACTTGCCGTCAACCTCCCTCAATCTCTCAACAGCCTCCATAAGCTCCCGATTAACGACCTTCAACCTCTCAGGAACCTCGTCGTCGCCATCGCACTCGACGGGCGCGGGCGTGGAGGGAACCCTGACCGCCACCTTCCTCGTCCGTCTGTTGTTGTACAGCGGTCCCGAGAGCCGGCGCCCGTCGTCGTCGCCGCCGCGCTCCTGGACGTGCTTCTCGATGCGGCCCGTCACGGCCTTGACGCTCTTGACCAGGCCCTGGATGCGGGAGATCTCGCCCTCGATCTCGGAGACGTGGATCGTCTGATGGGAGTGATAGGAGACGCTGTGGGAGACGTCGGGGATGGGACGTCTTATGGCGGGTGTTGTGGTTGTGAAGGGCCGCGATGTCTGAGGCGGGACGGTTCTGGCGGCAACGGTGCCGGAGAGGGCTTTGAATGCGCAAGATCTGAAGCGATGCATTTTGTAGGCTTGTTTTGGTTTGGTGAAACGTTGTCTTAAGTTCTCGGTGATGTGTCGCGGGTAGATAATGTGTTTGTTGCGCGTAGATTCTGGAGGTGTGTATCTCGACTACTGGGAGCAAACGATAAGAATGGATGTGAAAATATCAGTTCCTTACGTCTAGAAGAGGTGCAAGGGGGTTTTATAGTAGAAAACGAAGAGGTGGATGCGCAGTTCCTCCAACCAAGGTAGGAACCTTTGCGTCAATATGGGCCCGATATCGACGTAAACTTAACCATGAGAGACACCTCGGTTCACCCATCTGAAAGCTGGACTTTGAAGACCGTAACACCCTATCATCGTTATCATCGCTATTATTGCGGTCATTGTTGTCGCCGTCGTCGTTCTGTCCGGGTAAGGGTGTGATTCAGTGCGGCCTATGAAAAATCAAGACATGAGAACAAGAGCATTTATCATTAGTTAAATATGCTGGTTCCAATTCCACCCAAAACCAAGCCTAAAGACAACCTTCCGACGCATCGCTGGCGAATAACCTTATGACTACTCCTGCGTTCCCTTCTGCTTCAGTTCCGAGTATCGTACAAACAGCGAGTCCAAGAAATGCGAATGACGGATTCCATTAGGCCTCGCCTTCGCAAACGTGTCGATCGCCTCCTGCACCTCAAGCCCGCACCGCTCAACCAGGTAGCACACGATGAAATACCCTGTGCGGTTGAAGCCGTAGTGGCAGTGGACGCCAATTACCTGGCTCTGTCCATCAATCTCCTTCCATCCCTCCTGTTCGGCCCTCTCTTTCTGCTGTTCCCTCAGCTTGTCAACGACACCCACGAACGTGGCGACCTCGGCTTCCGTAGGAGGAATTTTGGATACCGTGGCGAATTTGTGGTATCGCACGCCGCCCTTCTCCATGCTTCTAGGATCGTAGACCGGCTGGTCATGACTGATATCAACAACATCCTTGATGATTTCTCCCCAGTTCTTCACGAACTCTGCAGGGCAGTGCACGTCATCTACCTCCCGCAATGTCTTCATCGCTCTGAAGATGGCCGGCTCGCCTTTGGGACCGATGGGGTGAGATACTGGCACGACCTTCTTCCACTTGGCCAGGTTCTTCACATCCCACTTGCCCTCGCGAGAGAGATACTGCAGCTGCCACCCCAACGAGAATCGACCTGTAACATGGGCAGCAAGGAAGTCCGAGACTTTGCCCGCCACAATCCTCACGGTGGAAGGCGTAAAGAGCAGAGAATGGTTGGCAGGTTTGGGCAAAATGATCGACCTGACAACCTTGGTTGGATGTTTAGGCTGAGGCGGGAGATTTGCCGGTGATGATTCTTCGGGTGTAGAGGGGTCCTCATGAGCCATGTCTGCGTCTTCGTTCAGTCGTCTGTCGCGCTGGAAATCCTCATCTCGAATGTCGTCTATGCTTTCGGGCATATGGTCGCTGGGGCTGCTCGATGCATTAACTGGTGCGGCAGCGTCGACAAGGGTCTCGCCGTCCTCTGAACCGGTTTCTGGTGAAAGAGGCGCCTTCCCTGAGAGGTACTCTTCGATCTTGTGGACTTCCCCTGGAGGAGTTAAGTTGTCTGCCTCTCCTCCGATGAGAAATACAGGGACATCGACACCGGCCCAAATATGCTTGCCGGCCACGCCTCCCTTTGCGACGCCATTCTCGAAAGTAGTCGGCAGGGCGCCCCAGGCCATGCGGCGCCATACCGGCGTGCGGCTCTGGTTGTTGAATCGATCCTGTAGCTTTCGAAGTTCAAAATCTGCTTCGGGGCCGACGAATCGGCTAACACTGACACTCCGCGGCCCTCCCCATCGGTCGTATAGCCTCCACAGATTGAACAGCCAACCCGGAACCCAAAGTAATTTCCGAAAAGACGCCGTCCTCTTTTCCGGCGGAGGCCCAGCCAACGGGCAAATCGCGACAAGTCCAACGATGTGCTTGCGCAAGTCCGACTTGCGAGGTGCGTTGTGGCTTGTGAGTTGAGCGCACAGAGCAGTGCCCATGCTGTGGCCGACGAGGACAATATTACGATCAGGTTCCTTTTGGCGGTATTCGTCGATAATGACCTCTAGTAGCTCCACAAGAGATTCCGTGGAGTAGGCGTCCCATGCTGTTTGGCTAAACTCGGAGCGCCCACATCCGGGCATGTCAATCGCCAGACATGATGAGATGTGAACAAGGCTCGTCAGCAAGGGGTGGAATTGCGCCACTGAGCCACCCAAACCGTGAATAAACACCAGCAATGGGATGGGCGGCTTGGGTAGCTGGTCGGCCTGAGGGTGTCGTCTGTAAAACGTGCGGATGCCGGCGTAAGTGTAGCGTTCCGTCTTGTACGTGCGGATCTCCGAGTTCTGTTTGAGTAGTGTCGGATCCGTGGTCTCGGGGTCGTGAGGATTGGTGAACCACCAGCCACGAGCCTGTTGTTGGTCTGCCATTTTGGCCGAGGGTGTCCGGAATACGTGCTGGTCCAAGACGCGTCCACCAAGGGTAGCCGGTACACCGAATAAATGGGTGACAATAAGAATCAACAGAGGAATAAAGCGCGGGTATGGGTATCTCTGAAAGTAGTGCGCTGCAAAAAAAGCGGCAGTCTTCTGCGTTGGGTCGGACAGGGTATGTAGTCCGACGATCTCCAACAAGCCGTGATTGGGTCAGATATAAACAAGAGAAGGAGTGTGGGCAAAGATAGATGTATGATAACGATGAGATGCTGCCTCCGGAATGTGACTCAAAATCGGGAAAGTCGCTTCCAAGTCAGAGCCCTAGTTGCAGCTCCCTCTTCTGCGGTTTCTCTCCGTCGCACCTGCTGGGTACAACTGGGCACAAGGCCCAGAAGCACTGCAGGGGAGAGCTTTTATGAGGACAGCGCGGGGGAGGTGCCGTCGGGATCTGAGGGGATCGACTGAGACGAGGCAAGCCAGAACGTGGTCGGAATAGGCCGTTCCTACGGTAGGAACCCGTTTCTAGAATGGTTCTTGCAACTGGGGAAAGGGAGATAAGGTAAGAAACTTGCGCGCCTGAGAGTGAGAGTGCGAGCCTCACAGAAGAGCTGGACTGGACCACCCGGCAGCGGATACTTTGGTGGAGAGAAGTGCACCGAACTTTGCCTTTTAGGTAATTTATGTCATTGCCCATTCTCGGCCAACAGTTCGTCATCCTCCCTCCACCTGGGCCCGGGAAAACGCTGTCATTGGCGCTTCTAGTCACTAGAATTTCTGACCAATTGGAACATCGCTGTGAATCAGACGGCGCAGGGACTTGCGAGGTTGATTACGTACTTTTCGAGATGAACGATGGAGTACTATTTGTACATGAGATTATATTACAATAATAATTCTTTGCAGAGCTTTCGTGTCCCGCGATGCTCGCAGCTGTGATCGTTGAGAGCAAAATATGGGATGGTCAGAATGGCTGCACGTTTGTTGGATGAACCGAGACATCCCTCATCGAATCCTCAGCAGCCAGAGGATCGCATCGGACGGAGGAGTCGGAAGAACGCACAAAGCGCCGATGACCGGATCTCGATGCTCCATGCCAGCCCACTTCCACCTTGAGGATCATCGTGATACTGTCGTGTTGGCCTCTTCTTCCCTTCCACGTGTACCTCTTGCTACAGCCCAGGCAATCCGTTCTGAACATCATGACTCGAGTTAGACATGCCCCCGTCGTGAGCACGTCACGCAGCGCCCTTGCCCTCGACCCATCCAAGGGGAATCAAGGCAGCCGCAACATCGTCAACGCCCCGCTCCGTAGCAAGCAGATTGAACTGTGATGCTGCGTTTCCTGTGTCCAGTACGTCGACACGAATCCCGATCGAGCTGAGGTGCTTTTTCGTTGCAGGGGCGAGTGGTACAATCTTGGGGCCGACACCGAGAATCAAAAGATCTGAGAAGGCCACGTTAGCTTCATGTTTCGTTGCACACCGTGTTCCATCATTCGGAGGCCTTACCAGGTCGTGGCCACAGTAGTTCCAGTACACCGAAAACCTCTGCGGGAAGCTCGAACTGGCCCTTGGCGTTGATCAGATTCATCGATCCTTTTGCCTCCCATGGGCGCCATTCGAATGCCTCACCGCCGACAAGAAGGGCGCCATTTCCGTCCAAGATCTTGACGCCGCTGTTCAGGGAGAAGCCGTCCGACATGCAAACATCAATCGATGTCGAGGGTGTCGGGGCGCCGCCAAGAACGTCCAATTGCTCGAAGTCGGTTCCTCCTTCGTATTCGTTTGTCTTGTTCTTTTTCGATCTTGAAGAGATTGTGTGGAATTGGCTTCGTAGACATGCGACTTGCGGGGGTGTTGCGGCAGGTCGTAATGGTGCTGCGGGAGCTCGCGGAAGGGATCGAGGGATTGTCCGTTGGGCGCGCGCAAATGCGCGGAGCAGCCGGGTGCCGGCGGAGGAGCTCATCGTGCAATCTGAAAATCCTCGCACCAAGGTTCGCAAGCCGAGCTTAAGACGATGTCGTTGGGCGATTCAGGGTTGTGATGTGGAAGGTTGAGTGCAGGCCAGGGACGAAATTTTTGGCAGAGGTGCCTCAGTAGTTCTTGAACGTCATGATTACAAGGCTAAGGTACGCTGAAATGGCACACGTCCGATACGAGATGGCGGGGAAGCCACAAACGGTTGAGAGGACACTGCCTTTTAACAACTTGGCGAGTTAACACGGCGTTTGATAAATGGGAGAGCGCATGTGCCAAAAGTTCAATTCGCTGTCATAATTCCGATGCTGGGTTTTTGTAACCACTTTTTGGCGCCTTGACCGAAAACCGCGGGGTCGTCACGAAGAGCAACGAAAAGAAAAAAATCCCACATGACCAAAACAAGTTGAAAGGGCTCGATTTCCGTTTTCATTCAGGTATCGAGGCCTAAAAGTGCCCTAACGCACAGCAGCAGACGAACCGTCATCAATCCGCCTGTGGCCGACGATTCTTGTGTATCATGCAGTTCCTTTTGCCCTTAATGAACACCTAAGCAATGAACCAACCCCTAATTTCCCATTCCGGCCAGCTTTGGTTTTGACGTTGACGCAAGAAGAGACGTGTTGGCAATTTATTTCTTCTTGTCAGACTGGCTCTGCTCCTTCAGCACCTTCTTGACGATCTTCTGCTCCTCGATGAGGAAGGCGCGGACGACGCGGTCACGGACGCAGTTACCGCATCTCGAGCCACCGTAGGCGCGCTGGACGGTCTTCTTGGGCTTGCTGAGCTGGCTGTACTCGCGGGGGCGGAGGGCAGGGACCTGGTTTGGTCTTGTTAGCGATCATCGTCATTCGTCGTACCGTCCGTAAATTCGAGATCGTGGGTGTCATCTGGGAGCGCCGGTCGGAATTCATTCCTCGTCTCTCTCGCGGGCGGTGACGTTGCCGTAGTCCTCCCGCATATCCATCGACATGTTCCGTAGCTCCTCCGATGACTCCATGCGCTCCTAGACGGCTCCTCGATTCTCGCTTCGGCGGTGGTGTTTTGGATCGAACTTACGCCAGGCAGCTTGACACCGCAGTCACCGCACTTGGGGGCAGTGCCGCGCTTCTTGATGTGGAGGACGCGAAGCTCGCCACCGGGGGTCTTGACGATACGGGTCTTGTTGGACCTGGTGTTGTAGCTGTGAATTTCGCGAGTTAGTATCCCGACGTGCACGCGGAAAATGCGGACAACAAGTCGACTCTCGATAATTCGATCGCGATAAGTTGACTGCCAGGACGAGAACTCACCCGTTACGGCGGCGGTAGGTGACACGGGCTCCGGCCATTGTGACTGATTGATGGGTGCTGCGGACGTTAGTTGAGCAGAATCGTGAGTCGCAAAGCTGGTGGAAATTTTGTCGAAATGTTAGGATTGTGGGAAAGAGCAAAATTGGTGGATCCGCCCTCATTGGTCACCTAAGCGGCGCCCCACCCAGCCCGTCTCACGTGCTCTGAGCGCCTGCACTAACAATTTTCGACCTGGAGCGTCTCCCCTCAATGCCTCTGTGTTGTACTGCTCGATCGAGGTCGTCTGCATTCTTGCTTCATGTCAGTCGTGCAGATGATATATGCAAACTTGCAATCGGGTCCTGGAAACCAAAGAATTCTATTCCAAACCATCTAATGCATATTTTCGCGATGCGTTCCCAACGTCCTGATCCAGAAAACGCCGTCACCATTACCTACAAAGCAACGCCAGATAATCCTTTTCCTGCAAACCGCCAACGCCATGTATCACCCAAACCGCACCTATGCCAGCCTTATGACGACGGTTCTACATTCATCCAGTCTGGGTGATCCGTCGTGCGCCAGGCCTTAATGCCGTTGGGCTCTTCCTGCCTACGCTTTGTTGCGTGGTCCATGATCTTGGTCATGTCCTCACTCTTCCGTAATTCCTGAAAGTCTTGCACCTCTTTCTTGGCCGCGGCGACTGACCCCATGAACGCACTAAACTTGGCTTGAGCTGAAGCAAATGGTTAGTCAATAGGAAATGTGTAAGGGAGGGAGGGAGTACGTACGAGATGGTTGTTGAGCTGACAAAGGTTCCATCATTCGTGGGATCGTCGTCCGCAGTCCTCTAAGCTGTGAAAAGGATTAGCTAGAATACAAGGCGGTGCCGCAGAAGTGAGCGAACCTGAATATGAAGGAGCTTCAGTTGGTTCAACGCCTGCTCGAGGTGTTCCTCGTCCCATGCATCGTTGCCCGGAGCGCCAGGTCCAGAGCTACCAGTCGGACCGTTGCTCGCCATGATGTACGTGTAGCGTGACGGCAAGGCAGATCCGTAAGAGAAAAAGCTCGACGGTGCCGGGTCCCTCGCCAATGCCTGAAAAGACAGAGCAGAGTTGGTAGACCGGATCGAAAAAAGAAGTCAAGTTTCTCGGTCCGAGTATCAGTATTGAGCTGATAGGGGTCGGGTGTAGGGTGAGCGGAGAGATGCAGAGCTTCGGGCGCAGTCACAATCGGGCAATGTCCAGATACGGCACGGAGATGTTTGCGCGGCGCCGGAATCAAGGGCAGCAGCTACGCAAACCTGCTCTTTCATGCAACGCACTACTTTGGGTCTGTTGGTAGTTGAATGACACGCCTGATACCTGGCACAGTGACAGCGCAAGTACGGGCCAGAATCGTCTCCAAGCAATGTAGATTCCCATGAGCGGGATGCCAGTCAGGGACACTAGAGGTGGTTGGTGCGGAACCGCCTCAAGTCCCACTTCTTCCCGCCCCAGGGGAGGTACGTACCGGGAGCAAAGATCACGTGAGTTGGGTCATTGGGGTCGAATCTCTAGGTACCTCTCAGGGAGACAATTATCAAAGGGGCAGGGGGAAACAAATAAAAGCGGATCGGCGACAAAACAAATGAGATAACTTTTATCAACTCGTCTATCAGACCACTCAAACACGACTTGCTGCAGTGTGGAAGTGGCGCGCATCTCCGGTTGAGATTGTGCAGTTTTCACGAAAAAAGGTAGGTACAGGTACTTGCAAGCCCGAGGCACGCTGCCGCGCCAAGCTAACTGGCCTTGCAGCTGGATCCTTGAAGCTGACCTCCCGGTTGCTCGCTAAAAGGTTACCGGAGGGCGGATTAACTGCGAACCTAGTTCAGACCGTGCGGATTGGAATTCTCTGACTCCAACCTCTCCGTGTCTCCTGGCATCCGTCACGAACAGCTATTATCCATCGGAAGCTGCCTCTTCGCCAAAACCAACAAATACCCGTCGCCTGCACTTCCGTTTCACTTCAAACCCCTCAATCATTTCTTTCCGGCGCGTCCTCTTTCTTACGGACTCGTCATTCAACACCATTTTCCCCAACGATCCCTTCACAACCGCCAAGCTGGATTCTTCCGTGGTCATGTCGAGCGCGCCTGCGCCGGCGCTTTTACCACCGCCTGAAGGTATATACCGAACCTTCGAAGACCTCTTGTCGTCCATTCAGCGCGTCGCAAAGGACCAGGGCTACGGTGTCGTCAAGTTGCGCGCCTCCAACTACCGCGACGGCAAGCCCACCCGTTACGACTTGGTTTGCGACCGCGGCGGCGTCAAGTACAGCAGCACCGCCAAAAAGCGCAATCCCTCTACGCGCAAGGTCGACTGCCCCTGGCGCGCGAAGGCCGTCTGCGAGGTTCAACTCGGCAACCAGTGGCGCTTCGCTGTTCAGGAGGGCAGCCACAACCACGAGCCTCGTGTCGCGACAGCCCCTCCTGGCCAGGAGAACACTCCCCTCGCCCAATCCATCCGCTCTTTCACGAACAAGATCGACCGCCTGAACCATGACATGACCCAGGGATTCTTGCGCATCGAACAGGTCCTCGAAACGATGAACAAGCGGTTGGAAAACCTCGAGAATCGTACCGGAGCGTACGAGCCCCGCTTCCAGAACATGGAGTCGCGGTTACAAGGCATGGAGGCTCGCGGTAGCATGGAGCTGCCCATGGACGACGTCGACGCTCGGCTGCTGTCCTCTACGGTCATGTAGGATGAAGGCCAAGTCGACACGCATAACGAGTACACGGCCAACGAGTTTGACCTGCCTTGAACACCTCCGAGCTAATCGACTTTGGCCACTTACATCAACCTTCACGCGCTACACCGAACAAAAATGGGAGAAAAGGAGCAGACACGTCGATATACTTCATAGTCTCACGCAGAGACTTGGGACATGGCGACAGGTGGGGCTGGTTGGGCGGGCAGGCATGTCATATTTTCAGGGCGTTTGGAGGGCGACCAGGGCGTTTCGGACTTATTCAGCATCTGCTATTTTTCCTGTTGGTGGCCTCGACATCATGCCTTTGGAGGTCAAGTTACTCTATGAAAAAGGGTGCGGCAGCATGGGAGGCGGCTGTTCTTGTGGTTTGGGCATGCGATGGACACTGGGGTTCATCATGATGAGCAAAGTCCCGGATTGGGCGTACCATAGCTAGAGCACAACATGACACCAGCGTATGATCAAATGGGCTCCTTCCGATGTTGTTGCTTGTGTGATGCGCTCCCTACCAGCTACTCGGGGGAAGGATCGAGGTAGCTGGGCGGCATGCCGAATGCTGGGTATGACGTAACAAGAGACCCGGACAGCTTTCATCATTGTAACTGCCGTTATTTCGCAGACTTCACCGCTGCAACTCTTTTCTTTGCTCTTCCGACAACGTCGAACTGCCAAATATCTATGTGCGCTTTCCGTCTCCATTTCCACGCCATCCACGCCGTTGGGACTTACACGCATCGGCATCGGAATGAGGTCCGCGGCACAGTATCAACTGGACCCGCGAATTCCAACTTCGCACGTCCGCAACACGCACACTGTGACGATTTTCCCACACACCCGACGACCCCCATGACAAGCTCCGGTTGGCTTCCTTTCTGGTAAGGTAGCAAACAACATTCCTAAAGCAGATAATGCAGGCCCGGGTAGGGAACGCCACGCCCGAGATTGGCTGGTAATTGACGATTCGCCCTCCGCCCTTCGCTCTCCGCCCTTCGCCCTCCGCCCCCGCGCGTCCTCGCCGGTTTACTTGTTGTCACTTTTATCACGTCCATTCTCCACGGACCCTGGTCTTGCAGTCCGAAGCCCCAGAACGGAGTCTGCAACACGTACGACCTTCGACTCCTTGTTGGAGGCAATCATTGTCGTTTGGTCTGGGTGATTCGGACCAGGGGTGTCATGCAGGCGTGTGCGTTCATCCAAAGATTTTGTCAACTGACAACAGAGCTCCGGTCATGTTTTCGAGACCATACCAGCACGTGCGACCCGAGAAGCCTCGATCGGAGGTGCTGTATGCCACAACGCATAGTACTTCGGCCTATCATGGCCACCAACAGAGCCCAGTCGCCTCGCAAAATCACGCCGATGATGCATCTATCATATGGCTGCCTACATCGATCCTACCCTCCAAGATTATTTCGGCTGGCGAGAACTCGTCAACGACGGGTGGTGCCTGCCAATCAAGTACGATAAGTATGTCTCGATATGGCCATCCCCCAGCCTGGCGATGTTTGCTTGCCTGCCGATGCTGCTACCATCACTCAGACCACCTGCTCGCTTCCCGGTTATCACGCTTCCACTCCGTCGGTAACCAGTGAACGCGGGGGCCATACTCCATCCCTCTGACCAAGATGCGCAGTCTAGGCTTAGTGAGCGCGGCTCGGACTCGAGGCTGTCAGCCCATCACGCCAATAAGGCCTCCATATTCCAGAGTTGCATTCGAGCCGACGGGACTCGACATCATATTCGCCCCGGCACGAGGAGGTAGCCCGGTCTCAACGGGCGTTTGCTGCCTCACACTCCGAAGCTGCATTGCTATTGTGGTCGTTGTCTAGGGGCGTGAGTGGACTGACCGCGGTCTTTGGACCCCATCGAATGAAGAGCACATCCGCCGAGGCGACGGGGGCCGGGGCCGGCTTGTCGCAGGTGACCGATGACGGAGAATCCGAGTTTGTTTTATTTCCTGAAGCATACCGGCCGTAAAGTACTGACCAATACTTCACAGAATACCCTCTCTCTCAACCCCCAAAGAAGGCATCGCTCTTGCTCGTCGGTATGCGTCACAAACTTGGAAGGTGGGCCGTCTCCAGAAGAACCATGCGTTCGTGAATGTCATCACCCGCCGACCAGACCATTACACCAACCAATCGACAGCCCCAAGCTAAGATTATGGGTATGCGCAGCTCTCATTACCTCGGTCTCGGGCGCTTAGACAATAGCCTTCGGACAACGATCCCAGTTAGCACTTCGGCCCGTCACGAAGATTCCGAAAGCCACCACGTACCCCCAAAAGATCCAAGCTGCAAACTGTTGGTGGTTTTCATGCTGCACCGGGGTTTACTGCTCCTACCTGAGGAAGCAAACTCTGTTGCCTCTTTTCCCCCTCCCCGCTGATCCTTTCAGTCGTACAGAGTACAGGGGTATCGTGTACTCCCAAGGTGGTATACATTTCGCACCAATCGCTCATTGCATCTCACGGCTTTGGCAAACAAGCAAACGGCCCCCAAATGAGCAAAACAGGGCTCCGTTGGCCAGGGTCAACACAGGGCTGGTTGTGATGAGATACGGCACCGCAGATCTGGACGGTCAAAGAGTCTTTGTGCACCGACTCTCGTCTACACATCCAATAGCGTCGTGCCCACTAGTTACCCCCTCAAATCATATTACATGGCGCAGGTCGATAGGCGAGGAAGCCCGACTCCGCGGCACTCGACCATACGAACAAGGGAAGAAGCGGCTGAAGAGCCAACGCCAAGGTTTGTCGGCCAACTCCTTGAGGCTGAAAGCGGAAAACAGCGAATGGGAACGCATTTCAGGTCAAGCTGATCAGAATAACATCGACGAGGGCACCATCTCAGAGATCCGGGGGCGGACACATCGTACCACTCCTCTTTGTCTTGTGATCGACTTCGACAGACAACAACAGGCCTAGGGGAATGGTCTCCCTGCTTGCCGGCCATGCTTGCTGTCGCCATTCTTCTTCTTACTCCTCTTCGTCCTTTACCGCCTCAAGTAAAACGTGACCAGAATGATATGCACCTCGAAGCCCTGGCCAACCGTTAGAATCGACAGCGCCAAACAGATCAACTTGCGATGACGATCATCCAGCACACACAAACATTACGATAATGTGGTTCCATTCGAATGTGTTCATACAATGCTTCCAGCCTTCGTTTGCTGCCAAGATTAGACTGGTCAAGCCTACCAGCTCTCCAGCCCCATGCCCCAAATGCACGCTCATGAACTCCAGTTATGCCAAATGCCCAGGTCAGAAAATCGATTCGCACAACTCAGGCCTTCAAGAGGTGAGCATACTCCTGTCCCTCGGCCCAGCTGCTTGGGTCCTCGGCCATGGCCGCGGGCGTCTGCTGCAGACTCATGGCACCCAGCTGCTTCACGTTCATCTTTTCCCGCAGCTCGTCGGTGATGGCATCGACGTCGACGTTGAGGTAGTTGCGCAAGAACTGGCCAATCTCGATGTTCTCGATGTTGCCGCGGATCTTCATCGCGTCCGCTCCGCCGGTGCTGTAGACGTTGACGTCCACCGCCGTGTGGCCGTGCGTGCTCCATCCGATGTGCGCGCGGAGGCTGATCATGGCCGCAAAGGTCTGCACAGACACGCCGGGGTTGTTCACCAGCGCGTCGAGCTCCTCCGTGTGGGCGTCGTGAATACCCAGACCGGGAACGACCAGCTTTTCGTTGACCCATTTCTTGAGGTCGTCCTTGCTCTTGGACTTGTTGCTCGCGACGTGCTGGATGAACTTCTTGGACAGGAACTCAGCGGAGGCAGTGGCCTTGGCGAGCTGGCGGGGGTACCAGTTGTAGACCGGCAAGTGTCCAGGCTCCTCTGTTGTTCATGTTAGCGATCTGTGCTCTGACAAGTCGTCGGTTCTGACTTACGCAGTGCGGTCGCGAGGCCACCGGTCTCGTGATCACTGGTGGCCACCAAAAGGGATTGAGTCTTGCTGTTCTTGACAAAGTCGGACACGTGCTTGAAAGCCTTGTCGTACTCCAGAACCTCATGGACTTGCGCGGCGGGGTCGTTGATGTGGCCGGCGTGGTCGATTCTGCTGCCCTCGATCATCAGGAAGAAACCCTTGTCGCTGTTCTCGGTCGCCTTCTCCAACGCACGAATGGCAGTTTTCGCCATCTCGCTGAGACTCGGGTAGACGTCGCTCATGTTGCGGCGGTCAAGCTCGAATGGGATGTCGCCCGGCGCGAAGAGACCAAGCTGCGGGAAGCTGACCTTCTCGCCCAGATTCAGCGCGTCGAAAGCCTTGCGGTCGCCAGCGTAGTTCCAGCCGAACTCCTTCTGCGCCTTGGCCACAACGTCCTCGTTGTCGAGTCTGCAGCTGCCTTCGGTTCCGTTGGGGAGGAAGTGGCACCGTCCGCCGCCGAGCATGATGTCCACCACTCTACCAAGCGGGCCAGCACCGACCTCCTGCAGGGCAATGTCGTCGTTCATGGCGCGGGTGAGGACGTGGCTCGCGAAGCACGCGGGCGTCGCGTCGGTGATGTCCGTGGTCACGACCAGACCCGTCATGAAGCCCGCCCGCTTCGCCGCCTCCAGCACCGTGCCGCAGGGCTCGTAGTCGGGGAGAACCGAAATGGCGCCGTTGTAGCTCTTCTTGCCGCACGAGAAGGCGGTCGCGCCGGCCGCGCTGTCGGTGACGAGGGAGTTGGAGGACCGCGTGCGGCTGGAGCCCCAAAAGTGCTTGTCCAGCGTGAGGACGTCGCCCTCGGGCAGGCCCTCGACGTGCTGGCGGTAGCTGCGCGTCAGCGACAGCGAGGCCGGGCCCATGCCGTCCGAGACCATGAAGATCAGGTTGCGCTTGCCCGGGTGGCGGAACTGGCCGCCGGTCTGGTTGCGGTGCTGGGACCAGACGGCCAGCACGATGACGGCGGCGGTCGCGAAGAGGGCCCAGATGAAGAGGATTATCTCGCGCAGGCGCGAAGGGCCGGGGGGCTGGGGGTCGGCATCGTCCGAGGCGTCGTCGGGGTTGGATTGCTCGCGGCGGCGGCGGTTGTCGTTGTCGTCCTCGTTGAGGAGGGGCGACCTTTCGGAGGACTTTTTGTTCGTCATGTTAGCCATCGTGTCTCTGTTGTGTTTCTATGATGCTTCTTCCCTGGAGAAGGTTTCTCTGGTGGAAAGTTTGTTTTGTTTGTTTCCTAGTCATGGGGAGGAGATGGGGAAAATTCCTTACCATTTTGAACGTTTGGCAAGTCTTGCCGCGTCTGTGACAAGCTGCTTCAGTTCTTGTCGCAGGTTTCGGGGAGAAAAGGGTGAGGTTTTGAAGTTGTGCTGACTCTTATCAACCTGGAACCTGACGGGATTATGACGGGGGCTGGTAAGGGGACATCCAGGTCCAGGTCGGTCGGTGTAAGATAGCACCATACCCTCCTGACGTAGCGCGACCGATGTACCGGCGGCACCCTTGGGGGGGGGCAAGCTCCAGGCCTGTTTGGGTAACAGGTCACGGACGCTTCCTGCAGGGCAAGAAGGGACTGCGGGGGCCTCGAGGTCCAACCAAACGCGTTCCGTGACATCACGCACCCTTCGTCCCGTGGTCAACCGATGTTTCTTTTCAGATTACTTTCGGCACGCATATCAGAGTTGAGACGGAGTATTTTTTTCTTCTTTTCCCAAAGGTTGATTCATCTCCTTTGGCCTCACATTCCTTTCCACACAGCCTCTTCTAATAAGGGCTTACCTGAAAATTGGTCGGTGAACGATCCGTGGAGGAAGTTGTCACCTGCGCCGGTAGCTGGCTTGGATGGGGGGGATCAGGTGGCATCTGCGGGGAAAAGCTAAGCCAACGGGCTTCGTGGGGATTGGAGATCTGCGATGCCAGCGAAACTGAATCCGGTATGGGCTGGCGGTTTGTGGTTGGGTGAGAGGGTAGTGTCGGGATTGGCGACCGTTTGTTTGGTTGTTCAGAGACATGTGGTTTGTGTGTCTTTGACGGGTGAAACGTAGCGGTTATTTCACCCGCTTTCCGGTTTGCGTCCTGTTGTGCGGATTATCTCTGGTGAGACGGCTGATGAGCTCGGTTTTGGTTTTACTCCTGAGATGAGGGCGAAGGCGTCACCCTTTGGGCAGTGTAAATGCCGTGGTGTTAGTTGCTGAGCTGTACATCGAGTGTCAGCTTTCAGGAGGTAGTTCAAACTCCCGTACATGATGTCTATTTTTCCACTTCCACATCGGGCTTGTTATTCGATATGTTTTAACTGATACATCGTGTATGAAAATGTCACACGCGAAGAATTAAGCGATAGTTTGCTAAGATTGGTGTGATCCAAGAGGCGAAAATCCAAGGCCTCGAGTTCAATCTTATATCGCCGTATTCTAAGCTATAAACTTGTGATGGTTTTCTTTCTCACATACCTCTCAATACAACAGGCAATGCTCCTGGCGAGCTCATCGGCGAGTCCCGGACGACTGCAAATCGACCATGTGTACCTACGTCCTTCTCATACCTACATGTCACCATAATCCTCTTCTTCTCTTTGATACTTCTTGTCATCTGATTTTTGAAGAATTACACCGGATCAACCAGCCTGCAGCTTGGGAGGCCGGCGCTCTGAACGATGTTCCATTCGTCATGCCGGAAACTTGTCTTCCTGGACAGCACAACATTGAGTCGATGTACACAAGCGACTCTTGCCACTGGAGCTGTCAAGGTACACCCGACGAGCAGCTGTCAGTTGGAGGAATTGGGCCTGGGGAGCGTTGCGGACAGGGAAGCAGTAGACTTTGCACATCATTTGGGTATGGGAGCAAGACTATATTAAGTTAAATCTATCAATGAACTTTGATGATATGTTGCCCCGTCCGGCCTCAAGCTCTCGTGGGATTTGGGACCTGAACCCGACTGTCTGTTTTAGGTTTGATATGTGCTTGGGTGAGAGAAGAAGTTAGCAAGTGAACCTTGAAAGTCATTTCACAATCTATATATGGTTGGACTGGGTACTCACTAATTATTCAAATGCTTAGTTTCAGTGTGTATTTCAAAAATCTTCCTCGAACTTTTAATTTTGTGTCGACTACCTGATCACGAACTACGAAGAAAGTGTTGCTCAACCCCTCTGAGAGACAACAGCCTCTAAAGTCTTACAGACTTTTGGTGAAGCTACACAGATTCTGAAGCCTTATTCGAACTATTTTAAGATACCATCTACATTATACCCGTAATGCCTTCAAGATTCCGTGGCCTATTTCGTGGCCTCGCTCAGGTCACGCCCGTCGAGGCAACCTTCAACATGGATATCTGGGGTCACATCTTTAACCAACTTGCTCTCCTCGGATACCACGAAACGCTGGCCAGTTGCGCACGCCTCAGCAAAGCGCATGCAGAACCAGCGCTGAGACAACTTTACAGGTAAACCCCTGATACTATCCAGGATCTGAGACCTCTGGATACCCTCTAATCTTAAGCTAACAGGTGCTAGCCAACAGTTCAACCCATGCTCAAGCTGGGCTAGTCGCGAGTCGAAGAGCCTCTGGCTCTCCATAATATCGAACCTATATCCTACTTCACATCCGTACCTCACGTATGTGCGCCGTCTTGACACCCACAATTTACGAGCTCTCTTGGTGAACTTGGACCGAGAGAAGGAGCTGGCACCGTTCGTACGTGACCTGGGATACACGGAATACCGCAGCATGCTACCATATCTTTTACCCGGCTGGCGTCCACCATTGGTCGCTGGGTGCTTGCTCGACCGCCTAGTGCGGTTCTCAAATAGTCAAGGTTTACGCGTGATGCTCAAAGAGCTCACGACCCGAACATGGACTGAGCTCGTTCCCGCCATCTCCTCGTGTCCTGAGTTGGTGAGCTTATCTATAGATTCTATCAGTGAGCTGCACGGCGCGGCCGACATCATCAACAACCTCCCAAAGCTCAGGAACTTGGCGTTCGTTGAGGTTAACATGGAGTACACCTTTGAGTTAGCTTACCTCGTTTCCCATCTCAAACCAGACCAGCTCCGCTCGTTCAAATGCTCCCTCAGTGGCCAGTTGAGAGTCTTGGAAGCTCTTGCCAAGCAGACCGAACTCAGCGAACTCGAACTGCAGTTCTTCTTCGTACCGCCGAGCGAGTTGCACGTGCTCACCGCTCTCACGAACCTGACTTCGTTGACTTTGAAGTACAACTACACATCGACCGAAGATGCCAAGGATGAGTTCCGAACTTGGGCAAGGGACCACCGGAACACCATCGCGAACTGGCTAATGTCATGTAAGAGCCTCAAGAGCTTGCACGTCTTCCGACTGCCGTTCCTGGTGCCCGCAATTGCGGACGCGCTGAGTCACCTACGGCTCGACAGACTACACATCTACGGAACCGCAGGACACGAGGGTTTCTATCGCGCCCTCAAGTCCCAGCGTCTCAAGTACTTGTTCATAGGCGAGTGGTCACGAACACACTGGCTGCACGAAGGAAAACGCCGATGGCTCGTTTTGGGAGCTGTCTGTGCAATGCCTTGCCTCCGGGACTTGAGGCTTCACACGACCTTCGGGCTGTCGAACAAACAACTCGAAAGGATCGCCAAACACGTCAAGGATCTCGAAACAATATCTTTCCATTCCTCGCCAGGCGAGGATCGTGCTGGAGTACTACGTGCTCTAGAGGGCTTCAAGCACCTGACCAGCCTCACGGTGCTTGGCCTGACGCTCTTTAGGGCGCGTGAGCTTATGCAATGGATCGAGCTTACACGCTGCCATCTACGACCTGGCGGGTTCTCGCTCAGCTTGCCGTCTCAAGGGATATCACCCTGGCTGTTCAGCGACACGAACCCGGAGCTTTTCTTCCCTCTCCCCGGGAATATGGTAAGGGAACCTAGCCCCGAGAAGTTCCGGAAGCTCCTGAGGTTCTTCAGGGTGTGCATCAGAGGAGACCGGGGAGAGATTTGGAAAGGGAACGATTACGAAGCTGAGGAGGAGCGCATGTTCATCAACCTTTGGGGCGAAGTAGAGGGTTCGACAGCGGCCTTGATGATTGTAGACCAATATCGTTCATTGACGAGGGATATGGGGCGCCAACTGGCTTGATAAGTTAATACATTCTCTCATATGATTTCGTGTTGTAAAAACGTCTTCATCACCGATTTACGTCAAATCGGAAATTCGAGAAGACAAGCGACGTAAGAGTGCATGGACGTTGTTGGTTGAGTTAGGCGGGGCAGCTAGGTAGCTAGCCACGTCCCTAAAAGCCCCTGTACCTACACCTAACCTAAAGTTGTGAAGTGTTCTCACTCCCGTAGTGTTCCAGGTGCTTCAAATGCCCCGCATCGGCCCACAGCGGTCCCCACCACTTTACGCGACTGGGCGCGTCTTCCGGGTCTTGCTGGTGCAAACGACATCTCTCAATCGAACTTCACACCCATGACTCCAGCTTCAATGACATCATAACACTGACTCCTACTCTTCTCAACGGATGCCGCGATGGCTGTCCTGAATTTCACGCTCAGCGAAGATGCCGTCGCTGCTCTCCGCGAGGTCCTCACCTGCCTAAACAAGTTCAGCGACGAAGTCTCTCTGGAGGCAAAGAAGGATCAGGTCTGTCGTCGCCGTCACCATTACCTTGATACCACATAAGATCACAAATTCTGATGCTATGACAGCTGCTTTTATCTACCCTCAACTCATCAAAGTCAGCCTACGCCTGCTTCACCCTGGCTACCTCCCGCTTCTGCTCTCGGTACCAGTTCGAGGGCACTGCACAGTACCGCGAGAAGTTCTATTGCACGCTATACACCCGTGTATGTAGCAGCCTGTCCCTTCTTCCCCAAAGGCATGTGACTGATCTTCTTCAGGCTCTCATCAACATCTTCCGTAGTCGCGGCGGCGGTGATCCCAGCAGGGACCGCGAGAGGGAGACGTCGATCGACCGCTGCGATGTGGCAATTCAAGATGGCCCCGGCGTCAAGAGCCGTTTTATAGTCAAGCTCTTCTTCAGGAATGGTACGTTTCTCTCCTTCTGACTATGGAATTTGAACTGTTGCTAATGATTTACAGGCATCACATCTGAGCACAGATTGTCTTTCGAAGTCGCTGTGCCGGTCCGAGCGACCTTTGACAAAAACGAGGCCGTACATCACTGGAAGATCCCCTCGAGAACCCTGAGGCAGCTCATGGAGCACTTCGGCTCCGGCATCGATTATCTGGAGGTCGTATCAGATGGAGAGCACGTCAACTTTATTGGCACGGCGGAGAAAACCAGCGCAGACGGTATGTTCTTGCCACGATTCGATTTTCTTTTCTCTTTGTGATTTCTAATCGGTACCAGAGGTTCTCAAGAAACCACTCCACACGTCAATCGCCATTGAGATAGAAGAATTCGAAGACATCGAGGTCGATGAGCAGCTCCGCATCGTCATCAGCGTCAAAGACTTCCGAGCCATCATCCAGCACGCCGGCCTCGCTGGCAGTTCGCTCTCCGCCAAATACTCTGCACCGGCCCGGCCAATCCAGTTCGCATACCAAGGTGATGGCATCAACTGCGAGTTCCTTCTCATGACAGTCGGGGAGAGGGGCAATCCGGCGCAGAAAACGAAGAAGGGCAGGGCCGGTAGCAAGGCCCCGCAGAGACCACAGCAGCAACTCGAGGCGGCCGCTGGATCCAGGAGACAGAGCGCCGCACCGTCAGAGCCGCCTGAGCAGCCCGTTGCGCACAGCATGCCGCCACCGCCAGCACCACCGGCGGCGTCTGCTGCGAGGAGCGGGGTGGCGAGAACTTCGTTGTTTGATTTGCGGCCATCTCAGCGACCGCCTCCCGCTACTATGCGCTCCGAGGGGTTGTTCGTGGATGATGAGACCGCTTGGGAACCAGTGCGGGAGGAAGACGAGGACGCAGAGGAGGAGGCTAGGTTGGAGTGGGATCACAGCAACCAACCCGTAAGTCTCGTGTTTCGTCCCATGAGAAGTAAAGCTAAGCCGGGATACAGAACCAATCTTTTATGCACTTTGGCCGTCCCGTTGCCGAAGAGAACGGAGAAGTCGACCCGACACCTGCCAGTAGCGAAGGCTTGGCACCCACGCAACCACTTTCCGATGTCAGACGTCTCGGGTTGTTCTATCGGGAGTAATGGAAGAAGTCAAAAGACCGGCATGGCACATTGGCGTGCTCGCCGAAGACGAATGGCGAAGATAGACGAAATACAGACGCATTTGCTCAGCTGGTTGTGATGGTCACCCAGCTCGTCGCGCAGCCAGCGCCGATACCTGTAATCTTAGAACCAGGTGGAATGAATCTCGACGATGCAATGATATTCCACCGTCCCTTGACATCGTTGTTTTCGACCTGCGGGCCGCAGTTACCGTGCTCTCCCCAACCCCAGGCAAGCACGTTACCGTCCTCCGTGAATGCAATAACATGCTCGCTGCCAATGGCAATCTTGGACAGCTTCGGGAGACTCGGCGGCGGGAGCTGTCCATGGTCATCCCTACCCCAGGCCAGCAGCTCCCCATCCTTCTTCAACACATAGACGTTGCCCCAGCTTGCGCCCACGTCCTGCCACTGGGGCACGGATGCCGGAGCTGATGACTTGAAATTCCATTTGTCAGAGCCGAGAACGACGAGTTTGCCTGAGGCGGGGTCGCCGAAGAGACAGCTGAAGTCCTTGCCGCAGACAGCCCTGGTGATTTTGAAGTCGACGCCCTCAATCTTCCGCGGCGAATGAACGACGGCCTCCGGGCTTCCGGCTTGTCCCTTGCGCACGTTTCCCCAGCCGTAGGCTTCACCGTTGCTCAGAACCATGATGACGTGACCCATGCATCCGGCGATGTCGACAACTTCAGTGCCAGCTGGCGGGAATTCCTTGAACAGCGTGGCTGAGGGTGAGCGCACCAGAAGCTCACCGAGACCAAGCTCGCCCTTCAGTCCCGCTCCGAAGCTGTACACTTTTGTCGCCTTGCCCTCATCATCTTTCTGGACGATAACTGACGCCTCCCAAGTCGCGGCAACGAGGGACGTTGTGGCGCTGTTCTCTACCCCTTCCTTGCTTAGTTGAACTTGCTGAAAGACGGGTTCTTGCGTCTCTGTCGTCGAAGTAAGGCCACATGCTCCGCTCGTAGCATCTCCGCTCCAGTAAAGTTGTCCGGACTCCGTCAGAAGCAGCGTGTGATTCCCGCCAGCAGCCACCTTGACTACTGGAGACTCGGGCTCGTCAGGGTAGAAGATGGCCTGCTTCGGTACGGAGACGTCCTCCTTATGGCCAATTCCAAGCTGGCCTGAGCCATTTGATCCGATCGCAAAGAGGACCGACATTTTGGGATTCTTGTCCGTTTGTCGTGTCGTGAAGTCCGTCTAGAACTCCCAGCTGCAGCTTCGGTGGGGGCATTACAGAGTATTATCACTGTAAGCAGCATTCGTCCCCCACCAGTTTCTTCGCATGCATCTAAACAGCTCAATAGAGGGGCTGCTCGGCCAATCATTCCCGCGCTTCCGCCGTGATTTTCGCAGCTCAAAAAGCGGAACGCCGACCGCCGTCACCCTTTTTCTTCTCTCTGCATCCCACACTCGCGAACAGCTTCAGCTTTCTGGTCGTGACTCAGCGCCCCGAAAGCGAAGGTGGACCAGTGGAAGAAAAGTTTTTTTTTCCTCCTCAGGATGTGAAGAGCTTGCCTCGCGCAGACTTTTTGCAGTCTTGACAGAACAACACAAGATTTTTTTTCTAACCCAACAGAAACGCGCGCACACCCGCATCGACACCATGGCATCTTCCTCTACTCCCACCACGCCTCAGAGCATTCCTGCCGAGATGGAAAATTTTGTGGTCGGCCTCATCGGCATGGGAGACATGGGGAAGATGTACGCGCAGAGGCTCTCTGCCGCTGGATGGAAGTGAGTAATTGTTCACAATTCCCCAGCCGGGCCTCTGCGTCACGCGATTCCTTCTGGTAAGCCACCTTTTCCTCATTTCTCGAGCACATCTCCCCTCCCCGGTTATGATGACAAGAGCGCATTTGGCTAGAGTATCGCCCAAGGCTCGCCTGGCAAGCCATTCTGGCCCCGGGTGTAGCCGAAGGCTTTCCATGATGATACACCTAGCTACCTTAACTTTACTTTGTCTGAACCCACACCTCAACCTCTGCTTCGTTTGGCTCTCTCTCGAGGAAGCATCGAGCTAACATTGCTCTCAGGAATCAAAAGCTTCGCGCATGCCCTTTGCTATGCAATCACGTCGGAGAAGGAGAAGGGAAACCAGACTGACCTCGCGGGCTCGGTAGGATAATGGCGTGTGACCAGGAGGACAAGTACGAGAGCCTGAAAGAAGAGTTCTCCGGAAACGTATGGGAGCAGCCTTTATTCCCTGCCGGTCCAACTCCCGCTGAGCCAAGTCCTCTTTTGATAGAACAATATACAAATTTGCCGAAATGGCCATTACGTCTCTCGCGCCAGCGACTACATCATCTACAGCGTTGAAGCCGCCGCTATTGACCGCGTGATCGCCCAGTACGGCCCATGTATGCTCCATCCGTCTGACTTTTTTCCAAGCGGGACATCCTGACATGGCCACACAGCAACGAAGCTCGGCGCCATCGTAGGCGGCCAAACATCCTGCAAAGACCCCGAGATCACCGCCTTCGAGCGCCACCTGCCCTCCGACGTCGACATCGTGTCCTGCCACTCCCTCCACGGCCCCAACGTCGACCCGCGCAACCAGCCCCTCGTCATCATCGCCCACCGCGCCTCCCCGGCCGCCGTCGCAAAGGTCGAGACCGTCCTCTCCGTTCTCGGCTCCAAGCACGTCTACCTCACCGCGCACGAGCACGACCGCATCACCGCCGACACCCAGGCCGTCACGCACGCCGCCTTCCTCTCCATGGGCAAGGCCTGGCACGCCAACACCCAGTTCCCCTGGGAGATGTCGCGGTACGTCGGCGGCGTCGAGAACGTCAAGATCAACATCATGCTGCGCATCTACTCGCAGAAGTGGCACGTCTACGCCGGCCTCGCCATCCTCAACCCCGAGGCCCGCAAGCAGATCTCGCAGTTCGCGCGCTCCGTCACGGACCTGTACAAGCTCATGCTCGAGGGCGACCTGGAGGCGCTGCGGGCGCGGGTGCTGGCGGCCAAGGAGAAGGTGTTCGGGCACGACGGCAGCCCCAAGTGGGCGGACCGGCCGCTGCTGAACCCGGACCTGCTGGAGCGGTTCTCGCTGGGGCGCAAGGAGGACCAGACGGAGCCGCCGCGGGCGAACAACCACCTGAGCCTGCTGGCCATGGTGGACTGCTGGGCGGAGCTCGGGATCGTGCCGTACGACCACATGATCTGCTCGACGCCGCTGTTCCGGCTGTGGCTGGGCGTGGCGGAGCACCTCTTCCGCAGCAAGGAGATGCTGGACGACGCGCTGAGGACCGCCGTCGAGGACCACACGTACCGGTCCGACGACCTGGAGTTCACGTTTGCTGCGAGGGGCTGGGCGGAGTGTGTTAGCCTGGGGCACTTTGAGACGTGGAAGAATCGGTTCGAGACGACGCAGCAGTTCTTCCAGCCGAGGTTCAAGGACGCTGTCGCTGTGGGTAATGCCATGATGAAGGCTGTGCTGGAGAGTACGAAGAACTGAAAGGGAAAGGGAGTTGCTTGCAAAGATTGATGGTGAGGATAGGTATATCTCGGGGACAGGCTCAGTAATGAGGCGTTTCTAAGGAATGTACGTTGATCCAACGGCAGTGCATTAGGCAATTCCATACTTCGGATCCAGAGACTTCAGGAAAAACGTCGACCTCAATACAAGTAACACGATGAACGTGCTTTTGTTTGGGTGCTTTCGTGTTGTTCTTTAGAAACTGCGAAGCAACGCTATCTACCTAGGTACCAGGTTGCAAACACCGGAAAATGTCTACTGAGTATGAGTGATCGGAAGAATACAGACAACCTGCCATAAGCATAATGGGTATCTCCCCGCAATCCAACGCCGAAGCAACCAAAGCCACTCGAATGCCACCTTTTTGCTAATCAGCACTTAAAACTTGCGTGCAGAAAACGCCGCCCTCCTCTTGCCCCCGCCGTAGCATCGACCAAGCGTAGCATGTCTTTAATACCTCTTTCAAAATACTCAGGACTGTGTCACCACGTCTGGCACATGCATCTCGACGCTCTCCTCCAAGACGGCGACTCCGTTCTGGACCTCCAACGGCTTGGCGGAGAACCTGCCCTCCTCATTCTCATGCTCCTCCATCTCGGTGGCTTCCTTTCCAAGGTCGATGCCCGCAGCAGAGGGCAATGTGATAGACGCATCGGTACTATCCTGAATAGACGTGTCACCGTCCACCGACTGCCGGTGTCCAGCCTGGGCGGCAAGGTTGGGAGATCCAGGAGATCGAGGGAGGTGTAATTGCTGAGCAGGTTGTGGCGAGATCAGTGTGGGATCTTGATCCAGCGACAGACCTAACTGCAGGGCCATCTGGGCTGCCAGGCGTGTTTCGGTGTTGTCCTGACTGCCGTCGTAATCTTCGGAGGAGGAGGAGGTTGTTGAGGTGGTGCTGGTGGTGGAAGAGGCGGCCGCAGACTGCAAAGTGTTAGAAATACGACGACTGTCGGATGGAGATTACTTACCGTTGACAGCAAGCGCTTTCCAAGGTTGGAAACCAGCTTGGGGCAACAGATCGGCCTCTGACCGAAAAGATGGAAGCCGTATCCAGCAGCTGCCGTGGCCGGGATGTCGCCCTCAGCGACGCCATCCATGCTGATGTACGATCTGTCGGCCCCGGCTGGACGACAGTATGGGCAGATCTTGTACTGGCACTCCTCCTTGCGACTCGGTACCCAGGGTTTGGAGGTCTGGTCCAAATATTCTCCCAAGTCAGAAGTGCTGGACTCCTTCACCGTGTTTGCATTCTTTCGGACAGACTCGCGGCGGAGCACGTCGCCAAGCTTTCACATACGAAGTCAGAGTCAGACCGCTTGAGCTGAAGATCGAGATTCACCTACATGCTTGCGCTGATTGAAGATGATCAAGAGCTGGGCGCTGGTGTATGTCTTCGAAATGTATGTCGTGGGCATCTCTTCGAGAAAGCTGGCTGCGTTCTCAGCTCGCTTCTCTGGTCCGCGCTCTCTTGATTGAACGGCTGCGACAAGCTGCTTTCCCAAGTCATCAAAAGCGACCTATTGTTGTTAATCTGTGGAGGATACTCTCATGGAGGTGGTCGGCACCTACTTCGTTCCCGGAAGCGATGGAGTCGCGCAGTATCTCCTCGCTGTCCTGGGAGCAACAGTACAACCAGCCGAAAGGGCCGCAATTTCCACAGCTGTCGCAACGAAGGATGTAGCTGTAGACACGGACCATTGTCATATGAGTGCATGTCGCGAGGAACCGCGGCTGGTGGAGAGGTCGCGTGGCCATCTTGACACGAGGAGGCGACATACAATCTCGAGATGGCTGGCGGTCAGGCGGGAGCGCAGAAGAGGCTTCTAGGACAATCGGCGATCTGAGAAAGAGTCAAGAAATACAACCTGCGATAGATATGGAGGGCCATCGATTTTTTATGAAAATGTAAGAAGGAGCCAAAGTAGGAAGTGACTGCAGCGGGAAGGAGCAGCCACTTCACTTGTTGCACATTCACTCTGGGACGAATAGCGACCGCCTTGCGCTTTCTACCTTGATGGTAAGAGATATTTGTCGTCTTTGTTTCTTTTAACCACTGGCTATGCTCTTTCTTTCTGTATATGCAGGACTTAAAGTTCCAATTTTTCTGTCAATAGATGCTGAAATTTGAAGTTAGGTGTGACAAACTCCTGGCCATTGTGAAGCATGACCACTCACCTAGTTGCCTGCCTTTGGTCATCAGCCAACCATTTTTATCGAAAAACTAGGCTCCCATTTGCTGATTTACTCGGCCTTCAACTAGAATACCTATCTCAATATCAAATATGCGAATGCGGCCCAGTATCGCGAACTTTCCTGGATGAGTAAGTTGAGACGTGCAAAGATGGACGCAAGGTCGTCACTAATACTGGATAGATATCAGGGGTTCAAAGTCTGAGCGGCAGTAGACTCATCTTTGTTGTCGGTATTCGCCTGTAACCCAAGATTGGACCAACACATTGCATTTGTGTGTCGATGATCGCCTAAAAGCTGTTGTATTTAACTTATCTTTTGAGGTTGGTGATGGAAACGGAGACCGTTGTCTTGAGATCATCTTGAGATGTTCTCCTGGCAGAGCGATATCCCACAGCGCCTCTTATCCGCGTTTCTCATGTGCATCATCCAGATGCCGTACACTGGTGAGTCGAACCTCTCGCTTTCCAAGAAGCCAATTCCATCTGATGGGCAGGGGCTGGACAACAGCTAACGTAGGTAGTTTCTTCCGGGGTTCGTCCTCTTCCAACTGTATTCCGGGCCTCGATTTCCACTATCGTCCAGGCACTCAGACAAGATGACCGACATTCCTCAATACATCAATCAAACGATGAATGAGGCTCTCAACACACCTCGACGACGTTGGGCTTCCCGAGCTGGTGGCACCGGGAAGCATGCGGGAAGCGAGAGGTTCAGACGACCTTCGGACGATTCGGCAACCCCAAAGCATGAAGCTTGATCATTAAACGATGAATTTTCAGAGGGTCTTCTCAAGGGTTCAACCCAGCACAGACCGGCCAACAAGTGCAGGATTCGGTCACTGTCAGGATGAGCTGGCGTGCGTCTGTTCGCTGCCGCCCATTTTTTTAGCCATCCCCTCTTGGAAGAGGAAAACAGACCTCGGGCCATTGGAAGAATGCAGCCAATCATGGCCGTTCTTTTCATCCACCCCTGCAGCTCCGTCCAGCTCTGCCCCGTCATGCAACATCCTGGTCATCCAGCACTGGAGACGAATGAGCTTCTCTCAGCAGCGAGCTCAGGTCTGGCAAGTCGAGCAGGTCCAGCAGGTCCGTCGGCACCACCCCCATTTCGAGCAATCAATCAATCTCCCCTTCCCGCCCCCCGGCCAGAGTGGACGTGGACCAGCCCGACCTGGTTCTAGTTTCCCGTCTCGTACCTAGGCTTCCGATCCGCACACCCAGAGGACCTGACCGAGAGAGCAGAGGGCCCCAATATTGTGTCAACCTCCTCGACTGGACCACACCTTAACACATCAACATAACCCACCTGCCTTCTGCAGCTGCCGCCCAACCTCCCCTCCGCGACGGCCAGACGGACGTTCAGAATCTGCCATCTTCAAGAACATTCAGTACGTTAGCCCTAAGTCCCGTCTCTTCGCGGTTTTTTCCACGTCTCGTCCACTTGCAATTGCGTTATCCGATCAGCACAGCTTCCGCCGCGCAATTTACCGCCCACACCTTGTCGGTCGGCAGAGCGACGCGGTAAACAAACCATTGGCCCCGGGGCCTGGAAGCTGGAGCCGCAATTCAATTGACGAACACCCCCCCCGGAAAATCCATCGCGAACACAATCGAGAGGGCCCTCTCAGCTAATCCTTTCCCTCACCGCAGTTTTGTCTTCCCCGCGTCCCCGATTTCGATAGCGATACCCCCCAAAAGCGTTGCCCACCATGTCAGTCAAGTTCGAGAAGGAGACGAAGGAGACGCTGCAGAAGGGCGTCGACAAGGTCAACGAGATCATGCACCCCGAGAAGCCTCTGCCCGGCACCAGCGGAAAGCACCCCCTCACCGAGGCTCTCGGCACTGCCATCACCGGCGGCAAGAAGAATGCAGGCACCAAGGGCTACCTCGCGGTTCGTCTTACACTCCCTCGAATCCACGATGACTACGATATCCACGAACAGAAACGAAGGATACACCAGACATGGGAGGAAAGCATGGACTGACGCGGTCGTGTAGGCCTACATTAAGCAGCTCGAGGAGAACCCGCTGCGCACCAAGATGCTCACGGCCGGTACCCTCGCTGGCGCTCAGGAGCTGATCGCATCCTTCCTCGCCAAGGATCGCAACAAGCATGGCAACTACTTCACCTCGCGTGTCCCCAAGATGGCCGCGTACGGCGCCATTGTCAGCGCGCCCCTCGGCCACTTCCTCATCTGGGCCCTCCAGAAGACCTTCGCTGGCCGCACCAGCTTGCGGTCCAAGGTCCTGCAGATTATCGTCAGCAACCTGATTGTACGTCGTCTTACCTTACAGCAGAGCGCGACAGTCCAGCTAATGCGGTTTCCGTAGATTGCGCCCATCCAAAACTCCGTTTACTTGGTTGCGATGGCCCTGATTGCCGGCGCCAAGACGTACCACCAGGTCCGCGCTACCGTCAAGGTCGGCTTCTGGAAGGTCATGAAGGTCAGCTGGGTCACCTCCCCGCTGTGCCTCGCCTTCGCCCAGAAGTTCCTCCCTGATCAACTCTGGGTTCCCTTCTTCAACCTGGTTGCCTTCATCATTGGCACCTACATCAACACCATCACCAAGAAGAAGCGTCTCGCAGCCCTGCGCAAGAAGCACTTCGGCGACGGCCGCTCTCCCTCCATGGGCGGCCGCCCCGAGGACTACCCTCCTCCTCATGGAGGACCTCACGGAGGACCCCACGGCGGTCCTCACGGCGGTCCTCACCCCGGCCCCATGGGCGGCCCCAACCCTCCTTACTAAATGAATATGCTATGGTAAGATGGCTGAGATGACGGCAAGATTACGCCCACTTGATGAGATCTGGTAAACATCTAATACGAAAACGAATCCGGCCCTCGGGACGGTTTTCTGGAGTTGAAGGGCGGGGGCAGTGTGAAAGCTACGCGAGCGGGAGGCAGGCGGCTTGGTGTGCTGCAACCGACCGCCGAGTGTCCTTGTACAATTTGCTTGCTTCTTACGTTGCGTCATGTTATACGTCCCGTGTGTCTGTAGATAGGTTCAATGCGCTTGGTTTTTTTTTTTGGTCTAACGTGTGGATATCAATGTTTTTTTGCTGTTGTGCATGTATCAATCAACATGCTACCGCACTATTTAGCTGTGCTTCCTATCCGTCCAGCTCGGTTTCGACTCAAAACACATACGCGACGTCATTGCGTGCGTTGGTAGAACGCGTGCCGTATCCCATCGAGGATTCGTTGTCCGTTGCTGTACTCCGTCCCCTCAGGGCATGCTCTTCCAAAGAGGTGATAGCCCAGCTTCCCGGATGGACGCGCCATGTATCCTACGGCGGAATCCGGACTCGGCCTTGATTGCATTGTGCTTGCCGATCTGCCAATCGGCAGAGTGGGTACTTCTGGTTTACTTCGTCCCCGCACACGGCTCTCACCCACCGGCCGGCGCCTCTCCGGTGTCCACCATAAACCCGGGGCTCCAGTACTCCCATTCGGGACACTGCTTGTCAACCCACAGCATGCCCTCACCCAATAGATCTTCCAGTGCCGTCTGCGCCCGCGCCTTGGGCCACTTCAAGTTGACCATGAGCATGGAGATGCTCACATACCCCAGCACCTGAACAGCCTCCAATACGGCACTCTGATCTGTGTTGAGCTCCTTGGGTATGCTCCGAATGTAGTCCTTACTGCCAACCTTGATGACGCTGAACGAACTTCCCAACGGCTTCAGCGTGCCCACAGCCCGCAACACGTCGTCTTCCGTCACCTCGCTCGCACCCTCCATCCGGCCCGTCATTATACGCTCCCGCACCTCGCGAACCCCGATCAACCCGCCGTTCTCGTCGCGCGTGGCGCCGCACACCTCAACGACCCGGACGGCCAGCTCGAAGTAAAAATCGTTGACCGACCGACCGAGCAGCTGCGCCCATATCGACGACGAGCCGCCGCCGCTGCCGGAGGACGACGAGGACGCGAGGGGGTCGACGCCGATGGCGGAGCACATGCGGGCGAACTGCGCGCGGAAGGAGGGATCGGAGCGGATGTCTTTGGCGTGGGTCTGCGCGAATTGCTGGAGGAGGGAGCGGAAGACGGAGAGCTGCGTCTCGAGGGCCTGCGCGTTGCTGCTGCGCAGGTTGGAGCCGTGGGAGGCGTACTGCGCCGAGGTCAGACGGTGCCGGTCGAAGGCCGCGATGCCGATGCCCTTTCGCGACATTCTCGCGGTCGTCGTTTCGGTTTTTCGGGGGAGACGGACGAGTTGTGTGGAGGGTGAGCCAGCCTGGCTGCGGCCTATCTTTGCCAGAGAGGGGCGGATGAGGTTAATAGAGGGGCGGATATCTTGGTGGACGCCATGTCGGAGCTCCAGTTGTTGGCGCCGACGTCAAAGGCAGAGTCCATGGTGGACCCGTTCCGTCTCGAATGATGACATAAGCGGGACTCTGTGTGGTCTGGATTGCGATCACGTGAAGCCCACCTTCCGGATCTTCTCCGGGTACGCTAGTCCCTATCTGGGTGGTCTCCGCAGGGCAACACGCACAAGTTAGTTAGGGTTCGCGTGAAGCAAAATTTCCCATTCCCATCACTAACGACAGCCAGTTCACGATTTTCGCTGCGAATCTCCTCACAGTCCCCCTCCATCCCGCAGCAACCATGTCGTCCACCCAGAGCGTCCAGTGCTTCGGCAAGAAGAAGACCGCCACCGCGGTTGCCCAGTGCAAGGTACGAATTGCCGAAAAAATACCCTTCGAAAAAAAAAATCCCCAAACGACCGCGATACGGGGAACGAAGTTCGATATCAAGGATGGAAATGCTGACTTATGATATTCTAGGCTGGCAAGGGCCTCGTCAAGGTCAACGGCAAGCCCCTCTCGCTTGTCCAGCCTGAGATCCTCCGCTTCAAGGTACGATTTAGCCCGCACGAATCCATCGCAGAACCGGTCGACAAGAGGAGGAATTCGAGGTTGGGATTTGGATGTGAAGAGCAAGCGCTGGGGTGACGGGATTGGGGTCGGGGAGGTCGCACGGCGCCTTGCTCTTCATGTCCAATTGCTGCACCGCGGGGAGGAAACGAAAAGAGCGACCGGGGATCGCCAACATCGAATTACCCGACGAGACTAACATGTCACTACCACAGGTCTACGAGCCCCTCCTCGTCCTCGGCCTCGACAAGTTCGCCAACATCGACATCCGCGTCCGCGTCACCGGTGGTGGTCACACTTCCCAGATCTACGCCATCCGCCAGGCCATCGCCAAGTCTGTCGTCGCCTACTACCAGAAGTTCGTCGACGAGCACTCCAAGAACATGCTCAAGCAGGCCCTCGTCCAGTTCGACCGCACCCTCCTCGTCGCCGACAACCGCCGCTGCGAGCCCAAGAAGTTCGGTGGTGTTGGTGCCCGCTCCAGATTCCAGAAGTCCTACCGTTAAACGGTACGGTTACACTTTTGCTATCCGTTGTCGTTGGGTTGTCTGGGTCTCTTCTTGCCTCTGCGGGTGGAGAAATGGGAAATTTGGGAACGTGGGTTTTCCGGTCCGGTCAGCTTTTGGTGTTTTCCCGCGAATAAAAAAAATTACGAATGTCCCCCCCAAAACAACGTGGCCGAAGCTGTTTCTTGTTATTTTTTAACACACGGGAGGAGTCAAACGTGGATTCAAAAAAGAAGGAATGTGAGAAACCGTCAACGACCGGGGACGTGTTTTCTTGCCTTCCGGGGAACGGCTTCGACGGGAGGCACCCTCGTCGATATGTCATCGCATGACATGCCTCGCGGTATCGCTGCTTGGCCGGTTTCTATAAAGGGTCAGGCAGGTAAATGAAACATTGAAACTTCATGACACGGCGTTTATTGGGCTCGAGTTATGCATGTGCCGTGTTTCTTCTTTTTTCCTTTGGTTGAACCATCCATATCCAAACGGCTTGTAGCTTTGGGAAACGAATGACTTTTCAACCATTCCATGTGGCCCGTCGCTGTCTGTGCATTGTCCCACGTCCGCAATATTGGTAATGTTTTCTGGCATCATCCAACCCAGTCTAGCTTACATCTCTCCGTCGATCCTGGACTCACATCATGAAGACGTCCTCTCAACTGCCTAGTCGTCGTTTTGGGGCGGATACTGCAGTCAATGCCCAATGACGTCGTAGCCTGTCGATATTGCTTTTGCACATGTGTTGACGAGCGACGCTCACGAATCGAAGCAGGTATAGACCAAATTTGATCCGATTTCACAATCGCCCGCACTCACCCCGGCAAGTCGCATACTCAAACGGCGACAACGACGACAGCAGCAATAACAACGCTAATGACACGGACAATAGTAATGATAAGCGGGTGCCGAGTTGCCCAATGTGAGTGATCTAGTCCGCCCCTATGTTTTCTCACAGCACCACTGATCTTGTGTAATGCGATTGTCCATTCCACACCGAGTTTCACCGCGCAATGTCCTCGGTGAAAGGCTCCAGCGGAGCGATACGGACTCCAAACCGAGACTCAAGAAACAACACTCAGCGACACCACACGTCATGAATCATCCACGCCCCCCAGTACCCATTTCCCATCCTTCTCGCGCAGCTCGCCTCCGATGCCAGCGGGAATCAGCCGACGGGTCCCCTCATCTGCCGCTCCGCCGCCCTCCAGCCGGGCCTTCTCGTCGGCACCAATGGCGAGGAGCGCCACCGTGACGGAGCTTTTGACCACGTCGACGTCGGCCGCGGCCGTCTCCGCGATGACGATGGCGAGGAGCACGGCGGAGAGGAGGATCTGCGCGGCCAGCATGCTGAGCCACGGCCAGCGGACCTGCACGTAGACCTCGCGCTGCCATGCTGTCCCGTTGATGAGGGTCATCCAGGAGTATTTCGGATCCTCGTCGATTTGCCTCCCCGGCGGCATGTTAGCCATACCATTCACGCCCTATTACGAAGAGAAGAGTCTTTTTTTTTCCTGATTGTACTCACAGGTTTGTCACGCTTGTCGCGATGTTGTGGGCCATGCCTTCTATGGCATCCCAAAAGGCGTCGTCTCTGTCCTCGATGGTTGTATTTCTCCCTAGCTCAGCGGCCTTCTTTCGTTTCTGCGACCAATGGTACATGTCCGCGTCATGTAAGGCACGGCTGGCATCTAAGCGGTATCTCTCCGGGGCAGGGCTAATTGTTTTTCTCAGCTCATTGGTTAGATTAGAGTTTAAAAACAAACCCGGGGTTGTATAGTTAGTACCCTCGTCGGCAGGAGTAACGAAGTGGTACATCCGCCAATGTGGCGCAGGACCGCCGGCAACGTTACTAGGAGAGAACATCTCGGAGTGCAATTCAGTGTGCGAAGCCACTCGATTTATGGAGATAACGTTATCCTCGACTCCTACATCGTAAGTGTTGACGCACATGTGGAAGAGAACCTCGATTGCGCGAGGACCTCTGGCTGGCTCCTCGATGCCGCCGTACGCTGTTCTATCAAGGTTCCAGGAAAAGATGAAGTAGTTCGTTGCAGTCCCAGTACTCAGTAACGTAGTTTCATTGTCGTGAGAGAGAATGGGACCAGGGTGGATTATGAAGTACGAACCCCTGCTGTCCGCCACGCTAACACCGTTGGGCAGCGTCATATTCCTATTCTGGTCCTTCTCATCATATTTGATTAGATGAGTGATGTCTTGATGCTTAGTGTCAGTCTCTTGAGTATGATGGAGGAAGCAAACAATATTCATGTTGTTACATGCCAACAAAGAATATTCTTCATATTCTTTCAACATGCGTACCCATGCTTGACACCTTTTTCAGCCTAAACATTGAGGTGCTTTGAAAAGACTCTGGTATGGATCCTGAGGCACTTACTTGTCGCTTTGTAGCACACAGCCAGTGTGCTGAACTGGGGCCATGTACAGTGGCTAGTCTTGCATTCGGGCTCTTTGAACCGCAAAATTGTTCTGGGAGGTGTCAAGACACCTTGAATAAATCCAGAATAGATAGAAATATGTCTTTCTACGGTCTTCATGGTTATGCTGTCAAGGAACCGTTCTCGATTAAGTTGGCCATTTGACCAGTTTGTCGAGTATAGTCGTCTAGCAACGGCGCTGCCTTCTTCTTGGATACTGACATTGCGTGAAGGATACGCAACCGCAGACTGCGTCAACGTCGATGTAGTGATACCAGAGATAAGCAGAACGGCGGAGAGAATGCCAACCAAACTTGTTAGAGGTCAGTGTAGATCTCAAACAAGAACGATACCTCAACATACTGGCCCTTTGTTCGAAGAAGAAGACACAGGCTTCCCCAAGGACCTCTAGATGCTTGGTCAAACACATCAAAGTCCTCGAGGGGTCGCGGCTTCCTTTTGAACCAATTCCACTTGCTCTGAGACAAGCCCTCCACCACAGGTATGACGAAAGCTGTCCTGGCCATTGTTGACAGTAAGGCCACAAGGGTGTTGATGGTGATACCGGAAGGCCAATTGGGCAGGGGCTTCCCGTCGAATGCTGCCAGAAGAACGACTAGAGCGACGAGAGCGATAAGGCTGAGGATGCAGCATACTATCTCTTGCCACCATGCCCTGAAGATGTTCCAGGTAGATGTCTTCCAGTAGTTCAATGTGCGGGGGTTCTTCTGCTCGGCCGATTGCTTCTTTGACTTTTCTTTCTGGGATTCCAGACTGGGCCCCCGTGATGGGTTGTGATCCGTATCGTCGTCGCTCGCGCTCCAGTGGCTCTCGTTAGCATTTCCACGAGCCTCCCTGGATGAATTCTCATCATTGTCAGGCAGGAGAGGCTCGTGAGCCGTTTCTGCAAGACGGTCTCCCTCGTCTCTAGGTTCATTGTATGTCGACACTGGTTTCCGTCTCACCTGGTACCGGGCCTCGTCATTTGCGTGCTGGTTGTCCATAGTTGGGTGGATCACAACGTTGATGTGCGACTTCGTTGTTTGTCATAAGATGGTTCAGACGGGAAAGGGAGCAACTTTTCATATCTGGGTTTGACGTTACACAATCCTGGCGGTGCTGACCTGTCTTACTGGAGAATGTCTTGCAAGCCCGCCCAGGGCATTGCAGTTCGAGGGGTCTGTAAGTCAATGAGGCTGCATAGGTATGCTGTGCCACCTTGAGGCAGGTGGCGGAGAGGTAAGACACCCAAATCTACTAGAAGGCTGGAGCTGAAAAGGACCATAGTCACTTGATATCCTATCCTATCGACGGGCCTGTCTTGCTGCGCATCTCAGCCGCAGCCCGCTGCGTTTAAGATGAGAGCTTCAAGAAGGACTCGCCACGACGCTTGAGAGGTACTGGTCTCTCTGTTTGCTTGGGGCCACCCTCGCTGTGTGATAAACCATTCGATGCTTATCTACAGAAGATGGGAAGAGGGTTTACATTTTACAATTATGCCGACATGGAATGAGCAGTCCGGAAGCTGGAGACATCGATGCCGTTTGGGTGCCCGAAATGTGCTGTTGGTCGAGAAAGATATGCCATGGACATGTTAACAAATCTTGATCACCCAAATCTCTTTTCAATCAAGATTTTCTGATTCTCAGTAAGGCTAATAAGTTTGAGGTATTCTTAGACCAAAGTCATTCGGCCTCATTCGGCCTTCAGATGAGTTCTAAAACCCTTGAATTGTTCTTCTCAAAAGAATGACTTGAGAGCTTCAATAGCACCTCTGAAACCGACCACTTCCTCCGGACGGATCCCCAGTTCTTCGGCCGTCACGAACTCCTCCGTCTCCTTCCAGGGGTCGCACATCTCACCGAACTTCAACTGCAGTCCAAACTCGTAACCTCCAACTCCCCAGACCTTTCTGTAATCCTCTAGCGAGCACTCCATGATGGCGCCCTTCTTTCCGGTCACCTCCGACCAGATGTCAATCATCTCTTGGAAGGTGAGCTTTTCTAGAGCCAAGTTCACGTTCTTGCCGCACGCCTTGCGCCCGTTCGCAAGGATTTGGCGCACCCAAATACCGGGATTCACTCCAACGTCACCGGCGTTCAGGACCTTGGCGTCGGGCTTCGTGGGGATGACCTGCACAAATTGACCGCTGCCGGGCTAAAAGGGAGTGAGTCCAGTTGAATTTGGTAAGCATGATGTAGGCACGTACCAGTTCGACGGGTTTCATCATCGGGAGAAATGCCATATTGGCGGGATAGTAGCCGAAGAGCAGGTAGGTCGTCTTCTCAGCCAGCTTGGGAAGTTCTGCCTTGATTCGAACGTCCACATCGGCCTTGTAGTCCATCTGTTGTCATAATAAAACAGTGAGTAGATCTTTCACAGGAAAGAGAGCATGACGACGCACATGAGAAACGGTGAGCTTTCCACCAGTAGTTCTCTTGGCACTGGGGAGACTCGACCAGATATAATGCTCAAGAGTGGGGGTCTGAGCAGCTGCTCGCGCCAGCTTCATGCCCTGCTCCTCTTCGATGGCTCCAGCTTCATCTTGCGACTTGCCAGAGAAAAGATACTCCCACCAGTTGGTGACGGCGAAGATGGCATGAACTCCCTAGTCATGGTCAGTGGGCTTTCTCTCATGTTTAGATAACTGACACTCACATCAAATGCCTTCACGAGAGAAGTCTCGTCGTCAAAATCGGCGCGGACAACCTCGATGCCAGCCTGAGACAATTTGACCGCGGAATTGCTGGAAGGGTTCCGAGTGATAGCCCTGATTTTCCAGCCGGGCACGTTTTTCATGATGTTGATGACACCACCACCCTGGGAACCGGTGGCGCCGGTGACGGCAATGATCTTGGTCGACATGTTGGATGTTAAGACGATGGGAAGAGTTGTGTGAAAATGGATAGTCGAATGCTTCTGATGAGACTGGTAGTCAGCAGTAGTAATGAGATTGGTATGATAAAAGGGTTGGTTTTTATACTCGCTGGCGTCGTGTTCAATGTCTTTTGCAAAGACTCTCGCCTTTGGACTCATCCATTGACTAATTCATTTCATCTCGGCTTCAGTGGCTTTGTCATTATCGATCTCACACTGAGGCAGCGAGTACCCAAAGTGGCTCTCGAAATTGTCTCGCGGCGTCGTTGGGATGATTTTGTCCCTGAGAATATTATTAATCCCGATGTACTCGCTTCGCCAGCGCAACGGACATGGGAACGGATCGAGTGGGTCCGATCGCTAACACCGGGTTCGGGCTCGGGCTCGGGCTCGATTGGGTGGAGCCCGGGCACGGAGTTGATACCGACAAACCAGCGTGCCAAAAGTCGGCATGCCATCAAGCACACACCCACTCTTCGGTAAATATTGCTCTAGATTATCTTGTCTTCTTTCGAGTCTTTTCTCTTTCCGGATGACTCTAATCAGGGTCTCCAACATCTCCTAAAAAAGCAGATTTCGTCGAAGCCCCGCGCGGGGACGGCCCGTTTGCGGGCAGAACTGCCGGAACAGAAATGGAAGAAGATGATGCCAGCTGGCGCTGAGTCGGCCGGGTTGTGGATAGGTGGGGAGATGGGCGGCATGGGTACAGCAGACAGCTCCGTAATGATCATGAATGACCATTTGCATCACGCATCCCGCAGACCATCCATTTCCTCGCGTCGTGGTCTTAACCGGCAGACATGGAGTGCCGTGTGGGGGAATTGCGGCCCCACACATAATCGATGGATTAGCCCTACTACAAGCAACAACATCTTTTGTATCGACGTCGTTTTCAAGATCATTCTGGGGCCCCATCCACGGCTGCCATTCCCAGGACTCGCCCTCGTACTTTCACGACACGTCACTTGCGTCATGGCTTGCCAGGCATGCCGCACGAAAAAGATCAAATGCGACCGTGTCCGACCCGTCTGCCAGAATTGCAGACTACGTGCCAGTCAGTGCTCTTACGCCGGTGAGCGGCGCACTCGCCGCTGGGTCGCCGAGGCCGATGCCGAAAATAGACGCCTCTCCGGTTCTCATCCCTCAGCCAGCGAATCCAACCACGGCCCATCTCAAAGACCCGCCGATGCTGTTTCCGGCTCCGGCTCCGACTCCGGCGCTGGCCAGCAACAACCGGAGCCCCGCCACCAACAGTCTACCGCCCGCTCAGCGCACCTCTTGACGGATGTGGCTGCTCGCACCGACGTTAGAGTCGATCGACCGGACTGGCGTGCTGTTATCCCTGCCTCATCTGACTGGAATCAAATGGACTCCGACTCCATCGCTGGCGTTTTCACCCATATGGACCACGACAGCGAGGTCATCCCCAAATCCCCCGTCGGCTTCTCCTCCGACCAAGACGACAGCTTGGTCGACAAGATTCTCGACGGCGACGACCGAGAATGCTTCAAAGACGCAAATCCATCCATGTGGATGCGCATGGACGACGGCGACGAATACACCGGCCCGTCCTCCGGCATCTCCAACATTTCCGACCTCGGACTGAAATGGGTGCGGCAAAATGTGCCTGAATCCGATGATCTCTACGAAGCCATCCAAGATGTACGGAACGCTATCTTGTGCCACCTCCGCCAGCCCAAATGCATCCCTCAAGACCTGCCGCTGGCCCTAACGACACCACGTCAGACTGCAGATGTTCCTCCCTCGCAGATGCTGCAGTACATCAACGCCTACTTCTCGAAGGTCCAGGTGGTCTTTCCCATTTTAGATCGCGCCACCTTCCTCTCCCAGTTGAGCGCAATGGGCAATCATTCCGGTCTCATCCAGAAGCCCTCCTGGCTGGCCTTATTGAATGCTGTCCTGGCTTCAGGCTGTCGAGCTTTGCTTTCTGAAGAGACAGCTGAGGCTTTCCAAGCATCGGGTTCCGAGGCCTGGGGATACTTCCAGTTCGCCCTCTCGTACGAGCCCCAAATCATACACGGGGCCACTGATCTGATGGCAGTTCAAGCCATGGCCGTGATGACTGTCTTCGCCCAAGGACTTTCTAGCCCACAAAGGCTCGAGTACACTCTCTCCTCGATAACTTCGCGGCTCGCTCATGGCCTTGGACTACACCGCAACCCGCCTCCCGAGTGGAATCTCGCCGAAGACGAGAAGGAGGAACGAAACCGAGTATTTTGGGCAGTATACTGCTTGGATAAGTCAATAGCTCTACGGTGCGGTCGTCCCGCGGTCATTTACGACGAAGAAGTCAGCTGTTGCTTCCCACGAGGAATCGGTTCGGCAACTCGGGCGTCAGGGGGCGCTGCCATTAGACCGGACGAGAGACCGGTCGTATTCGACTTTTTCCGGTGCTTCGCAAAGCTTATGCGCATCGGCGGAAACATATCTCGGTCGTTGTATTCCGCGAGCGCCCTCTTGATGCCGGTTTCTCGGATGGTCCCAATCTTGAATCGCTTGCTGCAGGATTTGGAGACGTGGCTCAGTTCTATCGACACCGATATCCGGCCCGGAAGACCGCTGATCAAGATCCTTGGAAGGCAAGGAATATCGCGAGATCAAATCATTGTGCTCCATTCATCCTACTACTATATCTTGTGCTCCATCTTTCGAAGGGCATCGCCCATATTCACTCATGGTAATAGCAGTGTAGAGCACCTTATTGACAGGGGTTCACACATATCTCACATAGAGGCCGCAAGATCCATCATTTTGCTTACCAAACACTTTGACATTGAGAGCTTTGCTCCTGCATGGTACGTGCTGTTTCCTTCCGTCATATTTCCTTCGCTCTTCTCCGACCATGTTACTGTGGTGGAGGACCTGCATCGCTGATATCTGACCCCATGATTCCACCGGTCTAACTCTCACCTAAACGTGTAGGCTGGTGTTCTACTACCCATTCACAGCCTTGACAACAATATTCGTTCACGTAGTGTCTAATCCACCCGATGTCCGCACCCAGAGCGACATTGCTCTCATGGAAACTGCCGTCGGCTTCTTTGGCCGTCTCGAGCACATCACGTCTGGTGAAGCGGCCTTCACCAAAACGACGGAGTTTGTCCGGCAAGCCCGTAAGCTCACTGAGAAATACAAGAAGACAGACGGAGCTGGCCAGAAGCGAGTTACAACATCCACGATATCATTGCAACAGTGCGGGCACGTGGGGATGCTTGACACTTTTTCCAACGGTTTTGATGATGGCCAGGTTGACGACGCGCAATGTCATCTGGAACCTGACGCCATTACCACCCTAGATATTGGCGTCACGCCCACCCGCCAGTCTCTCTACTCCGATTCGGTGGGCTTCTCGGCACCGACGACCGAAGAAGCAGTCCAAGCACCGTGGTAGTGATGCCGAACTGCTCCCGCGGTTTTGAGCTAGAGTCATGATGGCCGCAATCAAATAAACAGAAATGATGTACTTGGCACCCTTATATTAAGTAACGCCCATCCCTCTTTTGTATTGATGGTTTGAATGCCTACGCCCGGATTCTCTCACCTACCCACCCTCCTCCGGGAATGGGAGGGTTAGACCCGGTGCTTAGCCCAGCGTGAGGCCGAAGGTCGCCCGAAGGCAATTGAGCCCGAGCCCGAGCCCGATTCCGAGTCCCAGAGACACGGCTGACTGGACCATGCTTGCATCTCCACTGCAACTTCGTCTGAGAGATCACGTCCTCGATCTTGCAAGTGCAAAGCCTACAGGCTGGAAAAGTCATGCAACCCGCGTGGGCCAATCTGACGCAGTTTCTTCAGCGTCTTCTCGTCCTTGCCAGCACGAAGCGCCTCGATCATCTCCTCGGCGTCGAAATCGGTACCGACGGGGTTCTCCGTGAAGTTTGCACCCGTCATGAAGGCGGTGGTCTCCTCGACGGTGTCGAAGTTGTCGACTTGGGTTTCGAGCATGTTGCCGTCCGGGTCCTTATAGTAGATGCTTGTCGTGGGGCCATGGTTGACGCACCGCACGGGTTCGATGCCGCGTGCCCAGCGTCGTCGGTACGAAAGTAGAAGGTCTGCCAGCGAGTCGAAGGAGAGGGCAATGTGCTCGGGGCCGCAGCTGGCGGATTCCTTGGGGGTAGTCTCGGGAATTGGGAGTAGGGTGATGCGGTACTGCTCGTCATTGTAGGTGATGAAGGATACCGTCTCGTCGTCGTATGTGATGCTCCCTCCGAGGAAGGATGCGTAGAAATCAGCCATACGGGACATATTGGCGGTACGCAGCACAAAGTGGGCAAGACCCGACGGGCTGGTGGTTTTTCTCGCTGGGGCCACGAAGTTCGGAATATTAGAGGAAGACGACATGATTTCTTTTTGCCTACTAAGAGGTCAGATATCTGACTGATGTGAGGGCTCTTTGAGTAAGGTATGAAACCGATGCTTCAAAGGACTTGGTCTTATCCAAGCGGAGCGCCTTCCACATGGTGACATTAAAATCAATAAATAGAGGAAGGAGCTTTGCTTAAGTTTATGGGCAAAAAACCCACGCTAGTATAGCGCTAGACCAGGGTACCCCCTAAATACTCAACCGCAATTAGCTGAGAGGCTGGATCGCGCCTTTCTTTAGTTATCTCTTGCCACTTTAACAGCATAAATTCTAGGGTAAGAGCCTCTATTAGGTAGGTATAGGACGCGGTTACTAAGCCCGCGCAGCGGCCGCCGGAGGCCCCGGAGGACCCCCGGAGGACTCCCGGAGGGTGGCGGTCCGCTTGAAGTTTCGTTGGCCACACAACATCGAAGTGCTCGTATTGCTTGACCCTACGACTGTTATACTTTGATGGATACTGCTCAGAAATGACAACATAGATTATGATATCGGAAGTCTAGTCTATGAACCCGAGTTCGCTCGCACACCGTTTCTTGTCTGCTTATTGTATTCCCCTAAGTCACACCCCGAACCCGAGGCCAAAGAAGCGGGCGAAGAGCGAGCTTTCCAGCAATCTCCGTCACATGAGGTTAGTTTCCATCAACTCGGTATGGAATTTGTAATACAGCTCCCAAGGCATGCCAATAAGGTTGGTAAGCACTCGGGTAACGCAAAAAGTCAACACTCCATCCACCACGGCTACCTGGATGAAGAGAGCAAAAATTAATGATCAGTGAGAGGCTTGAACTCTCGGCCTTGGCATTACTGAACATGTCTGATGACATATTAGTACCACGCTCTAACCAACTGAGCTAACCGACCGAACAGATTGTTCTGGTGTTGTTGTGTGACAGAGGCGGGAATGAGCCCTATGATGCCCCACGATAATGGAGTCGTAGAGGATCCATCGAGGATGGGGATCCCACCACAACCACAACCACAACCTTCTCTGTCCAACCTCAGCCCACGTCAATTTTATTGTTGTTCAGATTACTCATAAGTGTGCCTAAGTTTGGGGCAGGATTAACAACCATAAGGGCCCAAAATTCTCAAACAGCCGACAACAAACGCGCATTAGTTTCTTCACGTATTGCGAAATCTTGAACTCAAGTTTGAGGTCTGAAACCTTTTCTAATGGATTTGATTACCATACAAAGTCAGATTACACGCAAAAATCTACTGACGAAAGCCGCGGTTCAACTTAGGCGGCAGTGTATGATCGCTGTCACCACCCGCTAAGGTAGTTGGGTTGCTTATGGGACAGGTTAGTCACTGCCTACTGACGATGTTGGCTAGTTTAGCTGTGGACTTGGGGACATCTTCTACCTCCTTCTGATGTAAGTTAATGGTACAAGGTTTCCAAATTTCCTAGAGAAGCGACGTTAAAAAAAAAAAAAATACTGCCTTATTTCGTAGAACATGAGTTTTTGCCATCAAGAATTCTATCTCTGAGCGCTGGGTGGGATTGATGGTACGATTTCCGTACCGGAGACATGACCGGGACTTTGCTCACCATGCGATGAAACATCGCCCGAGATACATATCCGACGAATTGATGACTTGATAGAGCAGGAGAGTGCATGTAGATACGACCGGTCCGGGGTTTGACACCGTGATTGCATCCTCAACCATCGAATCCTTTCGAAACCGAGTTACTCTGAATCCTTCAGGTTCCCAGAGATAAAATGACCAGTAAAACCAACCGAAGCCACTAAAAGAAGACAACCAATCGGAAATCTGGAAGCCCGTAGAACTCTCGATAGGCGGAGGGCAACGTCAGTGACAGGAGACGTCCGACTAACCTTAACTCCTGATCCCTCAACACCAAACCAATACCCTCCAGTCAGAACCGCGCCTGACCCCTCCGTCCACTGGACCCTCCCGCCGCCACGGATGGTCCAGAACACCTCACAGCCCCGACCGATCATCTGAGAACTGCGAGGTCTCTCATTCGCTGTGATCTCTGGACCCCGACCCACCTTCGCGTCATGGCGCCCCAGCCACACCAGCTCAGCCACGCTACGTCACCTCTCAATCAACGGCTCTTGGCAATACCACCACCACCAGGTTTCCAGGGGAGGGAGAGTTCGCTGTGCCACCACAATCAAGGCCGCAAGCGAGCTGGTTGTGGTGGTCATTTACCGCTGGTTCTTTCCTTTTCCCGGGTACGAGTTGGCTCCCTCGTTCGTCACACGCTCCGCAGCGGAGGTATATAATTCACCCATATTGGCTTCTCTTCAACTCCGTAGCCAAGTCTACATACACAACGCAACCTCCAAAGCCAACGAGCCTTTTCACCTAAAAATCGAGCACTTCTACGTAAAAACAGTAAGGTTCATCTTGAGTTTTCTTCGGGAGCTTGGACTAACATCTTCCGCAGAAACCTTCCTCAACAACCTACCTCACAAACCAACCAACAAACCAACCAACCAACATGCCCTTCTTCTACTCCAAGCCCATCGGCGGCCGCAACTTCGGCACCAACATCCACGCAGACCGCCACGGCGTCCGCCGCGGTCCCTGGCGCTTCCGTCTCGGCCGCTTTACCTGCTTCAGGTAGAGACGTCGCAGACACGGTGTGAAGGTGTCGGTCCACTGAATCGCTTCCCGCCTCACTCATGTCGACCAACGGACGACCCACGTGCAGACGTGTGCCGCGGGCGGCGACCTACCTACCTATCCGACCAGCTACTACCTTCGATTCGCTGCGGATGAAGTTGAAGGATGAAGTTGAAGGATGAATACCTTTTGACGAAGATCATGGATACCGGAGTTTACTTTTGCGCGATTCGGGTTTGGGAGAGCGAGCGTTTCCTATGACCTGTTCTGTCCTTTCTGGGATTTACGACTACGGCGGCCCTGGAAAAAGGTCGCCATGATACTGGGGAGGACGATGGACTACCTAACTAGGTAGAGAATAATGAATACCACAGATACCAGAACGTACGAGCAGCTTCCAGTGACGCAAAGTGAATGAATGGTTCAAAAAGGGGAATCTTACCTAGTAAGAAGCTGGGTCTCTGGAAACATTTCGCGACAACTAAGGCGGCATGGTCTCCGAAAGAACTTTGAGTCAGTGTACAGCCAACATCGTGATTAGAGAGTTTTGGTATCGCAAACCTCACATGTTAGAATATTTATAAAAAATGTGACCGCGCATGAATGGTTGACGATCCAACAGCCAGCCAGCCAGCCTGCTTGCTTGTAGAAAAAAAGCAAAACTCACATCTACACGCGAGGAGCAAGCAGACGGAGACTGTGCTGGACGCCATTAAACAGCGAGATCGTCATCGTTCTGCTGGGTTCGAGGACTATTGTCAGCTAGCTGCTCAGGGACATTGGCAGATACACGTCAGGCACGGCAACTAGGCTGGAGATGAATCTTTCACGAGACGGTAAGTTCTAGCCAAACGAGTCCATGGAACAGCCAACCGGGGAGGCGGTGACATTTCGAATTGAGCGTAAGAATCTTGTTTTCCATGCCATCTAACGCCAGTATCAAAATAACCACGAAAAATGTCCACCGCCGTCCCCGAGGCTTGACCAAAACAAGGGGGGACACAAGCACGCCTGAGAGCATCAAGTCGTTGAAATTTGCTGCGTTTTTTTTTTCTTTGGTATTCATTCCTAGCACAACGGGACAATACCGAATTTCGTGTTGTCAGATGCCATGCCAGGCCCGCAGCAGCCCTCCTGAATCATCGCAGTGAGAAACCGTTTTATTCCGATGCATGATTTTTGGTTCATCACCCCCCCGTTATCCCTCGGGGAGAGGTGATGGATAGTGAGAGCACAACGCAAAGTAACCGTGGCGGAAGAACCAAGCCCCATTCGTCGCCCACGCCCCCACACCCGCAATGATTGTTGTTTGTTCCACAGAAAGTACCGACCGCGACGACCGCATACACACACGCGAGAAAGGTCCTGATTTAGACCTCGGTGGTGACCTTGGCCTTGGGGTTGGTGACCTTGACGCCGAGCTGCTTGGCGCGGGCGATGATGTCGATGCGCTTTCTCGAGGAGACGTTGTGGGCGATCCTGTTCATGTTTGTTAGAATGTGACGTTGGGAAAGGGGGAATCGGTCTCGTCGGGGTATACGCACTCGGCGGCGTAGGTGCGGTTGTGCATCAGCAGGAGGTTGACGTCGTTGACGTTGCTGACGAGGAAGGCCTTGTGGCCGGAGGGCATCATGTACTTGGTCTTCTTGTTGGAGCCGAAACCGATCTGGAGTGCGAAAAAGTCCCGTGTCAGCGATTTGCCCAATCTCGAAGAGCCCCTCTCCATCGAAGTAGCAGCCCATTCCGACGTGATTTCCTCCTCTTGAAACTACTTCTTCTCCGGCTCGGGAAGGATGTTAGAACGTACCGAGGGCATCGTCATGTTGCCGCGGAAGCGACGGCGAACACGGTTGTCAATACCCTTGGGCTTGCGCCATGATCGGTCAACGCGCATAAAGCGGTCGCTCTGGTGGCGGTTGAAGAGCTTCGTGCCTGTACAAAATCCGTCAATCGTCTCGTTCCATTCCAAAGGTTTTCTCGTTTAATCGTCGCTGGGGAAGGGTTTATCGGCGCGCGGGGTCGTGTGGGTGGTGGTGGTTTGCGTTGAGGAGGAAGGACATACGCTTCTTCACGATAGGGACGTGCTTCTTTGCGGCGGCCATCTTGACGAGGAAAAAATGTCAGTATTACAAAATCGACGATGATGACGACGACAATTCGATTGACGACGACGGGGAGCAGTTCAGATCTCACCTTGACGGTTGTTCCTGGCTGTGGTTAGTCGGGGGGTGGTTCGTCGTCAAGAACTTCGAGAGCTGCAAAAACTTGGGTGTGACCAGAGTTGGCAGTCTGGACTGGGGGGCTATTTCGACGTTAGGGCTCGAATTTTTGGATTTTTTCGGGCGGGTCACGTGGGATGTGCTCCTCCCGTTTTTTCTCGCCTGCAATTCGGGGTGCAAGGGGGCATGAATGCGACCAATCAAACGAGCATGTATTCTACCCCACTGAGGCGGCTCACCTCGACCCCGCCAAAAACTCACCGAAGGTCAATCAGCCCAGACAAAAAAAAGAGAGGGAGTTCATCTCATCCAGAAACAGCATCATTGAACAAAAAGAGCAAAAGCAGAAACTGCAAAAATAGAAGTTCCCACTCCGAGGTTCGAACTCGGGTCTTTCCGGCGCTTATCGGTTGGACTGAAAGCGGAATATCCTAACCACTGGACTAAATGGGACTTGTTGGTTGGTAAACACATAGCGCAAGACGCACATACAGCCAGGCTCCCTCCTCCCAGTGGTTCTAGGCCAGAGTGGACCGTCTGACCGCATTTTTTTTCTCGGGTTACCAGCACTCCCGAGTCGTCACAAATAGATGCCATCAAGGTTGAGAAGCGACATGGCACCCGTGATCCGTGGGTCGCCGTTCATTCATGAGGGGGATGATGCCCAAGCTGACAAGCTACAAAACTCCTCTCCAATCCGTGTCTATGCTTCGTATCGCCCTTTCCGTCCCGGGTTGTCATCATGTCTGTCATGAGTTGCAGGGCGTCGTGCCCAAGCCTGTGTCCTCTAAAGTCTCTCTATTCGTTCCTTACTGAGGCTGGCACTGAGGTTGGCCATCCTCTTCGTCGTCGTCCTCCCACTCGCCTCCGAATCCGGGGCCGCCCGCTCCACCCATCTGCAGACTTTTGTTAGCACGGTATGCGTCTCGACGGGTTATTCAAGCTTACCTCTTCCAAGCTCTCAACTTCCTCGTACTCGACCTCGTCGACCTCATCTGCCTTGATTTCAGGAGGAGGGGGCGGGAGGAGCTTGTTCAGAGTCTCGTATTCCTTGTCATCCTTCAACCAGCCGTCCTCGGGGAAGACGACGTCGACGATCAGGTACAGGTCACCCTTGGTGTCGCCGCGCTTGTGAGGCATACCCTCTCCAGGGACCTTCAAGATGTCGCCAGGACGGAGGATCTTGCCACGCTCGCGCTCGAGGTGAATGCCGCGGCCGTCAAGATGCGTAAGCACGGTCCGGGAGAAACCACCCAGAGCCTCGGCCAGAGAGACCTTGAGCTCTGCCGACAGGTCGTCGCCGATGCGGGTGAACTCGTCGTGCTCCTCCTGCTGCAGGTGGAAAACGATGTCTCCCGGCGTTTGGTCGGGGGCCTGGTCGGCCTCTCCCTCCAGCACGATCCTTTCGCCGTTCTGAGATCCTCTGGGGATGTAGATCTCGAGCACCTTCGTCTCGGACGTTGTGCGCTTGCCCTTGCACTTCTTGCAGCGGTCCTTCTCCTTGCAGAAGTTGCCGGAACCCTCACAGCGGTCACAGATGACCGTCTCTTTGCGCACCATGCCGGGACCGATCTGGCGGAAAGCCTCAGCCATACCGGCGCCTCGGCACTTCTCGCACTGCTGGGGCTTGACGTTGGGCTTGGCACCGGATCCTTTGCAGGTGCCGCAGAGAACCTGTTTGTTGGCGGAGAACTTGACAGTCTTGCCCTTGTAGAGCTCCTCCAGTGTGACCTTGTACGGCTGGTCCTCGTCGGGACCGCGACGAGGCCTTCTAGGGCCGCCGGGTCCGCCAGGGCCACCAGGACCGCCCATGCCGAAGCCGAACATTTGTGACAGGATATCGTTCAGGTCGACCTCGACGCCGCCTGGGCCGCCGGCGCCTCGCGACGGGTCGAAGGCGGCCATGCCGTGGGTATCATAGAGATGGCGCTTCTCCTCATCCTTGAGGATGTCGTAGGCCTGGCTGACAGCCTTGAACTTGGCTTCGGATTCTTCTCTGCGTTCCTCAGGGACTTTGTCGGGGTGATGTTGAAGGGCAGCCTAAAGGGAGGGGGACAAGTCAGCATTGGGCTTCGCAATTGAGGCTTGCGCTGTTGGGGCTGAGGGAATGATCACGAACCTTGCGGTATGCCTTCTTAATCTGGTCTTGGGACGCATCCTTATCGATCCCGAGCAACTCTGGAAAATGCGTCAGATGTGATCCACCACAAACAAAGGTACCGGGCTCCATAGACATCTACTTACCGTAGAGATCGATCTCTTCCCCGGCGTCAGGGCCGGCACTCGGTCCACCACTGTCCATGATGGATTACTGTAGCAAGGTTTACTCGGCAAAAAGAAAAGTTTCGCTCGAGATGTCAACCTTTCTGCGGTTTGGTTTGGAGATGTGAAAAGGTGGGATGTGGAGTAGACCTGAAAATATTTGTTGGAATGTACCTGCTGCCCGCTGATGGTTTGGCGGGGTACATCCAGTGCCTTACGGGGCGCTGTACAGCCCGCGTTGCTTGCAGCCTGAGTGCACGGCAGATCTATCAGGTAAGCCGCTGTTAGTGCATGGGACCCGTCAGTAAGATGACTTGCTTGCATGCCCAGAACCTGGGTTGTCAAAAGAATAGCTATTGGATCTCAGTCTTTAGTACACCACTTTGATCCATCCAAAGACAAGACTTGGATATTTGATAAACTATTTCACACATGTCTCTCTTCCCCCATCCCCTATGTTAATGTTGGGTGTAATGTCATAGTCATAGAAGGACCTAGACCGAGAACCTTATCTATTTCTCCAGCAACTATCCATCGCAGAAGGCGGTGTCCGAATTCCAAAGGAGAGCACCTCATCCCAGCCACTCTTTTCATGCGGTTTGCCAACCGACGAATCACAATACCGGTGTTGAAAACGATGCAAAGGACGAATGTAACGGCAGAGTTCTGCTAGAGCCTCGAAACCCACAGGCAACCGTACAACTGCGAGGCAACTGTAGCCGGGCCAAAAGACCGAGTTTCGCATATTTCGGAGGCCCGCTGACGAGACGGATCTGTGCAGCGTAATCTCGACTTTCACAGGCAACCGAAGTCGTCGTCTCAACAAGGCTCCGAGGCTACCGAGAGGGGGAAAAGACGGATGAGAGAGCTCGGTGAGTGCCAGAAGAGTTGTCGAAACCTTGGCTCGCGTGGCGCGCACAGATTCATCATGGCTTTCTTCTGATCAGAGTGAGACACACCTGACCAGTGTCATCTGAAAGCTGAGTGCAAACTCAAGGTGTTCGAGGACGTTTGGTGTGGATTGGTTCAAGTGGAACATCAATCGACTGCATTTTTCTATTTCGGGATTATGTTGAATAGCTGAAGTTCATAGGACATAGGACCCGAGGTGTTAGTGCATGTTAATGTTGAGAATCATGATAGCGCGGGCCTCAGGTCCAATTCGTAGGTGCATCCATCCATCAGTCCCGTCCATCCATATATGCTGCTGCGCCACACGTGGCTGAAGCTCATCGTCAAATTTCACCCATATCAGCTCATTCATCAATGACACAAAGCGCCTCTCATCCAGGGCGCACCCTCATGTATACAAAATGACAACAATATCACTGAGACCACATACCAGGTCTCTGCTGCAGCGCCAGCTTTACACATGCCAAAAATGCCGCGCCGGCTCCCCGCGGTGGCACTCCTCCACCGCCGAGCCCAGAGGTTTCGAGGCCCTGAGGAAGAAGCTCCCGACCCTGGGCAACAAGCTGCGTGAGCTGCCCGACAAGCCGGCGAGGACGCGCTTCGCGCCCTCACCGACCGGATATCTCCATCTCGGATCCCTCCGGACGGCGCTGTATAACTGGCTCCTCGCGCGGGCGACGGGCGGCCAGTTCATCATCCGCGTCGAGGATACGGATCGAGTAAGTCACGGAATGCCCTTTCACCGTTCGGCGCAGGATCCTGACAACTACGGACAGACTCGTATCGTCCAAGACGCCGTACCACGCCTCCTATCCGACCTGAAATGGGCAGACCTAAGCTGGGATGAAGGCCCAGACGTCGGCGGCCGCTTCGGGCCTTATGTTCAGGTACGTCTTCAGAACCTCACTCACACACAAGCCCACTCATCTGACCTCAACCACAGTCCAAACGTCTACACCTCTACCAAAAATACCTCACCCAGCTCCTCGAAAGCGGCCACGCGTACCGCTGCTTCTGCACGTCCCACGACCTGGAACGCCACAAGCAGCAATCCCTCGACGCCGGCGGCACCGCCCACTACCCGGGGACCTGCCGCGACGTCCCCGTCCCCGAGGCCGAGCGCCGCGGCGCGGCCGGCGAGCCGCACGTCGTCCGCTTCCGCGCCGGCGCCGGCCGCCTCCGCCCCTCCTTCGTCGACGCCGTCTACGGGAACTACCAGAAGAACGAGCCCGAGGACGACTTCATCCTCTTCAAGAGCGACGGGTACCCGACCTACCACTTCGCCAACGTCGTCGACGACCACCTGATGGAGATCACGCACGTCATCCGCGGCGCCGTGAGTTCCCAGCCCCCGCTTTTGGTTCTACTTAGTTTGAAGTAAGCGAGGAGGAGGGAGGAGGAAGAAGCTAACATGTACGTCACAGGAATGGCTCATCTCGACGCCGAAACACATCGCCCTCTACGAGGCCCTGGGCTGGGAACCCCCGACCTTCGCCCACGCGGGCCTCCTCTGCGCCCAGAACGGCGAGAAGCTGAGCAAGCGCAACCACGACATCGACATCTCCTCCTACCGCGACAAGGGCATCCTCCCCTCCGCCCTGAACAACTGGCTCGCCCTCCTCGGCTGGAGCATGCACGAGAAGGACGTCAAGAAGCACGGGGAGGTGTTCTACACCACGAAAGACCTCGCCGAGAAGGTAACTGACTGACTGAGTGTCTCTCATTCTCTCGTGAATGTACGATGCTGATCCGAAACCCTCACAGTTCTCCCTCCGCTTCACAAAGGGCAACATCAAAACCAACCCCGAAAAACTCACGCTCTTCCAGGGCAAACATCTCACCAAGCTCCTCACCATCGAGAACCCCTCCGCAGGCGAAGAACGTCTGCTCCGCCAGTCCATCATCCCCCCGACCAGGGCCCTCCTCGCCCGCATATCGGACCTCGTATCTTCCGGCGCGGAAGAGCGCCTCGTCTCCCCCACCAACAGCCGCTACGCCATCTCCGTCCCGGACTTCTCCCGCCTCGACCCGGCCCTCGACCCCCGCGACCGCGCCGCGTCGGAAAACCAGATCATGCGCATCCTCCGCACCACCATGGCCAAGAACGCCCCCGTCGACCCGCAGGCCCTGGTCTACGAGCACCCCTCGCTCTTCTTCCGCCCCAGCGCCATGGCCTACGCGCGGCACACCTTCACCCGCTCCCGCGCGTCCCTGCAGCCGGCGGAGGCGGAGGACGGCACGAGCCGGCCCCTGGGCGAGCTGGTCCGCGAGCTGAAGGCGGCCTTCGAGGCCGTCCCGGAGAGCGAGTGGGGCGCGGCGCGGCTGCAGGAGGTGATCAACGAGTTCGGCGCCCGGCTCGATGAGACGGCCCTGGTCAGGGGCAGGGAAGGGGTCAACAAGACGACGGGGGGCGCGAAGGCGGCGTACGAGCTGCTGCGGATGGTGTTGACTGGCGATGCCGATCGCGGGTCTAAGCCTGCCAAGTTGCAGCTTGCGGTGCTGGGCAAGAGCGAGACCCTCGCGCGGTTCGAGATGTGCTGTGCGTAAGGTGGCGGGGGGGAAGGAGCGGCGTATACGGGATTTCGGGGCTTGTGGTTTGACGGCCAAGACCGATTTGCGCTTGTCTGTTACGTCCAGGTGAGGCTTGGCTTCAGATGTACTATTGTCTTGTACGATACCATGTGACACGTGGAAAGGAATAGAAGTATGAAAAGTAGACATTCTGCTCTGTACCGATAGATGTGTGTTCTGTTGGATATGGTGTAGGTTCAAGCTACTCCAAAAATCAAAAGCCTGAAGCAGCCGAGTTTGGCAAGGGAATCTACCCGAGTAACCAGAGACCTGTCATGGTTCTTTTCCTTAAATTGGCGTAGATGTCTTCGGCAGACAAACTGTGGTCTGAGCTGGGTTAGCACCCATACGGTGACTACCTCATCTCTGATCTCATTCAGTTTGATAAAACCTCGAACTATTATTACCTCATGCGACGATCAACCTCGTGCTAGTTGTACAGCACACATTCAAGGCAGTAGAAACATTTACGTGTGGGAAGCAGTAGACGCAAGTTGGTGGATGCATTAGATTGATATGCGGGCCTCCGAAACCAGCTCATAATGATTGAGGAAAATGGTTGTCTGAGAGATTATATAGAACAAGGAGAGTTCCTAGCGGGGGGATGATAGATAGTAGAGAAGAAAAATAAAATCCCGCCACGTCAAACCCGGTTCTTCGTCACCATGAACCAAAAGAAACCCGGCCGCCACTCCTCCGTAGTAGGCTGATCCGTTTTCTAAAACAATGCAACGCTATGATCGTGTCGTTCGCGGCCGTCGGGGTGTGCCATCGAGCCAGCTCTGTGTGGCTCTCTCTCGCTCTCTCACTTTCTCAAATCAAACTTCGGCTTCATTTTCGTGTTTCAAAAAAGTGGTTCATTTCGTCCACGGTACCGTTTTGTACGCCCTTGTCTACAACCGCAATCCCCTCTCCGTAAAATGCAATCAAAGATGGTAATATATAGAGGGGGTAACTAAGTGAAGAAGGAAAAAAGGTTGCAGAGGCTCAGGGCGAGCAAAACGTTGGTCATCAAGTCGTCATGTGGCTTGGGGGGTATAATTCGTCTAAATTTCCTGAACCCAGATCTGTGAAGTATGTTAGTCGATTGTCCTGTCATTGAGCACGCAGATTGACTCACCTCCATCTTGCCAATGTCCTGCCTTGCCTTCCTCGCCTGACTCTTCGCAGTCATGATGGCCATGTCGAGGTCATCTTGATCGCCCATGGTGATCATGTCGCCATTAGGCATGTCCTCGTCGCGGATCTTGATCTTGAATCGCCTACGAAGGCCGAACTTCTCACGGATACGGTCGATGAAATCGGGGAATTCGACCGCCGCACCGACCATAATGTATCTGACATCCTCGGCATGGACCTTGACACGAATCTTGCGAATCTCTGGCCGTCTTGAGCCGCCGCGAGAAGACATGGAATTTGTGCCGGGACGTCGGTTGGACACCATCTCGAAGTCGCCCTCATCGAAGGAGCCGTAATCAGAACCGTCATCCTCGTCCTCCATGTACCTTTGGGGCACACGGCGGGACGTCTGCCGGCTGGTTCTCGTGCTGCCACCTCCGCCGCCACCTTGGTACATGTCGTACAACTCATCAGGGTAGGCGTCCTCGGCCTCTTCGTCGACGGGACGACCGCGCATCTGCTGGTCGCGTCTCGAGTAGCCCCTGCTGGGAGTGGCGGAACGAGACTCGGATCTCATGGACGGCGGCGCCCGACGATCGTTCTGTGGGCTGCTCGTCTTTTGGTATCGGTCATTTGATCTCGCGTTGTCGATGTTGAGCTTTGCAAGCATTGGCTTGGGGCCATTGCGAACAGACTGTCCACGGGTCATGCCACCGCCGGCGTTGGCCTCGACCTGGTCAGGCGGAGGTGTGGGCGGGAAGACGCCGCGGCCGTTGGGCGGCTCGGATTGTTGTCTTCTAGACGCCAAGCCGGGCTTGACGAGGTTTGTGGCGGCGAAGGAGATGTTGTCAGCGGGCCTGTCGTCCTTGTTATCGTTCTTGCCGGCCTGTAAACCAAGAAGTCTCTGATTAGCAAATGGATTCCCATAAAAGCTGATTGATTTGGGAATCGATCTGCCTACATTCTTGATCTCGGACCCGGCAAAGCCTGTGAAGGCGTTCGCGCGATCGGAGGCGGCGACCAGCCGTGCCTTTCCGAGGTAGTCCTTTGTCTTGAGGTTGCGAACCTTGGCCTCGTTCGGTCGGTACACGACACCGACGGGGATCGAAAAGACGGTGTAACCCTGCGGTGGTTAGCCTTGATCACAAGGGTTTGACTCAGGTCCATACCTCTGCCTCCTCACGAATGGCCTCGTCAATGACGTTGTGATCCTCGACGACCTTCTCCTTCACGGCGTAGGACAGATCTTGCAGACCGGCATCCTTTTGTTGCAGGTAAATGTAGCAAAGACCGCGGTTGAAGAGGACTTCGCAGGAGTAGAGCTTGAAGAGCAGGCCCAGTTGGGCGTAGTCAATCATGGTGTTTCCTCTGAGGTAGAGCAGGGTATCGTTGAAGTTGGCCAATGCCTCTTCGAAATCGCCGAGCAGGAAATTTGAGACGCCCTGTTGGAAGTAGGCGACAGCGAGGTACTGATCTAATCTGATTGCGCGCTGGTAGCACTCAACCTGGTTTTGGGTCAGTTCATGGTGCTCGGAGGTAGGCTCGGGGATCACGCACAGCCTTCTCATGCTCTCCTAACGTAGCGTGAATGACACCCATGTTGAAGAGAATTTTTGATGTGTCGGAAATCTTCTCAAAGTCCTTGAGGGCCTCATCGAACTCGTTGTTATCGTAGCGGCCCAGGGCCGACACCCACGTCTCTATTTCCTAGAGGGAGATCTGGTCAGTCATCTGCTCCGTGCGCTGAGGGCCCCCCTCAATGATCGTCGGGTCTTCGCATCGCGGGTGGTTGGGCTCCATCGAGGGGAAGTACGGCTTACTTGTTTCAACGACATTGTGGCCGAATGTGAATTATGGAAATGGGCAGAAACCCGGAAATCGAGATGCTGTTAATTTGCGCAGGCAGACTGTCGCTGCTACTGCTCGCAGAAGAAAAGGGGCGGGAGTTGTTTTCGCGCAGAGGGTATCGTGGGGAACTGCGGACTTGCGAGAAAGAAAAGCCAAAGAGCAATCCAAACCGGGCCAGAAGAACAGCGACGTGTGGCCGCGGGCGGCTAGAGAGGGTCCCAGGGCTATTTAGGGATGGATGGGATTAACAGCGCGGGCTGGGCAGCCGGTGGTGACCGTGCGGTGTGCTCGGCGCCACTGAAATGACGGTTGGAGTGTCCAGGTCGTGTCGTATCCCCGCTTCAACCTGTAAAATGGGCTGCAGCTGCAATCCAATGTGAATGCGGACCTGACCTGGTGCGGTAATGTGGTACCGGAAAAGGGCCAAGAAGAGTAGGAGCTGAAGATCTTGGCGCGTGGCGGGTATACCAGCGATCGATAAACTGCTGTTCCCTCCTCAGTTTTGACGGTGCCGAAAGTTTCTGCAAGAAACGCCGATGCGATACGCAGTTGGACGCAACGCAAGAAAGAGGGTTTTCGCTTTTCCCAACGGTGCCTGGTGCCTTTGGAATGAGCCGGGTTGCTGCAGGTTCAGCGTGCAGCTTACTAGCTGGAGCAAGTGCAGGCGAGGGTGAGGTGCGTCTGCCGTGAGGTGTGATGTGAGCTGTGTGCCTCGACGTGCGTCTGTCTCTATTTTAGAGTTGCTACTGCTGCTGCTTTTTCTTTCCTGGCCAGCAGAAGCAGATGCCAAAAGTAGGACAGTTGTTTCGGGTTTGTGTACGTTGTGCGTCGAAGGACGGATTAAGTTGTCGGGGAGGATGGGATGGCCCTTTACGGGTGGTGGGAGGGATATGTATGTAAGTCGGACAACTGCGCTAAAAGGGGGGGTCCGAAGGCCAGTTCAGTCCGTCCTTAATTCTTCTGTAAGTGTGGTCTTCTGCCCGCCTGTGACGAGACGAGAATAGAGAATGTGTGTGAAGAGTGTGTGAGTAAGAGGATTAGTGAGTGAGCAGATCCCCAGACTGTCCACACTAGCTTTTGCCTCTTGCGTTGTTCGGCGTGTGCCCCCTTCTCTCGGATTGTATCGTGCGTTAATTAGAGTCGAACCTCGGACGGTCGTTCGACTATGGAAGCTTGTTGCGGGTCGCAAGACTTGGAAAAGACAGGCTCGGTGGTCGGTTTGGGCTTGGTGGTCTTGTGATATCGAATTTCCCCAACTCTTTCGTCCCAGTTGTGTGTGATGGGATATCAACGAAAGGTGATGGAATGGCCAGACTTGCAGCTGGGCCTTGGGCAAAAGAATGGGAATGAATGGATGCAGGACGAAAAAAGCCAGCGCCTACGGATTAGAAAGGAGGGTAGGGTAGAGAAAATAGAGTCGATTGCGAGGGACCAAGGGGGACTTGACTGGTCGGGTTGTGGGCCGCGAGTCTGGGTGTATATCATGCAAGACCGCTCACAAGTGATTGATATTCACACTGGATTGTTCAGTCAGGAAACGCTTAGGATGCCTGTGCTCCGGCGGTGCTCGTCCAGTTGCGAGTTGCAGGGGCATCCAAGGGGTGGTTTCTTGCTATCGAGTCGAAGGGGGTGCTTGGAGCGAATAGCCCGGAACAAGTGGCTTGGGCGGTGCGGTGGATGAGAAAGGGGGTGTGTCTGAACCACTTTCACACGCCCTCTTGATACTTGTTTGGAAGAGACCGAGTTGTGCAACCGATCTCTCTGTGCCATGACAGGATTGGATCTGCCTCGGGACGGTAGAAGATCGTCTGCTGAAATACGCAGAGAGAGAGAACATATCGGTGTCGTCTGTCGACTTTACCCAAGATGTCGTCTTAGCCACTATAAGTTACCGCGCAGATCCTTCTTTTGGCATTCGACATGGTAGCTCGTCCGGCAAGGGAAACAAACTTGTCTAAATCGAGGGACAGAATCAACTGTTTTCTCTCGAAATCGAACCACTTTGCATATCTCGTCGCCAGATGCTGGGTTGTGGATGTGCTCGACATCGAACGTTGGGATTCCCTCGAGGCCTCTGTGCCTCTCTTGCACATCTCTCTCCCCTGTGGCCTACACTAGGGGTGCTCCCCCCTGGTCTGTCTGGGCATCCCATCCGACGTGCGTCCCGGGGGTGTGTGAGAGGCGCCTGGGCACCTTCACATTGGAGTGATGGGCTCGCCAGAAGAGTCGCAGTCCATGTCAGGGCGGGGCGGGTCAGATCGCGCATCTTGCGGTGGCCGAACCAGGGGACTGGCTGTCTCCGACTCCCATTCTCCTGACCCATCAGGGACGACCGCTGTCGACCTTTCCTATCCTGTGCCAGCCGTGTGCCTCTCAGCCGGGTAAGACGCAGCAGACTCTTAACGGCAATGCACTATTGTCGGGTGTCGCAGGCATCTTGCAACCACTGCGAATCAGGGCCTGTCGGTTCCCATGCACGAAGCGTTCCAGCGATTGCCAGGCTTGCCTGATTGGCCGCTAGGAACACGGGACTTGGACCCAGGTCGACGTCGGAAGCCACCAGCGCCTAGAGCCAAGGGCGCGTACGCGAGAGACTACTGCGTAACGCCACCTTGATCACACTTTTTAGCTTTGCGCCGGTGGTGATGGTGATCATGATGGTTGATGATGATAAGATGCAGCTGGCAGCTTGTAATCTTGCTCGTGGCTGGAGTGTTGAAGCGTGGGGACACTGCCGGTGCTGGATGATGCTGCAACTGCAACTGTGACTGCAGGCCCTCCCGTCCCATCTCGTCAGTTGTCGCTGCGGGCTATTTTGCTTTTTGTTCCCAGGATGAGGTGTAAGTGCTTGCAGACCGCCATCCATACTCGATTCAACTGAATGGCCCGCATTCCCAACCCAGCGGATTGGCGAGTGACGTTGCCGGAGCTTTTAAAATAGCATCACCGAGAGTGCCGTGCTCGCAGACTGCAGCAGATGGGAGAAGTTAAGCGCTTGGAGACATTTGGTGATTGGGTTGTCCCGGTCAACTGTCACTTCGGTCGCGTCGGCGGTGAGGTGTTTAGATATCCGAAGGCGGTGACAGTTGGACAGGCCGAGTCGTCCGGGCCTTCGCGGCAAGGTTATCCATTCCCCAGACTGCGGGTGATGTGCCTCACCATGGACGCCAGGCTCAGCTTTATCGGATTGGCGTTCTGGCGAGATGATGGGCTCAGGTGCGCCGAAAGTGTCACGATTTGACGATGAAGGAGGCTCGGTGTCGTACATCTGGGCACAGGGCAACGACGCCATGTCGATGGCTGGCATCTGCAGTGGCTACCGCGGGGTAGGGAGATGGTGTGGTGTCGTTGGCGTACAATGATCTGCGAGGAAACCGAGGGCTCGTCACATAAGGACCCGCCCAACGTCAGCGCCTCTGCGGCACAGATTCGGCAGGCTGTCCTGCCCCAACCAACGTTCCTGCATTTGGGGCATTCGGCCGTTCAAAGTCGAACGTCCCACGAAGACGGAATATGCAGGAGATGAAGGAGATGAGGTGAGATGGTGCTCGGTTGATTCGGCCGTGTCATGAGGCCATCGTGGTGCGACTGGCGCAGATATCCGTCTCGATCGCGGGGTTGGACCGGAGGAGGCATGTAGTCGCCTTACTCGCGCACATCCAATGGCTAGAAGATATCCGTAGTGTAAAGTGTAGTACTAGAAGAGGCCGCCGCCAAGGAGTTGACAGATTCCTCGCCGTCCCCCCTTGTGGCGTCGGTTCCGGTGCAGGGCATGTCGTCCAGTCTTTGTCAGAAGTTGGGCAAGCTTATCTGCAGCGGGTCCGTTGCGGTCCAGCCCATTTAGCGGAGGCCATCGAATTCGGAGGTTATGCTTGTGTGTCGGGAGCACAAGTGCTGACAAGACTTGGCTGAAGCCGAAATTGTGGTTAAGCCGTAAGACAATTCGGATAGGGTCGATGATATCGACGAGTTCCAGTTCCAGTGTTGAGGGGCGTGGTAAGGGAGAGAGAGAGCTGAGAGCACCAACCAGCAAGGACCAGGATCTGGTCAGATGTCTTGGCTTGGAAAGAAGCTCAGCCACAGCTTATTGAGTTACTTTCATCCCAGCTCCCTGTTTCTGACGATGACAATGCTCTTTCCTCGATTCCGTATCCCCTGGAAAGATTCAGATTATTGCGTAGCATTCAGAAGAACAGCACGGAAGCGTGGAAAAAAAGAAGAAAATCTCTGCCTTCTTTTCCGCATCGGGAAGGGAATGATGTAAGGTCAACAGGGGACTGAGGCAGACCGGCACGAGCCTGAGGCTGGTCCCGCCTACCGAAAGAACTGGACAAGCAAACAAGGAAAGAAGGAGCAATCAATGACTTGCATTGGATTCTTCACCGTGCCTCTCAGATTACCTAAGCGGGGGAAAGTTCAGAGAAGCTCCTTCCAACGTTCCATAATCCCGTCCCGTCCCTGCTGCCACCCTTCGGAACCAACAGACAATAGCTTATTCGCGGATCGTTGGCGATATCAGGGGCAAACAAGACAAGACAAGCTCTTACAGTCCCGAACATTCCCTTCCCTTAGCCTCGTCTACCTTATTACCACTATTGCTTCTTCCCCTTTTTCCTTTAAAAAAACGCTTATATCGCCCTAGCATCTGGGCTTCGATATGCTCTACCCCGAGTGGGCAAAAGAGACAGCCGCTACCTAACTCTAATTATCCCTGTCGTCGAGGGTCTCAAAAAGCCTACGAAACTCGCTTCTCCTTCAGGCTGTTTTGGAAGTCCCGTGCTGGGGTCTCCGCTGACGTCCCGTTTACAGGGTAGCCACGCTCTTTTGGCCCCCATTGACGCCTTAGCCTGGGAAGGCAGCTTCCGCTGTAACGCTAGCGGTAGTGGGGTCAAAGTCTCTCGTCACCCAGATTCTGCGCAAGAGCTACTTCCAACGTCTCTGCCCAGACCAACAACCACTCCGCCGCATGAACCAGACGTCAAGCCAACGAACTTGCCATGTTTTACCACGCAGCATCCGGTCGAGGTCGACGTCGAGGGGCAATGGTATCCAGCCGCATGCCTTGCAGCAGCACCGCATGTCTCCCTCAGTCATCACTACGGATGTCTCGACCGATCAGAACCCTACCTACCTTACCTACACCATACCACCTTACCAAGACCACACAGACGGGAACACGCATCGCAGACAGCAGCACTACGACGCTCCGTTCCTGATCTCCCTTTTCCTCTACCATCTCACGCTCTCCTTCGAGTGTCACAAGTCTGGGCATCCCTTCGAACGGATGAATCCACCCGTGACGCGGCGATCTCGCCGTTGCTGGTGCTTTCCTCCCTCAATGCGAACTGCACTGGACTGAACTGCGTTGAACCTCAACGGTCCGCTACCCGCATTGCAAATCACAACCGGGGACCGGCTGAAATCTTCCATCGTCAAACAAACCACAGGCTGCTGACTCGACTGCTACCGAAACCGCTGTTTTCTGAATCGCTTTCGCCAAAACAAGTTTACACCACATCACAGCCTTGGGCACAGTTCTGCGCAAAGGCGCCCAAATGCCACTTTGGATGCTTAGGGTTCTGTCACCTGTGCCATGACATGTGGTCATGAACACCCTCCTCTTCCCCAGAGGCAATGCGCATTACCTCATTCATACGGCCGCCTTAGCTAACCTGTGCTCCCAGACCTCCCGCATCCCATATCAACCAAGCTTGGTTTCAAACTCGGCCTTGCTCTCCACACATCGACTCCTTTGCTGCTTACATCAAAAGTGCCGCCTATCGTTCATAACCACGTCGATATTCACGCCCTCGCCCACACGTATCAGCCTCGACTCCTACTAGGCACCCCGCTCTGTCTGCGTTCACTCCCTCGGTGGGCCTCTTCACGGCAAGCCAGCTCCGACCCCCTTGCGATCCAGAGAATTAAGGTAGCGCCTCTGGTCCCTGTCGTCCCTGTCCGACCACACACGCGTATTCGTCTCATCTACCACCTGTCACTCGCGCTCCGCCTCCTTCCGGTCTTCGATCGGTGGGGGGAATCTCCCGGAACCGTCATCAGTGTTTCTTCTAACATGATCTGCATCAAAGCCGACGCTGGAGCCACGTCTTCTCTGCCTGCTTTCCTGCCCTGAAGCGGGCCTTTTTCGCAGTATCTGGAGTCCTTGGGCAAAGATTCAAAGTCGCACTGCCCTAGCCTTTCCCCGCCGTCCCACCACTCGGAGACGATCAAGAACTCGGCAGAAAAATCTGGCTGAGACAGGCCTTGGAAAGCTTGGCACACCAAGGTTAAGTCGATGGGGCCAGAGAGAACGGACGGTGCCAACAACCTTACCGAGACCCCAGACTCCAGCGCCCTGTTAAGCTGCGTCAGGGTCGGCAAACCAGAGTCGACCGTCACGGTAGCCGCGAGTCGTCCAAGCCCGAACAGTCTCTTGAACCTACTCCGTACAGCATCTGCCTCTGTCGACAGGATGCCAAGGTCTCCAGAAACTCAGCCTCACTGTCGAATCCACCCGTGGTGTGGTTCTTTGCATTTCTCACACCACACAAGTCCAAGACCCCTGACGTCTTGTGTGCCATTGTTCTGGGAAGCCTTGGCCGTCGACGGTAATCCCACCTGGTAGACGCTGTCCGAGGCCAACGTTCATCGCAAAAATCGTACGATGTTGTTTACTGCAGCTGCCACCTCCACGTGTGGTCATTGGTGATCTACTTGAGTTTATTCGGCTTGTTCAACCGAGCTTTCTGGCGCCAAAACAATGGATAATCTCTTGTTCTTGTCGTGATCTTCGTGATCCATCTCATACATCATTCGACAAGTTCCCGACGTTGGCTCGACGTGGCACCTACAACATGCCCTTTTGGACCTCGTCCTTCCTCTCCTCCCACAGCGTCTTGCCAGTGCATGAGCATACGGTCTTGTCATTGTCCCACACACCCGCACTCCTGGCAATCACGCCGACCAGTGTGTCCGGGTCATTCTTCAGAACTCCCGCGGACTCATCTTGTCTCGAGACGACCATGGCGTGGCCAATAATCTCCCAGATCTGGAAGGGCTTATCGAGGTACGCGCTGCCCCGACCATCCTTGCCGACGTCAAAGACGCCCAGAAACCCCTTGGCAGCGGCGCCTTCACTGCCTCCCGACCAGACAGGGCCCGTCGATGAGGCGCCCCTCTCTAGGTTGCCGTACTCACGGACGGTCGCCCGGTAGGAGCCGGGGGCGACGCCGCGAAGTGTCAAGTCAATCAAGGTTGTGGTTGGGGATACCTGCACCATTCTGGCGAGGCCCCGGACCTCTCGGGTTCGCTCCTCAGCAGCAACGTCACCGTCGACTTGGTCAAAAGACTCGAGGATACTGACAGCTGCGCCTAATTGGGTGAATAAGCCTCTGATCGTGTAACAAGGTGTCCAAGGTGAGCAGGTTTAAGATGGCGAGTCCCCATCTGCCGACGAGTGTGCCGGCAAGACCAGACCGGTCGGGTGGTATCAGGAAACAACTTAATGTTCGCCAAGGGGTTACAGAAAATGCGGAATAGCGTGGGCGAAGCCTACGAGCCAGGCAGAAGATTTGTTGGATGGGGTTCGCAAATCGAACACCCAGGGAGAGAAAAGAAAGGAGCCTAGTCCACCTACTGTTTGATGCTCCCGAACCTCGCAGGATAGCGTCCCTCCCCGTGGCTTGGATGGCGTCAACAATGGCCGATGGTGCGGCTGCAAAACGTCGCCAAGAGTTAGTGTCATGATTTGCCAAAACGCAGAATGCCAATCTTGACTCTATCGGCGAGGGTGAGGCATCAAGAAAAAGACTCAAGCCTTGGGGAAGCCTCAAAGCATACCGGCTCTGCCGCCCGCAAGGCCGCTGTCCGAAGACCGCGCCAAGCATCGCGAGAACCTGCGATATACGGACGGCAGGCGGCGCGCGGCGGGCAGGCGGATGTGGGATGAGGTACCACTGAAGACCCGAGATGGTGGGACGGAGACACCCATCAACAGCGGCAACAGCAGCAGCATTGTTAAACCCAACCCCCTCCTCCAACTTTCTCGGGCTCAGAGTTTTGCGGCAGATGGGAGCGTACCTGTGCCCTCGACGGAAATCAATTGGTCCTTGAGATCGGCCTCGACCTTTGTGATGCCCCCCAGCTTGTACAACGAGTCTGAAACGTCCTTGACGCAGCCGTCACATGTCATGGGCACGGCGAAAACGGTCTAGTTCGGATTTTATTCGTTTCATTAGCATGACGACTTCCCCTTAGTAAGGAAATTCCGGGCAGAAAAAGAGCCAAGGTAGGGGAAGAAGAAGAAGAGGTAGGCTGTTTTCCGTGTGTAGTCCGAGTTGGGGATGCAATACGTTGTGAAAGCCTCTCTCACTCTTCTCTTTGGCGCGTGGTGAGAGGGCGGGTGAGTGAGAGAGGGACAGCGCGGAGACGAAGATGGGAAGGGGAAAAGGAATGGACGAACCTGAAAAGGATGTGAGACGGTCATCGTGAAGGGTCTCCTCGTCGGTCCTGTCGCGCTTGGCTGGTGCGGGCTTCGTAGCAGAAGAGAGCGATAGTTGTGCAGGAAATCGTGGAGGCAGTAGACCATGCTCCGGCCCTGTTTCTCCGTTGCAGTTGTTGAGTCACCAAAAACAGAAGCGGTCTTGGTGAAGGAAGATGGTTGTTCAAGACTAGGTAGACCAATGGATGTAATTCCTGGTTCTGAGGTTTGTAGGTCTTGTTGGTTTTCTATTCCCTTCCAGAAATGCCCTACTGTCGAAGTTGCCCAATGGGAAAACGGGATGCGCCTTTAATACCCGTATCGTGGGCTCTTTTTTTGCTTTGAAATCGCCTTTGCAATGGGACCTACCTACCACCACCACCACAGTAGCAATTAAACGTAACGCAGCGCAACCGCTCTGTCGCGAAGAGCGCTGAGGAATTGCCCCGCCGTGTGAATGACGCCCGGACCAGCCGGTGCCCCTCAACTGTGACATTCCATTTCGCAATCGGGGGGGAGTTTTCTCGGCGCTCGGTCACCGCAGATGCCGATGTGGCCGATAAGAGACAATCGAGCTTATCTTATCGGTTGCATCACGGGCTGAATCACGTGTGGGCGCGTCTCCAAATTTTTGGGAGCTGGCTGGAAGCTGCATACTATCGGGCGGGATTTGCCAAACGACCGTTGACGACATTTGCGAGCCGCAACACGCCTGACCGAGGGCCCGCTGCCGATCGTCCTTTGCCAACTGGACGAATCCCTCACGAGAAAAGAACGAGCGGAAAGAAAACCCAAAAAAAGAACCGAGCTGAGGCGGCTGGCCCAGCAGAAAACTCAACATGTCGCAAACCGTCGGCCTGGTACGTTAAACCACATCCCTCCATTGCCAATTGCGGCCCCGGACCCGAACTCCCCCAGCTGACGAACCGCTCTCAAACCAGACCCGCCTCTCCTACTCCCGGGTATGGCACCAGATCTCGGCGGCGGCCCCCCACGCGACGCTCTCGACGCAGCCGGGCGTGACCCCTCCCTCGCTGGGTCGCCTGGCCTCGCGGATCGCGGTGCTGCTGATGGGCAAGCACAAGCCGACGTGGGACCCGTCGACGGACTGCGGGGACTACGTGGTGGTGACGGACTGCGCGGCGCTGCACACGACGGGGCGGAAGAAGTGGCAGAAGACGTACTACCGGCACAACACGCGACCCGGGTCCTTGCGGCAGGTGACGATGGACGTGCTGATGGAGAAGCACGGGGGCGCGGAGGTGCTGCGCAAGGCGGTCAGCGGGATGCTGCCGAAGAACAGGCTGCGGGACAAGAGGCTCGCGCGGCTCAAGGCGTTCGAGGGCGAGGCGCACCCGTACAAGGAGAACGTGATCCGGTTCGGGGACGTGGCCGTGGGGGAGACGGGGTGGGAGGAGCAGGTGAGGGCTATTCGGGAGGCCGATGCGAAGAGGGTATGAGGCGGGGAGGTTGAGGGGGCTGCTGTAAGACGTGTATGTTGTGTATGAATATGGCATCTCAATTGGAAGTCTAATGGTTCACGGGAATGAGGTTTGTGGGTTGACGTGGATGTTTTGTGATTGTACGACGGCTCTTGGAGTGCTGCTGAGACGCTTAGCCTCGTAAGACGTTGAATTGGGACGCAGAAGTCGTCTCGGAATCTCAAATGAACTCGACATGTGCTGTAATGAGAGTCTTGCAGTGACTTGGAGAAGTATCGCTCGAGCTAGAGTAGGTCATATCAAGTCATCACGGGTTTCGGAGGCATGTATGATGCTTGGCAGGCTGGTTCAATACGATGGAAACAGTCGAATGTTGTTCTAATGGATTTTGCTGGTCTGATTCGAGATATAAAAGCGTCTATGGCAGACAACCCATGGTACCAGTGGCATAGGAACTTTCGATTTGGATGATGTTCCCCTAGTCACTGCAGATGTGTAGAGCTCCGGTTCTGCTGAGCCATTCACCGACTTTTGCTTGTCGATCTATGAAGAATTTGGGATCTTGAATGAGAGCAATTTCCTACTGCATTACCATGAGCCTTCTTGCCACCACGACAATAAGATGAATGAGGTCAACACCGTTTTCCCATGTAAAGTACAGTCCAGACCCTTTCTAGGTGAACCGTGTTACTTGGAGCGTGGAGATCCTTAAGAGAATTCGTAAACTACTACTACATCGTAACACTTCTACATATCAGTCTTTAGATGTGAAGTCGATCTTCAAGACAATAAAGCGTAGAGGACCACAACTACCTTTCAACTGAATGTGGAGTTTGTCTTCATGTAGATACGAAATCTCAAGATGATAAAACAAGTAAAACGATACGTGATGAGATTTCTCAGAATCCATGATGGAGGTCGATTTCTTCTTTTGATTTGTACAAGTTATTAGAAAAAATATCAAATATTTACCTCTGTCTCAACAGACTCCTAAATCACAGCTTTCACCTGAGATGCCAAAGCAGAGGCAATTCTCATAGCCATTTCAAATATTTCAACGTATAACCTCCTGGGTTTTCCTCAATGAAGATTCATGCCACTGATCTAGACTTCGGCATTCACGAATCAGCTCAGTCAAGGCTCAAGTCACTCACTGTCCAGACACCAAGATGAGTTGCAATTTAGTAATTGATATAGATGCTCTAAGTCATTGCTCGTTATTACAAAAAATACACCTCGCCGGATGCTATAAGCCAAAGACGCCAGAGTAAATGCAGCGCACTTCTCACCACCCCGCAGCCTACAACTTGGCCGTTTCGGTCTTGGACCGCGCAACCTCGCATCTGATGAGGCCGTTGGGGCCGGACTGCGGGGCGTACACCTCGGCGTCCTTGCCGGTGTTCTTGAGCCCCTTGTGCCAGCTGAGGTCGATCTCGAAGTAGTGCTTGTTGGGCAGGGTGTAGGTGACGGTCAGTGCGCCGGGGACGGCGGCGAGGATCTGCTCGCACATCTTGTACATTGTGTTCTGGACGCTGGCGCTCTCGTCCTGGGCGAAGGTCTTCATGGTGATGTCGCGGGCGTGCTGCCAGGCCGGGTCGAACTGGGGGACGGCAGCGCGGACGGCGGCCAGGTCGTTGAACTTCCAGGTCCAGGCGGCGTCGACGTCGGTGGAGAGGATGCGGTCCCAGGTCTCGGGGAGGGTGGTGTACTCGTCGCGGACGAAGCCGTGGAAGGCGGAGCCGGTGGACTTGAGGACGGTGAGCTTCTGGATGGAGGAGGTGAGGGCGACGCCGTCCCTGCGGGAGACGCGGGCCTCGACGTTGCGGGTCTCCTCGCCGTCGCGGTAGAAGGAGTGCGGGTGCGGCTTGCCGTCGACGGTCATGCGGGTCCAGCGGTGCTGGACGATCTTGATGTTGGCGGCGTGGATGTGCTTGTAGGTGTCGAGGAAGTGGGTGCCGAGGATGGAGGCGTACAGCTCGGGCGGGTTGATGGGGTTCTCCTTGGCCTTGATGTAGATTGTGTTCTTGATGGAGTCGGTGGCGACGACGACGGAGTTGTCGGCGACGGTGTAGGAGGTCTCGATCTCGCCCTCGAGCAGGCAGCAGACGGTCATCTCGGTGACGGTCTGGGAGTCGCCGTCTTTCTGGACCTTGTAGACGCGGACATTGTCCTTGCCGTAGCGGGCGGACGCGAGGACGGGCATGTTGGGCGGGTTTGTAAAGGGGAGGGGACGGGGTATCACTGGTGAGGAGGATATGAAGCTATCACGGTTGAGATGAAGGGAAGATGAGATAGACCGCCTTGGCAAGGGCTTGGGCCAGGGAGACGCGTGTGTCAGAGTGAGAGAGAAGGGAGGTTGAGGTTGAGGATGAGACAAGGTAGCACGGAGCAGATTAGAATTGACGGAGGGGGCCGATAAGTGTTTATATATCAAAACAACAAGGTTGAGCTTTTTGCCAGCTCGCTCGCTCACTTGATCACTCACCTTAGCTTTGCTGGACGTCACCCAGAGCCCGGAGATACATAGATAGCGCAGTCGCGTCTTTGGTCCGGCAGGCACGTTTTTTTCCTTTGGCAAGGTAGCTAGCTGGAGCTGCAATGGCTCAGAAGATTCAATGGCCTGGCCGAACTGGCCCGATCCCTTGATAGGGCCCCCGGCAGCCGTGGGGTAAGATGGTCTTATTGGAGTCGAGTGGAGCCCCCGGAGCCCGCCGATATCCCTAGGGGAGCAGCGCAGGCATTTCGCCGCATGCAGCCGCCTTCAGGTGCGAGCTTGACTACGGCTCTCTGCGACTGGCGGGCTTTCGGCCATTGATGGAGGGTCATCCTTCTGCAGGGTCCATCATGAAGACCGTTTGATGATGCCTCCGAGAACTAGTCTCGGGATTTGTTGACGATCTTCTCATAGTCACGGTTGGCTAGGTGTGCAGCAAAGAAACGGCCGAGTCCATCAGGAGCATCCACCACCATCCACAAAGGCTAGGACCAGGAACTAGACTGAGGAATGTGTGCGCCGTTTCTCCGTCACGGCCGCTCAAGAAGTGAGGAATGTTTGCTTGGAAAGGCTCCTCGACCCCACATCATGCAAGACCTCTTCCGCAGAATCTCAGCAATCCCAAGGACCCGGCCGCTCACCCGCCGCCCCTCTCCGAACCTGATGTGAGGTCAGGGACAAGTGAGGTGAGGTGACGGCCGATAGGATCCGGATGCCCCGCCTCTTCGGTGGTGTGTGGGTATCAAGCCCGAAGACGTGGAAGGGTCGACGACGCAAATCCCGTCATGACAGAAATGATTCTGTTCATGATTGTGTCTGGCTGCCCTCACAGGACACGATTGTTCGCCCACGGACGAAGAGCCTTATCGCGCACAGGTGGATGTGTCCGAGGCATCGAATGACTGTGGAAGGGGAGCCGGCCGTGTTTCAGCATCGGTGCTGGCATTCGACGCTGTGGCATGAGCGGCTTCAGACGGCAAGGGCTTTCCTCGGGAGCATAAGTAGGATGGTCCATGGTTTGTGTTGATGAAGGTGAGTATTTCGTTTTGTGGGCAGCGGCGGCGGTAGGCTGTGCCAAGTTTTGTGGCCATCTCTCTGTGTCTGCCTTTTGCTGTACTGATGCTCCTCGTGTATGCTTTTGTTCGCCCAAGGCAAGCATATGCTGTTTCGACAGTGAGTGCTGTTTCGACATATGAGTTAGCATTGCACGTGGTGATTATGATTAACCAGACCTGCCGGGGATGAAAGGATATAAGATGCAGATGGAAGCCGGAGTTGGAGCAGGTGATGGGGTCTCAGCGCAAGTTAATTACTTCTCTGATTCGTTCAGGTAGCTCATGTTGGTCGTTGAAAAGAATCAACTGCTTCTGCAAGTTGAATACCTGTGATGATGTGTCTATGTCAGTGAAGACTCCAAGCGACATGTTTTGGCTTGAAGACTCCACAGCAGATCTTGAAGGATGGCCATTTGTTCCGTTTCTCCCTTACATAGGTATGAGAAATAAGCTGTATGTCTTCATCTGTGCTTGACTTTCAGGTTCTAAAAAGCAATAGAATGGATGGAAAATCCTGCCCGCCTTCCACACTCAGCTGGAGGTCTGAGATGGAAAGAGAAAGCGGGGCGGGGAAGGTACGGTGCTTGCAGCACTACCTAGCGAGAAGCGCACCGACTTTTGAAGCAAACCGCGCTGTACCTTACGGAGCACTGCAGCTAAACACCTCTCTCCTGGGCTGGTAGCTGCAGCGAGTCGAACTCCATCCAGGCTCAGGCTGGATTACTGTGACACCCCGCCCCTGGACACCACCACCCACACCAGACCGAACTCGCAACAACAGCAACTGGACGACACACACGCGACCGCATCGGCGACACATGTGGCTCCTCTCCTGAAGCTGGCACCAGGCTGGGACTGACTGTGGACCGTGGACCGTCGATTGCACCCAGGACGTGGAATGCCCGCAACATCGCACAACGCTCCAGCGAAAAGAACATCTCACGAACCGAATATCTCTCCGACGACTCGACCCTCCTCACACACCGCGCCTTGAGATCGTTCAATCGTCATAAGGTATATTATACGAACGCACACCACCACCTCAGCCAACCGTAGCCGTGCTCCTCTGCGCATATCCTCAGCGCCGAATCCCGTCACATCTCCACCCGACCTTACGAGTTGCCGACCGACATCAACAGCCTGCCCAACGCCTTGCGATTCGAACCCCAACCTTCTAGACACGCAGCCTGAGACTGCTTCCATCACTCTATTCTCGGCGACACGTCCAACGTCCCACTCCTCCGATACCCGATTGAAGCCCCGCATATCTATCGCGAGATTCTGCCCGATCAGCCACAGTTCCCTCTCTGCGCGGATTCAATCGACGAATCTCCCTTCCAGACTCGAACGAAACCAAACATTTCTAGAATAATTTACGACAACAGTTGCCCGAATGCAAGGATTTTGGGAGCGGCCCCGGACAAAGGTGGTATCATAGAGAGGTATACCCGCCATGCTGGGCGCATCCGCAACCCAGTCCCAAAAGGCATTGTCGCCTCAGCAGTCCACCCCAAGCGTCAACACCCTCAACCCGAGGCCGAGTTTCGAGCGGGAAGCGAGCAGTGGTAATCTTCAACCACCCCTCTCTTCCGCCAATGGACCCAGGAGCCTTGGCGCCTCGGGCGTCAGCTTCGCCCCGCGAGGCTCCTCGCTCAACCCCTCCATCGCCCCGGGAAGCTTCAGCTCCGAGCTGCGCAGCCAGATGATGCCTTCGCGATCCGGTTCGCGGGGCGATATCTACGCCATGGACAAGGTCGACGAAGACAACGCCATCAGCGCCGCCGAACAGGCTCTCGTCAACCTTCGAGATCAACTGAACCGCGAGATGAAGATCAAGGATGGCAGCGAGAACATGTTGGAAGCCCTGAATGCGAAAAAGGCCAAGCAGACCAAGGAGCAGAGGGCAAAGGTCGAGGCCGAGCTCTACGCCTCCAACCAAAGAATCAAGATCCTACGGCAGAAAATCGCCGATGCCCAGAGAATGAAGGCAACGCCGACTACTCCTACGAGGCAAAGAACCGAGGGCTTCTTTTCTTCCAACAATGGCTTACGCTCGCCTCCTAGTGTGTCGCGCAGCGGTGCAGGGTCGGATGCCGAAGAGCTGCAGGAGCAATCACCCACCTTCCTCCTGGCCGAGTTGTTGCAGGCGCTGGAGCAAGAAGGCATGCCCCCTGAATACTACGTCAGCCGCGGCAACAGTCTTGTGGACCTGTTCAGAAGACACCCGACACTGAAGTACGACCTCGTTTGGTCGGTCTTTGGTATGCGTATGCAAGTCATGCTCCTGAGCGAGGCCAGAGAAGTGGTGGCAGCCGGCTACCGCATGATTCGATACGCCATATCCGATGTGTCGTCTTTGAAAAAGATTCGCAGCTTGAACACAGACGTCATTGTGATAACGTGAGTAACTCCTCGCTCCGACCGGGAACCATAGCTGATCTCGACAGATCCCTCATCAAGGACCGAAAGGCCGATTTGGAGCGGGAACAAGCGCTCAAATTCGTCCGGGCATTCCTCGATGTCAAGGATGGAGTGAAGGAGGTTTCGAGGGCTGTTGTCCGCACGATAGCCGCTGTGGCAGAGCAAGCCGAAGATCGGTTGCGCTCGATTTGCTTGGAAACCCTGGCTGAGATCATGCTCCGAGATCCCGCGCTAGCGGTTGCATCTGGCGGTCTATCACCACTTTCCGAGGCGCTCATCGAGGGTACCTACAAATCGCCAGAGACCCTCACGGCATCGTACTTGCAGATTCTGGATAGTCCGCAGAAGAGGATTTACCTGCGCTCCGGTTATGATCTGGAGGTTCTCTTCACGGCATTTACAGACATCATCCTCGCCAACGAAAGTCTCCTGAAGCAAAATGCAAAGGCTATCACCAAGATCTTGAAGAGTTGGCCGGGCCTGATGATGCTGACGATGCACGACTCCCGCGCCATCAAGTCTTTGCTCACCAGCATGGTACTTCCTCAGGCAGCTATTCGAGAGACAGTCATCGATCTTGTTTATCTGTTGCTTCGTATCAAATCCCCCTCGTGGGCGTCCTCATTCCTCGCTGGTCGCCGGCTGACGACATACGGACGAGTTGCCAGTCTCAAATCGGCCCCAAACCAGCAAACGCCCTTAACAATTTCGACGCCTCAAGAGGATGACGGCGGAGAGCAAAATTTCATGGACCATTATACGGCTCTGCTCTTGGCAACGTTCGTCAAGGCTGGCCTGCTTCAAAATCTCCTCCAGGTTGCTAGGACGAGCGAACCTGCCTTGACGAGAAAGACGTGTCTTCTCATTGGGGAGGTACTGAAGCTGTCTAGCAGATTACTACCTTCGTCTTGGAGCAATGATCTCCCTCTGCTTCCCGACCTCTTCGCGGCGGCCACACAGTTCAACGATGACAGCAGATTCATTGCCTCTGGCATTGTCTATCAGATCAGCTCAGTGAGCAAGACTCTGTACCGAAGCACATCATCCACGGCGACTGCAGGAGCGTTGCCCTCGAGCGACAGTATGGGGAACCTTGCAGACATGCATCGCAAAAGCAACGCCGGGATTGTGGTTCAAGAGGGCGCGATCCGGCAGCTGCTAGTCGAGTCCAATGTCTTGAATAGCTCAAACTACATGAAGTGGAACTGGGACGTCATTTCACGCATCATTGATGGTCCCCTCCAAGACGGGAAGCGGCTGGATGAAGTCAACAGGGTTTCGAAGTTCATGAACAGAATCATGAGTTTCTATAGGCCGTTTAAGCACCGGTTTTCAGATCTCTCAACAAACAAGAACACCCAAAAGTACGTCAGGGTTGGATGCGCCCTGATGCACACACTGCTACAATCGCCAGAAGGCGTCGACTACCTGCAAGACCACAAGCTGCTGAGACAGATAGCAGAATGTCTCGCTCAGTGCGACCCAGTAAGTTCAGTGCTGAACTCAATGACCAGGACAAAGACTAACGCACAATGCAGAGCAGTGGACTCACTTCAGCAGACCCCATGTTTTCTCCTGGCCGCCTGCAAAGCACCCTTTGTGCTGGCTACTTCCCCATGCTAGGAGTACTCAGTGGTGACCCCAAAGGCCTGGACCTTCTGCAGCGCTGGAGAATGTTCAACATGATGTATCACATTCTTCAACACAAGCAACGACCAGATCTGATCAAGTTGTTGCTCTCGAACTTCGACTACAGTATCCCGGGCCATCCTCGCGTGCTTATTGAGCAAGCTTTGACGTCTGGCACACGGGAGATTCGAATTATAGGCACGAATGTTTTGAGGAAATACGCTACCCGGCCCTTTGACGCATCACAACCTTCCCACGGCAAGGTGGATTGGAAGTGGGCGATTGAGAAGCTGGTCGATCAGCTTTATGATCCCGAGGTGGAGGTTTGCCGAACTGCGGTTAAGATCCTCGAGAAGGCGTGCAATAAGAAGGCATATCTGGAGTACGTCGTCCAATGTCGTCCAACGATGGACCATCTTGGAGAAATCGGCGCCCCTCTCCTCCTTCGTTTCTTGTCCTCTTCAATCGGCTACCACTACCTCGACGGCGTTGACTACATCAGCAACGAGATGGATGATTGGTTCCTCGGCCGCAACGACTCCTATGTTGGTGTTATTGAGACCAGCTTAGCGAAGGCGTTTCTCGAGAACCCGGAAGAACACCAGAACAGGATGAACATGGTCGACGAAGTCCAAGCCGATGCCGAGCCCGAAAACCACATCCCGCCTCACTTCTACCGCGAACTCGCCCGTACAGAAGAGGGCTGCAAATTGCTCAGCGATAAGGGACACTTTGCAGAATTCGCAAGCACCATCAAGGAGTACGGAATGCAATCAGAAGACCCTGAGCTAATGCTCAAGGTCAAGGCGTCAATGTGGGCGGTCGGCAACGTGGGTTCCATGGAGCTGGGAGCACCGTTTATTGAATCATGCGATGTCGTAGAAGACATTGTCAAGATTGCCGAAGAGCACGAGGTGATGAGCCTGCGTGGCACAGCCTTCTTCGTGCTTGGGCTGATTTCCAGGTCTGCGCATGGCCTCGAGATTCTCTCGGAATGCGGATGGGACTCCAACTTGTCACCTAGAGGGGAGTCGTTGGGTTTCTGCATTCCAAACGATCTCAACAAGTTCTTCTCGTTCAAGCCCTGGAAGCATGCCATCGCATCCAAGATCGCGTTGCCCAACACACAGAAGACTTACTTGACTCCACCGCCTCCCACCGAAGCTCGACCGCCCCTAGAAAAGGAGGAGTTGCCCGCCTTCACAGACGAAGCCGCCATCAACCAGCGCATCCTCGACCTCGTGGTTGACCTCGGCAACATGGTTCTGTATAAGCGTGCAATGGGCGAGCTGATGCAAATCAGGCAGCACAAGGTGGCAGGCTTCAGATGCCCAAAGATGTTCAAACGCATCATGACGATGCTCGAGTATAACCATTATCGCCTTCCCATCAGGCGCATGGTCATCGAGATGTTTGACAAGAGTGTCCTACGGAAGATTGTCTTCGACGAAGACAGCGATAGCGACGATGAAGAGGACGAGGAGGACGACGACAACGTAGCGTCGTCTGGAGATGAGAATCGAACCGAGAGGCAGAGGAGCATCTCGGATCCGTCCGAGCTAGAGAAGGATGGCCCCCCGCAGAAGACGGAGCGGTCAGACAGCCATGGCTCAGCCGAATCGGATGACTCTGCGGAGACGGCATAGGTCTACGTCGATGCATAGTGGCCGTACAGTTTTGCGGAGGGCTTCGCGTATGGAACGGGAGGGGCGGGGTATTCCCAAGACGCGTCGGAGACCATGATGAGGCGTTTCGTTACTATTGTTTTTTTGTACTATATCTCGGGATTTTGCGGGATGGATACATCAGTCAGTTTGGCCAACATTTTGGCGGCAAGCAGAGAGGCCCTCTGAGAAATCGCGAAATGATCTTTTTCTGGGAGCGAGCAACGGATAGGATGGAGTCGGGCGGCCATCTTGCTCATCGATTCCCCGGAAGCAGGATTTCGGTAGGGAGGCAATTCAAAAGTCATTGGTTCCCTCGATTGTGTGTGTGTGTGGACTTGTCGTATGCTGTGCCTCTGTTTGTGTACAAGACGATGGGTAACCATTGTTTTACTAAATCGTTTGGTGACAGGGCGTGTTAAGGCGTAGCAGAATCTTCAGTTCCTTCCCGTGCCTTACCTCAGGAAAACTAAGGACTGCCCCGCCCCCACCTTGAGTGACATCCGCAAACTGCGGCCGACCCGACGTCAACCGTCCCGGCGGAAATCTACTCCGGAGCTTCAAGTCGTACCCGTAGACCCGTGGACCCATTTAGAAGACTTTATTTAACTCTGTACACTTCCGATCCATCATCTCGGGATTCTCACCTTGTCATCCGAATCGCGGGACATCATCATGGTCTCAGGACGAGTACTGGTCATCGCCGGCTCGGATAGCTCCGGCGGAGCGTGAGTAATCCGCAACTCTTCACGGGTTTTCTCGCACAACAGGTGGACTGACGTAATTCGCAGCGGCCTGGAGGCAGACCAGAAGGTAATCGCAGCCCATGGCTGCTATGCTATGACGGCCACCACTGCCCTCACAGCGCAGGATACCACGGGCGTGCACGATATCCACCATGTCCCGCAGGAGTTCTTAGTCAAGCAGATCGATGCTTGCGTCAACGACGTTGGTGTCGATGTCGTCAAGACCGGTTCGTTGAACGCACTCGCCGTTGATGCCGAACGAGAGCTCATTGTTGGTTAGGTATGCTGGCCTCGCCGGCCACGATCGGGACGGTCGTGGAAGCCTTGAAGAGGCACCGCGTTCCCAAGGTCGTGGTCGACCCGGTCATGATCGCGACCAGCGGCGCGGAACTCCTCCCGCGCGAGGCCGTCGCCGAGTTGCTGGAGGGATTGCTCAAGATCACCACCGTGCTCACGCCCAACATCCCCGAGGCCAAGCTGCTCCTCGAAGACGCGGGGCACAAGGGCATCGAGGTGACATGCGTCGGCGACCTCGAGCAGATGGCGAAGATGGTGAAGGCTCTTGGGCCGCAGTGGGTGCTCGTCAAGGGCGGGCACGCGCCGTTCAAGGCCGACTACACGGTCGCGGAGACGGAGGAGGAGAAGGCCCTCGTCGTGGACGTGCTCTACGGGGACGAAGGGGAGCTTGTGAGGATCGAGAGCCCGTACCAGGCGTCGACGAATACGCACGGCACCGGGTGCTCGCTTGCTTCGGCTATCGCGTCGGGTCTGGCCAAGGGGTTGAGCGTGCCTGAAGCTGCGAGGGCGGGCGTGAGGTATATCGAGGCTGCCATCCGGACGGCGCCTGGGTTTGGAAAGGGTCATGGGCCTTTGAACCATTTCCACTCCGTCCAGACTCTGCCTTTTGCGCCGGGGCGGTTTATTGAGTATATGCTGGAGAGACCCGATGTCAAGGACGTGTGGCGGACGTTTGTATACCATCCTTTCGTCATGGCGATGGGAGATGGTACGTTGCCATTGGAGTCTTTTAAGGGGTATCTCATCCAGGACTACCTTTACTTGATACATTTCGCCAGAGCCAATGCGTTGGCGTCATACAAGGCGAAGAGCATCGCCGATATCTCGGCTGTAAGTTGGGCATATCGCGAGTCGGTCAGCAGCTGACGATATCAGGGAGCCACCATCGTCAGTCACATCACCCGCGAGATGTCGCTGCACATCGACTACTGCAAAGGCTTCGGCATAACGGTCCCCGAGATCGAGGCCACCGAGGAGAAACAAGCCTGCACCGCGTACACCCGCTACGTGCTTGACGTCGGACAGAGCGAGGATTGGATCGCTCTGCAGATGGCCTTAGCACCGTGTCTGCTCGGGTACGGTGCCGTGGCGAAGCAGCTCCACGGAGACGTCAAGACGAAGCGCGACGACAACACGTATTGGAAGTGGATCGAGAACTATGTGGCCGACGACTACGTCCAGGCCGTGAAGACGGGCTCCGAGCTGATTGAGAGGCATGCTGTGCTGCAGAGCCCGTCGAGCATAGAGCGGCTGATCAAGATCTTTATCCATGCCACCAAGGTAAGCCCCGTGAAGGTTACGCGACACATCGAGCTTTTATCTGACCGGAACACAGATGGAAATCGGTTTCTGGGAGATGTTCCCTTACCGATAATCAACCCCGTTGACTGGGATGGCTGTTTGATAGAACGCATAGAGCCGGGTACATAAGGGGATAGACGGGTTCTCAACGAAAGAAGATACATGAGAAAACTGCATGGGTTTAAAACGTTGGTGACAAATTCTGCAATGCGATTGGTCGTACAACGTATGCGTCCATTGACTTGGTCGATCATGGTATTCTGAGGCTCAAACAACCTCTTAAACACGACCCTACAAAAATAGACGTGACGGAGAAGAGGAAACTCGAGGCAGAAAGCCAAGCATCGTTGAAGCCAGCAGGCCGAAAGCTTCAGTCCTGTCGTCCGATACAGCTTGCCATGCTTACATTCTTTGACCGCCCCCCAGTTCGGGTGTTGGTCCCGCATTACGGAGGCCAAACACCTGCAAAAGAAAGAGGTTCCCTGCTTGGCATATGTAACCCGACTTGAGGCCAGATGGTTTCCAATCAACCACAAGCGGTGTCAGCAGCGTCAGCAGAAAAAAAGCACGCAAGATGGAGACGTCGTCCAAACCACCAAAGTGAGAGATTGTAGGCAAAGAGTCATGGTCCACGTCGCAAAGAGCAGAGGTGCCTTATCGCGAGTCATATCCGCTATCTTATCCGGCCGATAAGCGGGAAGCGGGTCCACGTGCAGCACGTCGCTGCAGGTGCAGGAAGCAGCTCAGCGGGTACGTATCCTTTTTCGCCTTAGCCAGCAGGGTCCCTACCGGGAGCGCCTGCCTGTCGCTGAAAAGTTTTTGGCGGCCAGGGAAAAAAAATTCCTACCCCAGCAAAACCGCCTCGCGCACCCAAAACCTTCCATCCGTCCTCCTCTTGTTTTTTTTTCCCTTCTTCCATCTCCCATCCCTCTCTCCCTCTCCCATCAAAACTCCCATCTCGCGCAACCAATCCTCTTTTCGGTTCAGTCCAGAAAAAGAGATCTACTTGCGTGAATCTTCCTTACCACAGTCTTTCTTTCTTGCCTTTTGACATCGCTCACGCGAAAACCCGACGACACAGAAGCTTTCTTCGCGTTCTCTGCCTCTAGCAAACATGTCCTACGGCGGCGGTGGTTACGGCGGTGGTGGTGGTGGCTACGGCGGTGGTCGCGGAGGCGGTTACGGCGGTGGCCGCGACCGCGGCGACAGAGGTGATCGCAACGGAGGATACGGTGGTGGTGGCTACTCCAACGGGTAAGTTTGATTGATTCTGGTCTTCTCCCTCTCCGCCAAACGAAGCTCGCGAGGCGAGGCTGCTAGGGGTGGCTTGGCATCACACAACACGATGTGATGACAGCCTGTAACCATCCCGAAACATTCTCATACAACATCGCGCGGGCTCGGGCATTCACTACATTTCATTCATTTCTCTTTCGGGCTCGTTGCTGATATCTTTCACAGTGGTGGCTACGGTGGAGGTGGTGGTGGTGGTTACGGCGGTGGCGGCGGCGGTGACCGCATGAACAACCTCGGCTCTGGTCTTCGCCAGCAGGAGTGGGGTGAGTATTTGACGCGAACTGAAGATATCAAGACAACGGCTAACCAAAACGAACCAGATATTAACTCTCTCCCCAAGTTCGAGAAGTCCTTCTACAAGGAGCACGACGAGGTCGCCAACCGCAGCCAGGCCGAGGTCGACTCTTTCCGCAGCAAGCACCAGATCGCTGTCTCCGGCACCGATGTTCCCAAGCCCGTCGAGACCTTCGACGAGGCCGGTTTCCCCAGATATGTCATGGACGAAGTCAAGGCTCAGGGCTTCCCTGCGCCCACTGCCATTCAGTCCCAGGGCTGGCCCATGGCTCTTTCCGGTCGTGACGTCGTCGGTATTGCCGAGACGGGCTCCGGAAAGACGCTGACCTACTGCCTGCCCGCCATCGTCCACATCAACGCTCAGCCTCTGCTGGCGCCCGGCGATGGCCCTATCGTTCTCATCCTTGCTCCCACCCGTGAGCTCGCTGTCCAGATTCAACAGGAGATTTCCAAGTTCGGCAAGTCTTCCCGCATTCGCAACACTTGCGTCTACGGTGGTGTTCCCAAGGGTCCCCAGATTCGCGACCTCTCCCGCGGTGTTGAGGTCTGCATTGCTACTCCCGGTCGTCTCATCGATATGCTCGAGGCTGGCAAGACCAACCTCCGCCGTGTGACTTACCTCGTTCTCGACGAGGCTGACCGCATGCTGGACATGGGTTTCGAGCCCCAGATTCGCAAGATCATCGGCCAGATTCGCCCTGACCGTCAAACCCTCATGTGGTCCGCCACTTGGCCCAAGGAGGTCCGCGCTCTTGCCTCCGACTTCCTTTCCGACTTCATCCAGGTCAACATCGGCTCCATGGAGCTGGCCGCCAACCACCGCATCACCCAGATTGTCGAGGTCGTTTCCGAGAGCGAGAAGCGTGACCGGATGATTAAGCATCTCGAGAAGGTCATGGACAACAAGGAGAACAAGATCCTCATCTTCGTCGGCACCAAGCGTGTCGCTGACGACATCACCCGCTTCCTTCGCCAAGACGGATGGCCCGCTTTGTGTATGTCTTCCCCTTCGTTTCTATCTGAGCACTGCTAACAACTTCGCAGCCATCCACGGTGACAAGCAGCAGAACGAGCGTGACTGGGTTCTCGACCAGTTCAAGATGGGCAAGAGTCCGATCATGGTGGCTACCGACGTCGCGTCGCGTGGTATTGGTGAGTATCAGATCCCCCCAACCTTCATGGCAACTTCCAGCAGCCTCGTGCTGTACTTTACTCTCATGTCTAGGGGCTCTCTTGATTGCGCAATCTTGCCTGATGCATTCGTGTTTCCTTGGTTCTCTCTGCCTCTGAGCGGAGTCTTGGTCTGGTGTGTAGCCGTTGGCTTGCTATACTCGCTTTCCCACTCTTGTGCCTGCCTTTTGCCATTGGTACAAGCGTGGATGTGGCATATCTTGATTCGATCAAGCTGTCCCCAAGATTCCCCAAGCCCGAGGACCCGGTGCACTGAACTTTCCAGGATGGCATTTGACGCGTATGGACTGCCCCGTCTCCGACGGAGTGAAAGACAGCCTGATATAATTATCAAACATACCTGGTTCCTTGCTGGAACGTTGCTATACACATCGTGAGGCGTCTGCTAACCCTTCTTGACAAGATGTTCGCAACATTACTCACGTGCTGAACTACGACTACCCCAACAACTCGGAGGACTACATCCACCGCATCGGTCGTACTGGTCGTGCCGGTGCCAAGGGTACCGCCATTACCCTCTTCACCACTGACAGTCAGTACTCCCCTTTCTCCTGTTCGGACTTGACAATGCTAACAACCTCACAGACTCGAAGCAGGCTCGTGATCTTGTCAACGTGCTGAGAGAGGCGCGCCAGGAGATCGACCCCCGTCTGGCCGAGATGACTCGCTACGGAGGTGGTGGTGGTGGTCGCTACGGCGGCTGGGGACGCGGCCGTGGTGGCGGTGGCGGTGGTAGAAGTATGTTCAATGTTCTCCCTCAGTGTGATACCAGATGCTAACATGGTGAACAGACAACGCCAACAACGCACCTCTCGGTGGTGGCCGACGCTGGTAAGAGCTTCGCTGAGCATCTTCTCCGAAGGCGAGGCGATTGATCATCCATGCGGCGGCATCTTGCGCACTTCCATGCAAAAATCGGCGTTCAAGTAGACGGCGGGGATTTTAGATTCGAGGTACCCAGGACATGCGCATGTGTCCCTCCAGCCTGGTATCTCTTCAAGGCTTTTTTCATTTCCTTATGTTTGTCGTTTTAGTTGCCCACATCGGCTCCGGGTTTGTTTGCGATTTTCTTTTTGAGGCATGGCCAAAACGTGGATCAGGTTGAACAAAAATTAAGAGGGAACGAGGACGACCACGACGACGGATGTCAAGAGAGGACTACCAGCATTAGAGACCCTCCGTTGGGTCCAGTGACTTTTGACGCTCTTTCCACGAGCAAAAATTGGGATGGCTTTGAAGTCAGGAGACTCGGCGGTGGAAGTATTCGATAGATTGTTGTGTACCAAGCAAGGTCTTGCCGTGAGGGCGGAACGCTTAGGTAGTAATAGGACACAATTATCTTATGAGAAGATCATGAAGCATTGCATGTGTTGGCTCATTGGTGTTGTGGTGATTCCATGTTCTTTTCATTCTTCGTTTCCTTCGCCATTCTACTCGTCCTGAAAGACAACATGGTGAGATCGCCTGACGCGGTCGATACTCTCCTGCGCAATATGCATCTCGTCGCCCTTTTCTCTTTCCTCGTCACATATCACACCCGTAGATCTAGATGCCGATGCCGATGCATAAACGACTGCGAAGTCCCGAACAACTACCGTCGCGACCAGACTTCTTATCGGGCCATACCGTGTCGTCACCTGCAGGCACAACTGAGGTTTCCCCTCCCCGGCGCCAATTCCTATAAGACCACTCTTCTGATGTTTGCAACTGGTCAAGACAGGTTCCCTTTGAGGATAATATAAGATATGTATCTGGTTCGCCAATATCAGACCTCAGCTTTTTTAATAGCGAGTGGCAGTTCTCGAGGACCTCAATGTCGGTGGGATCTCCTGTTCTTGTGCCCCTTTATTCCGTCCCAAACGAGTTATACGCAGTAAGCCCAGGCATCCGGAACAGATTTCGTATGTATGGACCTGGCATTCTACGAACACAGTGATTCTTGATCTTCGAGTTGTGTCTTGTGTCACACTTGTTCCATTACTCGTTTGTTGCCTGCCCTGAGCTGCTGCGGGCCAACGCGATATCTCAAGTGTCTACATTATCCCGCCGAAGAGGAGTCACTGGATGCTCTTGAACGGGGGAGGTGTTGGCGGCTCCAAAATTTCTCTGACCAAGAGTAGCAACACAAGTATTCGTGACGTGGTCATCGACTCTCTGGCAGTATTCCACTCTTGACAGAAGGCATTCATACATGTTCCTCACTTTACTCGACATGACAGTCAGAGTTGCGTCGCTGGACGAGCATGGCTGAGCTAAGGCTTCTCGGCGGAGACGAAGCCGTGTTGTGGATGC